AACTATTTTAATTTCACTTTCACTTTCTATTTTTATTGATAACATAGTCATAACCATTGTTGTAACATTACTTCCGGTTAACTGCAATAACCACAAAATTTGTACTTCACTGTTTTATTTCATGTATATACTTGTCCTGAAGACGCCACGCTTGCTGGCCAAACATGTCGATCAATTAAACGAGTACCATGCAGTAAAAATTTGAGTGTTGTTGTCTTTCATGTCGAAATAACTATATTGAAGTGATTTAAAAAAGAAAAAATATGTTATTAAATCAAAACAAAGAAAAGGAGGTGCAATATGGGAAGGGTTCCGTTATCGAATTGAAAAAGTATTTAAAAAGTTAAGAAATCCAGTGAGATTAAAAAATAACAGTTCTTACTGTAATTTAATGGTCAATATTTTAGGGGGAATATTTAAGATCCCATTATTTCCGATCACTGGAATATGAATTCCAAGCTAGAACAGTTTGTAATTATTGAGATCAGTTTTGGTTTTAAAATGCAAATTGTGTTATTTTAATGAATATGTCATTTTGATAATGTGCTGTATTGACATTAAAATTTTTTATAGTTTATTAGTAGGGATGTCAACTCGGTGAAGATTTATTAATCAAGTACTCATTAGATTTGTCGAGCGATACTCGAGTACTCGCTCGGATCAACATCTACAAAATGGAAACACAAATTATACCCATTTTACGTATTGCGGGTCGTTGTCTTATGGACGTAAAACCCTCAACATAATTACCTATGACTAGATAATAGTTCCAGGAATTTTATACCGTAATTGATAATAAATAATAATAAAATCTATTTTTATTTGGGTGTCACACATTGATTGATACAGTACATTTAGACATATATACAAATAAAAAGTAATATCTTTAAAATGCAATCAATGCCTAGCCAAACAGTTGACTTATGAGACACTTAAAAAAAGCATACATGTACATATATACAATAAACTGCATGTTAATTTGCAAAATATTTCTAGGGTTCTTATTAATTTAATTATACCCCAGCTTTAAAAAAGGGGGGTATACTGTTTTACCTCTGTCTGTCCTTCCGTCAGTCAGTCCGTCCGTCCCATGAATATTTTCGTCTCATTTTTCTCAGGAACTACTTGACAAGGATTTCTGAAATTTGGTTTCAGGATTTATATAAGTAAGTTACACTGTGTGATGCATTTTCAGATTCATCACTTAACAACTTCCTGTTTACGGAACACTTGTATTATTTTACACATGATAGCCAAGTTCAAAATTTTCGTCACATTTTTCTCAGGAACTACTTGACAAGGATTTCTGAAATTTGGTTCCAGGGTTTATATTAGTCAGCTTTACAGTGTGATGCGTTTTCAGATTCATCACTCAACAACTTCCTGTTTACCGAAATATTACGGCGGGGGTATCATCAGTGAGCAGTAGCTCACAGTTTTACTTGTTTAGAAATTGCTTTCAAAAATACTATTAAATATAAAATGTTATTAAAAATCATATAAAATACTCTATTAGAAATTCTTTAAATTAATAGCTTATTAATACTACATGTGTACATGCACTAATTATGTAAACTGGCAATAATCTAATCAATTAATTAATAAATATATATAGAAAAATGTTTACTCAAACAACAGTATTTGTGATTCGTACAAAAACACATTTAATGATCAACAAAGGGGTGATGATTAGTATAGAGCTTACTGATACCTTTAACCATTCTCTGAGGGTTGACAAAGGGTGCAACGAATTTGTTCTTATTAGAAATATTATCTTTTCAACTTTTTCTGGGACGAGTCAATTTCTCAACTTTGTTACGTAACTAACAGTCCTGCTGATGAAAATATTTGCTCTGACGGCATAGAGGTGTTGGAATGACTAAGAGACAATAAGCTAAAAGTGTAAGCCTTGGAAAGGTGCTCTTGTTCATAGCCTACATCTGTTCGAGGGAATTTTAATTGACAATTAAAAGCAAACATTCGAAGCGTTTTTTTAATTTTGATTACTATTTAATTTCCCAGGAGGCGCTCTTTATAATATTTTTTTCTTTAAGAAGGCAACAACATTCTAACAGAAACCGATTAGTCGAGTATTATTTTGGTATTCGATACTCGGTACTACCGAGCGATACTGGAGTACTAGAGTACTCGTTGACATCCCTATTTATAAGTGATAAAGAAAAATGGAAAAATTTTACTTTCACTATAATATTGCCTTCGATAATTTTTATTTTTTACTCAAATGGATTAAAAATCTGGCACTGAAATGGGTTACACTTTGGTACTAAATCATCTGATTTTTTTTGGCTAAAATGTCCTCATTTGCTAAAAAGAGGGTATTAAAGTAATTCACAGTCCATCATTCTGTGTCAGACAGCATTCACAGTCCATCTTGTCAGACAGCATTCACAGTCCATCTTGTCAGACAGCATTCACAGTCCATCATTCTGTGTAAGACAGCATTCACAGTCCATCATTCCATGTCAGACAGCATTCACAGTCCATCATTCTGTGTCGGACAGCATTCACAGTCCATCATTCCATGTCAGACAGCATTCACAGTCCATCATTCCATGTCAGACAGCATTCACAGTCCATCATTTTGTGTCAAACAGCATTCACAGTCCATCATTCTCTGTTAGACTGCATTCACAGTCCATCATTCTGTGTCAGACAGCATTCACAGTCCATCATTCTGTGTCAGACTACATTCACAGTCCATCATTCTGTGTCAGACTGCATTCACAGTCCATCATTCTGTGTCAGACAGCATTCACAGTCCATCATTCTGTGTTAGACTGCATTCACAGTCCATCATTCTGTGTTAGACTGCATTCACAGTCCATCATTCTGTGTAAGACTGCTTTCACAGTCCATCATTCTGTGTCAGACAGCAGTCACAGTCCATCATTCCATGTCAGACAGCATTCACAGTCCATCATTCTGTGTTAGACTGCATTCACAGTCAATGTGAAATAAGGGTGTTTCAGGGATGAAATTTGTATAATCTTAAAATCAGTGTCTAAAAATTTATGTTTTAGGAATGCCCAAAGTTTTAAAAGCACTTAACTTAAACAATAATTATAAATAGCGCTTTTAATTAGATATAGTGTTCAGAGATAGTTAAAGTGAAATATTGAAAAATCCATTGATTCCAGCTCAGGGAATAGTATTGCAACCTAGTAATTTATTTTTCAACATTAATTTTTGTGATCCAAGTATCAGTTAAATGATAACAGTTTTATAAGTACTTTAATCATGCTGTATGTATGGAGACAGAATAAATGGATTTCAAAAATTAAATGGAAAGGTGTCAAATTATACTATATTGCTTTCAGGGAACATTTATCAGTATTTGTAGCAATCCCCAAGTTGTCTGATTAACCTTTGATCTCAATGAATTTGGTGAGAGATTTCACTTTATAAATTTCTACAGGGAAATAAAGCTACATATCCAGATACACAATTGAATTAATCCAAAATGCATGTTTGTTGATATAGAGTGGTCCTGAATTAGTATATTTGGTCATTAAACAAGTTACTATTGATTGTTTGCTTAGTAGAACTGTTGTTTTTGCTTCAGTCATCAGCAATTTACTTAAAGTACAGTTCACAAACAGGTGCATTGCTGGTCGTTGTTGAAGTAATGGGGATGACAAAAAATCGTAATTAATTTTCCAGCAAGCTGTTTTTGTGGAAGTGATGCATTGTATAACATTACTGATTAATAACATATTCCAATGTGCAAGATTTATTCTTTAAGGAAGTATGATGCATTGGTGTCATATCTGGTAATTTTTCACCAGAAAATACCAAGAATTTATAGTTAAAATGCACTATCACTCATAATTTATAACAAGTTCAAAAACAGAGATTTGATTTTTCTGAAAAAGAAATTTTGAATTCCATATCATGAGAAATAATGACTTGCACTTCACATATTTTAAAAGAATTACTTTATGTACAAAGTTCAAATTAAAATAAAAGATCCGCACAGTCTTGGTATATTGTTGTTTTTATGTCATATTTTTTTTGTCTGGCAAATTGGTTTCAAAATTATCTCTGCCTCTGAAACTGTTAGGTTAATTAGAAGCAAACTCTGAATCATTACAAAACATTTCAATTTTTGTGTTCTGCTAAAATTTTGCCATTTACTAAACATCAAATAGTTATGAGATTTTGACAACAAACACTTGAGACTATCCCATGGCATTCAAGCTCGGTAATACAGTATTTAACCAAATTCGAATGAAACATTTAAAAAGCAATTTGAGTAAGTAATTTGTTCTACCAATTTGCACAAGCTTACCTGAACTTATGTACATTTTTTTGGACAAAGGTATGGCAACATTGATATGACAATTGGAAAATTCAATTTTATTTTAGTGATTGAGGCATTTTAAAATGCAAACTGGAGTTTTGTTTAAAGTTTACTACCATTTAGAAATGTTTATCTCTGAACATTGTTTTCATAAGGAAATCTACATACATTGTTTTCATAAGGAAATCTACCATAAATTTACAATTTTACAAGAGATTTAAACATTTAAATCTGATTTTAAGCATCTGAATGATTAAAATTTGTCTTTATGCTAAATGCACAGAGAGAGAGAGAGAAAGTACGTGATGGCCATCTGTGACCAAAGTAAGAAGATAAAATGATAATCAAAACAAAAAGATTTTTTTTCAATTGTCATTTAGCTGGTAGTTTATCTGATCTATCTGCACTTAGTAAAAAATAGACAAATACTTTAAAGGAAATTATAGAAGCTTATTTTCCATATGTTTGTGTCCTAATTGAAAGAAAGTAAACTGATAATTCTCAGATTGGTTGTAAACAATTAAAATTTACTTTATGAAGGAAATTTTCCCTAACTGAATTTTTTTCTCATTTCTCAAATCATAGTTTAGTTTTTAACAGTAAAACATTGTTTTAAAAAAATGAGTTTTAAACCTTGTGAAAATTGGTGCAATTAACCTTTTCCTGTTTTTTATTTCAGGCCATTGTGAGGAATCAGGATGAATTTCCGTGCACTGTGGCCATGATGCCTGACAACATACTTCTCAATGTTAATCAAGATGTTGTCTCTTGTAAGTAGTTTCAGAAACATGTATAAATATTATACTCTTTAACCTTCTTCCCTTCTAGAATGAATGAAAGCCTTCACTTGAATTAAGGATGTTCACTACTCTGTTTCAGAATAACAAGCTTTTTGAAAGACTTAATTTATAGAATATAAATAAAAGATAGAACTAAGAAAGCAGGAAAAATATGAAAGGTCCATGTCCTTGTTTTTGAGATATAAGCCATTGAAAAGTTGGCAGGAAATGATTCTCTTTAGATTTTTCATTCATTAACATTGGCACCTTTTTCTTTTAAAAACAAAGAAAAAGTAAAGTTTTTTATAAGATTTTCAAAAATGCCTTTTCTTAAAAAAACTATGTGAAATAAAATTTTGAAAATAAAAGTAGGGGTTAGTGGGCAAATTTTTCAATGACAAAACATGGATAACACCAGAGGATTCTAAATATCTGACAAAAAAATTAAAAACAAGATCAGCAAACATCCTTCTTTTTATGGCCCCGCCGCGGCGGAGGGGGCATTAATTCTTACCCTTGTCTGTCCGTCCGTCCGTCTGTATGTCCGTACGTCCGTACGTCCCAGAAGTGGTTTCCATTCTCTAACTAAAGTTTACCTCAATCAAATGTTATGAAACTTATACACAATGCTTATTACCACAAAACACAGATCAAATTTGAATTTGGGTTGCATCACTTTTACTGTTCTAGAGTTATGTCCCTTTACAAATGGAAAAATTGCTGAATTTTTAGTTTCCGTTCTCTAACTTAAGTTTGCTTCAACCAAATGTTATGAAACTTATACACAATGCTTATTACCACAAAAACAGTTCGCATTTGATGGGGTCACTTTTACAGTTCTCTAGTTATGTCCCTACATAACATTCTATGCAAGCGGGGGCATCATCTGTGTCCCATTGACACATTCTTCGTTTATTTGGAAGAAAGTTTCTAGATTCTCGATCAACATCCTTAAAGAAAAAATTGAAAACCATTTTTTTGGAACCATTTTTTAGCTCACCTGGCCCGAAAGGGCCAAGTGAGCTTTTCTCATCACTTGGGGTCCGTCGTCCGTCGTCGTCGTCGTTAGCTTTTTACAAAAATCTTCTCCTCTGAAACCACTGGGCCAAATTTAACCAATCTTTGCCATAATCATCATTAGGGTATCTAGTTTAAAAAATGTGTCCGATGACCCTGCCAACCAACCAAGATGGCCGCCATGGCTAAAAATAGAACATAGGGGTAAAATGTAGATTTTGGCTTATATCTCTGAAACCAAAGTATTTAGAGTAAATCTGACATAGGGTAAAACTGATTATCAGGTCAAGATCTATCTGCCCTGTAATTTTCAGACAAATCTGACAACCTATTGTTGGGTTGCTGCCCCTGAATTGGTAATTTTAAGGAAAGGAGTAGGGGCAATAAGGCCCTTATTTGGCCCAAATATTACTGCAAATTTAAAAGTTATCATACATATTCTGAAATTTGTCATAACTAGACTAAGGTACCAGGTATTCAGAAAATAAAAACAAAGTTCAGGTTTAACGAGTTACCATGGCAACAAATCATGACAAAATTTGTATATTTAATAAAATTTCTTGATTTTCCTTGTTTTTCGTCAAATTTTAAGTATATTTTAGATTAGCAAAGTATGTGCGCACACAAGAAACAACTTTATATTTGGTGAGATTATGTCAATAGTTATAATAAAGCTTCTCTTAAATTATTTTGTTGTTTCTTGGCTGCGCACGATGTTTCCGCAATGGAAATAAAGATGGAAACTGCATAAATTGTGACGTCATCAGATAAAAATTCTTATGTTTTTCATTTATATTTCCTGACTCTATGCATTTCTAAACAATATGTGTAAATTTGAAATAGTTGTCAAATATTTTATTTTCTTGGGCCAAAACTGGGCTTTAATGCCCCTACTCCTTTTGCAGTTTTTGGTTATTATCTTGAATATTATTATAGATAGAGATAAACTGTAAACAGCAATAATGTTCAGCAAAGTAAGATCTACAAATAAGTTGTCATGACCAAAATTGTCAGTCGACCCCTTTAGGAGTTATTGCCCTTAATAGTCAATTTTTAACAATTTTTTGTAATTTTTTTTAATCTTTTACAAAAATCTTCTTCTCTGAAACTACTGAGACAAATTTAACCATACTTGGCCATAATCATTATTAGGGTATCGTATCTAGTTTAAAAAATTTGTCCAAGCCTTCCAACCATCATGGCCAAATTGGTTAAAAATAGAACATAGGGGTAAAATGCAGTTTTTGGTTTATATCTCTGAAACTAAAGCATTTAGAGCAAATCTGACAGGTGGCAAAAATGTTAATCAGATTTAGATTTATCTGCCCCGAAATTTTCAGACGAATCCGACAACCAGTTGTTGGGTTGCTGCCCCTGAGTTAGTAATTTTACAAAAATTTTGCAGTTTTTTGTTATTATCTTAGATATCATTATAATATCTAATACTATTAATTATGATTTTAACCTTATTTTACATGATTTCCAAAGCATCAGTAAATACAGGTGAGCGACACAGGCTCTTGAGAGCCCCTAGTTTTAATTTTTAAATGTTTTGTTATTGAACAGACATGAGCCATATCTCTATGTCAACAGTTTAATTGTTGTTCTTTTAAAATGCAGTGAATATTTAAAAATGAATTAAATCATTTTTGTACATTTTGTTTCACTGATAGAAATTTAAAGAAGGAGGCTTGAGTGGTGAGTTTTTGTTAACCACACCACATACTCATTGGACTCTCTTAAGTCTGGAACTTTTTCCTGTAGCCAGTCTTTAGTCTTATCTTAAATGTTTTTTTTTAGGACTACATGTATTGTTTTGATGGTAGTTTTTTTATGGTGTCTATTAGATATATGCACCATTTTTTCTAAACTGTGGGTAATTTACAGCTTGACAATGTAATTGAAGCCTGATGTTGACCTGCAGATCTTGTTTTTTTTTTACTGTTTGTTTACTGTCTCATTGACATACATCCTACACCTCCTTCTATTCATGTATTGTCTAATGTTTCATTTTTAGCCATCACTTGGCGTCCGTCGTCGTCCGTCGTCCTTCTGGTGTAACCTATTTCAAACATCTTCTCCTCTGAAACTACTAAACCAATTCCAACCAAACTTAAGCTGAATGATCCTTAGGGTATCTAGAATAAAAATAGTGTTTTATTTTCTGTTTTGTTAAAAAACATGGCCTCCATGGCTAAAATTAGAACATAGGGATAAAATGCAGTTTTTGGCTTATATCTCAAACACTTAAGCAATTAGAGCAAATCTGATGAGAGGTTAAAATATTCATTAGGCCAAGTTCTATCAGCCATGAAATTTTCAGATGAATCTAACAGTCCATTGTTGGGTTGCTGCCACTAAATTGGTAATTTTAAGGAATTTTGCAGTTTTTGGTTATTATCTTGAATATTATTAATGATAAAGATAAACTGTGAACAGCAAAAATGTTCAGCAAAGTAAGATCTACAAATAATTTAATATGACCAAAATTGTCAAATGTGTCCTTAAGGAGTTATTGCCCTTTAAAGACAATTTTTCACAATTTGTTCATCTAGTTTGCTTACTTTAAGAAATCTTCTCCATTGAAACTGCTGAATCAATTTCAGCCAAACTTGGGCAGAATGAGTTTCAGAGTATCTAGTATAAATTTTATATTTTATTTTCTCTATGGCTTAAATGAAACATACAGCGGTAAAATGTATTTCTTTGCTTTTGAAGAAAATATGACAGATACAAAGAACATTTCAATGGAATTTTTAAGCCACTCATTAATATATATTAAAAAGCAAAAATAATCATTGATGAAAGATTTAAGCAAAAAATTACAGGTGAGCGAAAGAGGCTCTCAAATTCAGGCTCTTGAGAGCCTCTTGTTAAGTATTATATTTGAAAAATTGGAAATGACAACAAAAATCTTTATCCCCACCCCCATACTTCATTAATTGCAATTACAGATAATTGCTTAAAGACCATGTCGGTATCACTTTGTTATTATTGACTTATTTCAAGGCAGAGTGGCTAAAATGAGAAAATTACCAACCAAATTGAATTATATATTCACTCCTGAAATTCTAGACAAGTATTCATTGAGTTATGATGAAGTTTTTTGTAAATGAAAGCTTACATGGTTTTAATGAAGGATGTAATTGTTGTATAATGTTTATATTAAAGCATATATTGAATTTAAGTTCGTTGTCATTAGCTACAGCAATATTACCACATCAAATAGTGCAGAAATTCTTTCTTTTTGTATTAGTTGGAATTCATAATTTTTTATATGCAAAATTTAATGTAAAAATATGTATTCATGTAAAATTCAGGGGATTAACAGAGTTAAAATGGCTGTTATATAGGCACAGTTTGGTTATTGTCTGTCATATTTGTTTTTCGTAAATTGTTTTGTTATTAATTAGGCGGTTAGTTTTTTCATTTAAATGCTTTCACATTTTTCATCTTGGGTACTTTTATAGCTGACTATACAGTATGGGTTTTTCTCATTGTTGAAGGCCATATGGAGACCTATAATTGCTTTCTATCACATTATTTTAACTCAGTTGGATAGTTGTCTCATTGGCAATCATACCACATCTCCTGATTTTTACAAAAAATGTATGAAGTTTGATCCCTGCCAGGATGGGAAAAGTCAGCTTTTATAACAGGTTAACTGAACTGTGTTTAATTGTTGGATCAATTTTGTCTGCATTGACAGGTTGAACACTTTCAAAAAATTCATTTTGGGAGAATTCTTTACAATAATTTGTCTGCCTCTGGATTCTTTTTGCTGTTACATGTATATTAAAATCTTTCATTTTTGTTTATAGCAGCGCCAACATCAGATTTCAATCTTAACAGAAGAGACATAAACATCATAATGGAATGTCATTTTCTTATTGTTCTTAAAATGTGCATTATACAACTATAAACACTAATTACATTTGTAGCTGATGGAGATTTATAAATTTGACATTTGTTTAAAACCTGTTGATTTCGATCAATAACCTTGTGTAGAAATGCAACAATCCATCCATATGTTGATATAAATGTTTAATATTTATTTCGCATCAGTACACCAAATCTTGTTAAATATATGGGGATGGACTTCAATTGACGTGTTGTCTACAACAGTCTTAAGTTGATATAGTATTTTGATTTTTCCTATCATATAATATTTTTAGAAATGTGTTATGAAATTTTAATGATTTTTAGTATTATTGCTATGGGATATAGTTTCGTTTAAATTTAAATGCCTGAGTACCAAAATATATTGAATGAAAATTTAGATGAAATATTTAGAAGATTATGGTGAAATAAAATCCATGTTCGTGTCATCTTACTGCATATTTTCAGACAAGCCTAAAACCATGAAATGATAATATAATATTGGATTGCATTGGTATTTCCTTTTGTTATTATCCATAACAAAAAATAGACTGATTTTATCGAATGTAATCTAGTAACTTTAACTGTTTAAACAAAATGTGAGGTTTCTTGATTTTTTTTATTATCACATGTTAGTATTATCTCGTGCTCTGACAATGTATGTCATTTTTCAGTATTGGTACATGCATTTTAATCACTAGAAGTTTATTTTTTTGTATAGCCAAATTAATCAATGAATGATTGGTTTTTCATGGAAAGATTTGTAAAGGTCCATTGAATGCAATTTTCCTGTTTGACAATAATTTGAGATTTAGATTATACTCACTAAGTATGGAAATTCTACTCAATCGAATGGGTGGGGGTATAATTTGCCTCACAGTGTGTGCAACTTCTTGTTTTGAACACAATCCTCAAATAAAGGTTTTCCATACAAGTTTGTCTCTTGTGCTCTGTGGATACAAATGTATGTATACCAGTATGAGTGGTGTAAACACTTAAAATTTATCTGTTTTGGAGATTTGTGTTTATAAGTTGTTGTCTCTTTGACTTGTGTTTATGAGTTGTTGTCTCGTTGACTTGTACCTGCATCTCCTTTTATTCCTAATGCATATTTTGAACCCCATAGATAAGTTACAGTAATGTACATAGTGAGCTAGAATAACTCCCACATCACTTTGGAGATTTGAAACCTTTTGAAAATAAGTTGACACCTATACTTAATTGTAGATAAATTACAAGATCAACAGATATATAAGATGAAATAGATAATGTCTGGTGATTTTTCTCCAAGTTATAAGGGGTGTTTCTACAAATGAGAAGATTTCCATAAGTTTTACAAAATTTTATTTATTTACTCCTATATATTGCTTTTTTTTCCAGTTGACCATTCCAGAGTGATACTGAAAAACCATCCACCAGAAGAAGACAGTGATTATATCAATGCCAGCTTTATTGATGTGAGTTATTCCCCTTTTGTATTAATATTATGATTTAAGCATTTGAGTATTGCTTTTTGAGCAGTGTTATGATATTATCAAATTAGTGATTTCCCCTTTTGTAACAATGTTATGAATTTTATCTAGTGACTTATCTCCCCTTTTGAGGCACGGGTTTTTCCTGTGGGTTGTTTTCATTATCAGTGTTATGATTTTTATTCAGTAAGTTATCTACCTTTTTGTAGCAGTGTTGTAATTTTATCCTGTGTGTTACATCCTTTTTGTAGCATTACTATGATTTTATTTAATGAATTATCTCCCTTTTTTGTAGCAGTGTTGGAATTTTATCCTATGAGTTATATCCATTTTTGGCAGTAATATGATTTTATTTAGTAAGTTATATCCCTTTTTGTAACAGTGTTATAATTCAGTGAGTTATCTCCTATTTTGTAGTAGTGTTGTGTTTTTATCCTTTATTGTAGAATTCATATGATATTTTCCTGTGAACTGTCTCCCTATTTGTAGTAGTGTTGTGTTTTTATCCTTTGAGCTATATCCCTTATTTAAGTATTCATATGACTTTATCCTGTGAACCATTCCCTATTTGTAGCAGTGTTGTATTTTAAAGTGTTTCTTATATCCATCTTATCCTGTGGGTTATCTCCCTGTAAGTAGCAGTGTATAACTTATTGTTTGGGTTATCCCCCTTATTTTATATTTTAAGATTTTACTGGAACTAAAATATTTATTTGTAGGATTTTATCCTCAATTTATTTCTTTGATTGATTTGCTCTTAAAGCATGATTGAAAAAAAATTCCATTTGGTGTAAGATACCAAACATCAATCAATCAATTTTCTAAAACCTCCACAATATGATTTGATACCATTTTTCCATTTTTAAAAGTGTCAATCTGCCTAAGAATCAGGCAGTGGTGGAAAACATGACAAACAAAAACCCTCTCAAGTTGACATTAAATCATGTTCAAAATGTATAACAGTGCACAAATATAACATGTGTTTCCTTTTCCTGTTCGGGTAATCCAAGATATAATTTGGTTGAAATGCACTAGAAATTTAACAATTAAGGGGAGCTAACTCTGTAATTTGCTATCATTCTATCCAAAAGCTATCTAGAGATTTCTCGAATTACCAGATATTCATATGTTTATGCATAAATGTATTTTTAAATTGTTCCAAAGATTTTTTAATTGGTTGTTTAAAATATGTGTTTTTGTACATTTTTCTGATTTTAGGTTGCTAGGCCCCCTTTAATCTATCTGACCCCTTTTATCTAGATTCTAGAGTCCTGGATCTGCCACTGAAAAAATGAAGATTTATAAGAATCTTTATGTTATAGAAATTTGTCATGTGGTTAGCTCATTGTTCAGTCGTTTCCTTTATGGGGATTATATATCTATAGTAGACATTCCTTGGAAATAAGCACAAGATATATAAAACATGTTTAATTCATTAAACTAATTTAATTTTTACTTTACATGAGTTTCCATAACATAAAAATAAGAAAAACAATCTTTACTAATGGTGTTTCTGAATGCATGTTGGAAAAAATGTCATTTTGAAATGTCAAAATTAACATTTACGCTAATTGAAATTATTTACCTTATACAATGTATGTACAATACATTTTACATAAGCCAATATTGATTATATGTAATTTTTGTCAGTAATAGAAAGAAACATCAGTCTAGGGAACATATGAAATATATTTGATATTTATATTTAAATTGTTAAAGTGGTAAAAAAAAAATAATTTCCTGAATAAAATCAAATTATTGATTTCAATTATCAAGAATTGTACTGAACGACTCCTTGAAAACACAGGCACTTTAAAAAAAACATGTTTTTCTATATAAGGCCTCCATACAACAATAGACCATGTATAGATAAGTATAAAGGTTATGTCATGATTTCTGTTAATCATGGAAAAATATCTATTGTGTTGATTGCAGTAGGAAAACAAATGAACATCATTTTTGTCTTGTTTCTAAAGCTTGCACTATCTGGTGAGCATTCTATCCTGATTCTGAAGCTTGCACAATCTGGTGAGCTTCCTATCCTGTTTCTGAAGCTTGCTCTATCTGGTGAGCATTCTATCCTGATTTTGAAGCTTGAACAATCTGGTGAGCTTCCTTTCCTATTTCTGAAGCTTGCACAACCTTGTGAGCTTTCTATCCTGTTTCTGAACCTTGCACAATCTGGTGAGCTTTCTATCCTATTTCTGAAGCTTGCTCTATCTGGTGAGCTTCCTTTCCTATTTCTGAAGCTTGCACAACCTTGTGAGCTTTCTATCCTGTTTCTGAACCTTGCACAATCTGGTGAGCTTTCTATCCTATTTCTGAAGCTTGCTCTATCTGGTGAGCTTCCTTTCCTATTTCTATAGTTTCACAATCTGGTGAGCTTTCTATTCTGATTCTGAAGCTTGCACAATCTGATAGGCTTTCTATCCTATTTCTGAAGCTTGAACAATCTGGTGAGCTTTCTATCCTGTTTCTGAAGCTTTCACAATCTGGTGAGCCTTCTATCCTATTTGTGAAGCTTGCACAATTTGGCGAGCTTTCTATCCTGTTTCTGAAACTTGCACAATCTGGTGAGCTTTCTATCCTATTTCTGAAGCTTGCACAATCTGATTAGCTTCTATTCTGTTTCTGAAGCTTGCACACTCTGGTAAGCTTTCTATCCTGTTTCTGAACCTTGCACAACCTTGTGAGCTTTCTATCCTGTTTCAGTAGCTCAATAAATAGTGAGAGATTTCTGTCCTCCTGAAGCACATACATAAGTAAGAGAATTTGCATAATTTTTGAACCTCATTCATAAGTGAGATATTGCCTTGTTTCTGCAGCTCATACATAGTGAGAGATTTTGTTTTGTTTCTGAATCTCATACATAAGTGAGAAATTTTCTTGGACATTTGAAATGAGCGCCCTATTCTGATTGGTTCTCTAACTAAATCTCACTACACAATTAGGGAACGAGATTTCAACAGCAGCAACTAGGAAAACCCAATCTTCTCATTGATTAAAAGTTTACAATGACATACAAAGCTAAGGATACACTCATTTCCATAAATGACCGTATCCTGATATGAAGTAACTTAATATGTTGTTGATAAGAGGCAATGCAATCACAAGGATGAATTGCATTTCACTATACTGTGTATTAAGACTAAATTTTTATTTATATAAAAATACCACGAAATTTTCTTGTGATTTCTGAAACGTATACAGTCTGATAAGATTTCTTTGCAGTTTCTGAATGTCTTGAAATCAAATTGTTTGTTTGTCTGTTTTTGAAGCTCATATGGTCAGCTGAGATTTTTTTCTCTTTTACAACTTCATACAATCTGGTCATTTATTGTTCTTGCACACCTGATTTACTTTTCTATAAGAGCATATGACTTTTACCCAGAATGTAAGTCTGTCTATTGATGTCGTCTGCTCTGACTCATTTGATGCATTTACTTGATGTCTGCTCACTCATTTGATGCATTTACCAGTAGCCTGAGTGGTATCACAACAAATTTTGCTTTTGTTTAGTAAAATCATTATTTGTTTGAGATTTTATCCATGTGATTAATTCAGGGCCCTGGTTATCACTATAAAATTAGTTTTAGAAGGGTTTTTTGGTTGTTTTTTATCCTTATTTGTTTTGTTTTTTTGTTTACTTTTAGGGGTTTTCTTTTTCCTGAACATATACGTCACTAAATGGGAGGTGAATCCACTACAATTAAACTGGTCTAGAATTTTCTCAAAGTCATCAAAGTTCATTTGAATAGTAATTAAACATTAAGTCTTCTTAATTTGAAATTACAAGTAAAGTACTGTTGTGTAATAAAAGACAATCTTTTATATGGGCATTATAGTAATCATTCTAAAATAAGGTTTCCTATGATCGTTAAAATGTCCTAGAAGCCAAGTTAATTACATGTTGTCCTCTTACAAACATAAAACGTAGACTTTCATGTAGGTAACTGAATTATCTGGCATCAGGAATTTAATTTAACTGTGCGATTTAAATTTAATTTCTATGTACCTACCAAGATTTGCTGTTTGATGGACAGAAGTCACGTGACATTTGATGTGCAATGTTTCTTCGTTAGTTCACATAGTTTTTCCTATAAAGGAAATGCATTTCCTGTCGACAGGAAAATGTCCTCTGGTTGAAACAAATAATCTTGCTTATAAGTTTGTTGTCACAGCATACAATCAAATAATGAGAGATTCCAATGGCAGAAGACATAACAATTAAAGATGTTAATTATTTACAGGCCACATCATGATAGATTTCTTTAGGAAGATGCAAAATTTAATTAAAAAACAGTTAATCTTGATTAAACCATTTTTGTATCCAAGTTAAACAATGTATATATGTATCATATGGTCTTATTGGAAATACTGTAGAGAATTCGTACATGGATTTAAAAAATAGTTTGATGTCAATGGAGCTTTTGAGATAAAAATCTTAGTTATCTTTAATAGAATTATAAATGAAGATCAATTTATTACTAGATATGATATGTCCAATGTAAAAATTTCAAGTGTTTAGGGAATTTAATCCAGTCAACTGTACAGTAATGAGAGACAGATTTTTTTATGTAAGAAATAAATGCTTGAATAAATGTTGTTGTTCTTAATCTGTTCCTAAATGATGCAAAGTTTGATTAGCATAACTTATAAAAATAGACACAACAGCTTGACTATTAAATCCTTGGATGTTTAAAACTACGATTAGATATGAATGAAAAGAGATGTTGGGTATTCTGAATCAATGGGACAGCAATGGAAGGACCAAAACTAACCAGAATAATAGATCAAGAGGGCAACATACAGACTTCAACAATAGACATGTGTCTGTACAATATGCCAAGCTCTAATTCGTCTCAAGTCTGAGCTTTCCTGAGCGATTTTTTCTGCATGTTGATCATGACAACCAATTTCAGTTCCTTTGAAAAAAATGTTTGTGAAAAAAGAGATGAGTGACCGATATTTTGAATCAATGCCTCTTGAAAAACATTTCATATTTACTTGATAATGAGAGGCCTGATGGGGGGGGGGGGGGGGGGTCTCATCACGATTCACGAGTTGATTTTTTTGTCAATCACGATTCACAGAAAATAAATTTCCATGATCACGGATCACGAAAATATAAAAAAAAAAAAAATCTGTAGAAAAAAACGGATCACAATAGCGAAAATGCGCGGATCACGATAGCGAAAATGCGCCGATCACGAAGAACGAAAATAACCCATCAGGCCCCTCGATAATTGTTACTTTGCATGTAAATGCTAATGCATCTTTTAATTTCAATGGATTGAAAAAGAAAAATTGACAGCTGGCAAGAAAAAAAATTTTCAAGTTGACATATAAATTTATGTACTTTACGATGAGGATGATAGATGGCTATTTAAAGTGTTGTGACAAATTAAATGCATATTCAGGACTGGTAAATATTAATGCAACATGAATTTGAACTCTGCTTTGTACTAGACCATCAAGCAGAGCCTGATTTTTGAAAGTCGAGGAAGGCGAGACATGCTTTTCTGGCAACAACAAAGGCGTCGTTGGCAACAACAATTTTTAAAGTTTTCTGCTTAAGTCAGTTTGATAGGAACTACTTGTGATAGATCAAAGATATCTTCTATAAAGTTGTATTACTATTAGTATATATCAGTTTGACAACTATTTCAAAGCCTAGTGCCCCCTAGGTTATGGTCCAGTCACTTTGAATTAATTAGCAATTTAGTTTTCTGCTTAGGTCAGTTTGATATGAACTACTTGTGATAGATCAATGATATTTTCTTTAAAGTTGTATTACTATTAGTATATATCAGTTTGACTACTATTTCAAAGTCCTAACTTCTAGGTCATGGTCCAGCGACTTTTAATTAATAAGCAATTTTCCATGTTAAGTTTTCTGCTGATGTCAGTTTGATAGGAACTACTTGAAAGAGATCAATGATATTATAAAGTTGCATTACTATCAATACATATCAGTTTGATGACTATTTAGAGGTCCTGCCTCATAGGTCATGGTCCATTGACTTTCAATTAATAATCAATTTTCAATGTTAAGTTTTCTGGTTAAGTTAGTTTGATAGGAACTTCTCTTGATAGAATATGATATTTTTATGCCCCACTTAGGGGCATTATGTTTTTCGGTCTGTTTGACCGTTCGTCCGTCTGTTCGTCCGTCCTTCTGTCCCGCTTCAGGTTAAAGCTTTTGGTCAAGGTAGTTTTTGATGAATTTGAAGTCCAATCAACTTGAAACTTAGTACTCATGTTCCCTATGATATGATCTTTCTATTGTTAATGCCAAATTAGAGTTTTGACCCCAATTTAACGGTCCACTGAACATAGAAAATGATAGCGCGAGTGGGGCATCCGTGTACTATGGACACATTCTTTTTTTTCAATATTTTGTGTTGTAAAAAATGACATTGAACTCATGGAAGAACATAACTTATAGCAAACATATTATTTAATTTATTTTGCCAGGTTAAGGGAGGGTCCCATGCTCAACCATTGAAACAACCCTATGAGAGGTCCATACTTATTTTTATAATATGTAGTGGTAATCAAAATGTATTTGGAAATAATTTTAAGCTATGCAGTTAAAAATCAATAATTGAACAATAATTAACCCTAAAAGACTCATAGCTTTAACTTAAGAATGGCTATAAATTTGTCAATCATTATATCATTATATTGATGAACTATTTAATGCTGACAGTCAAATTTTCATGTTACCAGTAGGAATCAATTGGATGTGAATTACTCTCATTTTATTTGCCAATTGAATAAATTTTCATGATATATTAATATATTTTTATTTTTTTTGTAATATAAGCAAAAGTTGTCCTAATTTGCAGGTCCCGAAAAATCATTAAACTATGATTTGAAAATGTGATATTTTTTTCAGGGATTTTGTAAACAGAAAGAATACATTGCTACACAAGGTAAGGTTGGATCAAATTTATTTGTATTTCAGTAAATTTTTAAATATGGTCTCTTTTGATACTCCCCCACCCACATACACACCTTTGTTTATTTGAATTTGGAAATTTTTTTAAAATCTCCCTCAAAATCTTTCTTATTTGAGAAAAACCTCCCATTTCCCACAACATTATTTGATTTTAAGGGCTAGTCCTTGTTTTGTCCTGAAAAGCTATCTTTTCTTAACTACGGTAAAAAAATTGTGAAAAATGTGTATTTATGCATAATACTCTCACCCTTTTTCGCCACAGAAATTTGGGAGAAAAGCCTTTTAGACACTTGATGAAACTACTGTAGGTTTCAGGTTGTCTATGGTTATATAAGCAGTATTTATATGGGAAAATATGCTTTCTTTTATTCTTTTATCAAAATTAAGTTAAAAAATGTGAACAAATGATTTTGGAGTACTACACAAGTGTTGAAATAATTAATTCAATATTAATAAAAAATTCAAAAGATTTTTCATTAACTGGAAATTTGATCAATCAGAACCTATGTGTAATCAGCAAACATATACTGGTATGCTTTTCCTGTCAAAGGTCCTGAATCTCGTACTCTGGCTGCCTCCACCAATAAATACTGACACCCCCCAATATAGTCAATAGTGCTGAAATTAGCCTTAAACACTAACATTTAATCAATTAATATTCTGGTATGTAAAATACCCTAATATTTGATCGACTTTAATCTAAAAGAAAAGATGTGAAAGTTTCTAATACTTAATCCTAACAAATAACTGATAACATTTCCAACTTTAGACATTGTTCAGTAGATCTGACAAGATTTTTTTCAAATGCTACAAGATGAAAGAAGAAATCTGTATTGAGGCTTAAGATTTTGATATTTATCAGTAAATACTGAATTTTTCATTAAAATTGCATAATAATATCGATTAGGTAAATGATTAAAATCATCTAGGATATGAAAAGAAAATAGGGCACCCTATACTTTGTCAAGAAAAATTATGGTGGCAAATGTAAACTTGATTATACTGACGCAAATATCCGTTTACCTACCTCCGCTACGCGTCGCTAGGTAAACTCAATTTGCAACAGTAAAATATACGTTTTACGAAGGCCAAGCTTAAAATACAATACAGTTATCTCCTTATTTTGAGGCAAAAACTGTAATTATACATTTCTGAATTCAATAATCAAATTCATTAATTTTTCAATTGAATATTAACAATAAAAAAATGTTGAACTTCAAAAATATATGATAAACCATAATAGAAAACAAATGTCTGCAAAACATTGGTTTGCCAAATCTCACACTACAAATGTTCATGATGATTTTAAAATGTGTGTTACTGTGTTGATGTAATCCCCTTGTCTATTAATAACTCTGATTAATACTTATTTTGTTACTACTGTTGACAGTTGTTGAGTACATATTTATTCAAGTAACATAAAGCTGGACTTGACCCGTTAAGATCCCTTATGCCTATTACCAGTACTAGAGGAAACTTGCTCCAGTCATTTTCTGATATAACTAGGTGTCCTCTGATTACAAATAATATATGATATGTTCAGAGTTGATCTGGTTTACCTTTAGCACTTCATTTTCCTCCATCGATAAAACCAATGAAATTATGCTGATGTAAAGAAAGAGGTGTTTAACCTAATCAAATGAAGAAGAAAAAATACAGAATGAATAAATTCATATGTTTCTTGTTGTGATAAGATCTGTCTTATTTTTATGAAATCGTTAAAGTAGTTAAAGTAATCAAGTACGTTTCACATTTGTGTCCATACCGTTTTTAGTCATTCTGACATAAAGGTGTGTTTAGCATTCACGCTTCCTGGTGCAGGCTTTGGTCAGAAAAATGTAACTAGGAAAACTGAAAATGGTATTGTTGATTAACTGTCTGTCTTTCATACTGTTGTCTTGACAATATATCAGGTTATGCTGAGAATAGATTTTATGCTACAATTTGCAATTAATACTGTTGCAACTGCAGGATTTTATCATTTGGATGTTTGTCTGTGAGAATTTTGTAATAAATTGTCTGGCCAGAGAGATATAATAATGTATAGTTAGAAATGTCACAGGATGGTTGTAATATTCTGTGCCTCATTTAGTAGATGATTTTCCATAATATCCAGCATTATAATCACCCTTTTCTTCGTTGTGGTGATGAAAAAAGATTTTTTTCTGTCATTAAATATTCTTTTAATTAAGGAGATAAAAATGATGTCGGCTCAGAGGACCTAAGCTTATATTGAAAGTATTGTACAAGACACACTAGGGAATTAACTATGTCTGTACACTCTGGTCAAATTAACTATGTCCGTACACTCTGGTCAAATTAACTATGTCCGTACACTCTGGTCAAATTAACTAGGGAATTAACTATGTCCGTACACTCTGGTCAAATTAACTATGTCCGTACACTCTGGTCAAATTAACTATGTCCGTACACTCTGGTCAAATTAACTAGGGAATTAACTATGTCCGTACACTCTGGTCAAATTAACTATGTCCGTACACTCTGGTCAAATTAACTATGTCCGTACACTCTGGTCAAATTAACTATGTCCGTACACTCTGGTCAAATTAACTATGTCCGTACACTCTGGTCAAATTAACTATGTCCGTACACTCTGGTCAAATTAACTATGTCCGTACACTCTGGTCAAATTAACTATGTCCGTACACTCTGGTCAAATTAACTATGTCCGTACACTCTGGTCAAATTAACTATGTCCGTACACTCTGGTCAAATTAACTATGTCCGTACACTCTGGTCAAATTAACTATGTCCGTACACTCTGGTCAAATTAACTATGTCCGTACACTCTGGTCAAATTAACTATGTCCGTACACTCTGGTCAAATTAACTATGTCCGTACACTCTGGTCAAATTAACTATGTCCGTACACTCTGGTCAAATTAACTATGTCCGTACACTCTGGTCAAATTAACTATGTCCGTACACTCTGGTCAAATTAACTATGTCCGTACACTCTGGTCAAATTAACTAGGGAATTAACTATGTCCGTACACTCTGGTCAAATTAACTAGGGAATTAACTATGTCCGTACACTCTGGTCAAATTAACTAGGGAATTAACTATGTCCGTACACTCTGGTCAAATTAACTAGGGAATTAACTATGTCCGTACACTCTGGTCAAATTAACTAGGGAATTAACTATGTCCGTACACTCTGGTCAAATTAACTAGGGAATTAACTATGTCCGTACACTCTGGTCAAATTAACTAGGGAATTAACTATGTCCGTACACTCTGGTCAAATTAACTAGGGAATTAACTATGTCCGTACACTCTGGTCAAATTAACTAGGGAATTAACTATGTCCGTACACTCTGGTCAAATTAACTAGGGAATTAACTATGTCCGTACACTCTGGTCAAATTAACTAGGGAATTAACTATGTCCGTACACTCTGGTCAAATTAACTAGGGAATTAACTATGTCCGTACACTCTGGTCAAATTAACTAGGGAATTAACTATGTCCGTACACTCTGGTCAAATTAACTAGGGAATTAACTATGTCCGTACACTCTGGTCAAATTAACTAGGGAATTAACTATGTCCGTACACTCTGGTCAAATTAACTAGGGAATTAACTATGTCCGTACACTCTGGTCAAATTAACTAGGGAATTAACTATGTCCGTACACTCTGGTCAAATTAACTAGGGAATTAACTATGTCCGTACACTCTGGTCAAATTAACTAGGGAATTAACTATGTCTGTACACTCTGGTCAAATAATACAGCTTTAGGACTTCATTTTTTATACGCCGGTCAAAATTTGACGGGACGTATTATGGTATACAAATGTCGTCTGTCCATCTGTCTGTCCGGCGTAAACATGTCGCACCGTAACTTGAGAACGACTTATCCAAATTTCATGAAACTTAACATAGTTGTTTCTTATGATGGTCAAACGATCTGTATACTTTTTGGTGAAAATAAGATTAAAACTTTTTGAGTTACGGGACTTAGTAATAAAAACAGGTGTGTGTTTTTGAGTTACAGGACTTAGTAACTAAAACAGGTGTGTGTTTTTTTTCACATGTCGCCGTATCTCAAAAACAATTTATGATTATTGCTTAAAACTTTACACACTTCTTAGTTATATTAATATTAAGATCTGTATACTTTTTGGTGATGATTCAAAATTTTATTTTTGAGTTATTGAGTATTTTGTAAAAAAAGGGGGAGGGGTTTTTCACATGTCGCGCTGTATCTCAAAAACGATTTATGATTATTGCTTAAAATTTTACACACTTCTTAGTTATATTGATCTTAAGATCTGTATACTTTTTGGTTTTGATTCAAAGTTTTATTTTACTTAGTTATATTGATCTTAAGATCTGTATACTTTTTGGTTTTGATTCAAAGTTTTATTTTAGAGATATTGATTTTTTTTTGTAAAAAGGGGGGTTTTCACATGTCGCGCCGTATCTCAAAAACGATTTATGATTATTGCTTAAAATTTTACACACTTCTTAGTTATATTAATCTAAAGATCTGTATACTTTTTGGTTTTAATTCAAAATTTTATTTTACAGATATTGAGTTTTTTGTAAAAAAAAATTCACACACAAGACGACGGGCGTATCATGCGCTCATGGTGCAGCTGTTTATTATTGAATAAATTATGTTGATAAAAGGATTTAATGAATGAGAAGGACATTGATTAAAAGATTTAATGAATTGATATAAGTTGATAAAAAAAATTTAATGAATTAAATTCGTCTGAAATTAGACTTTTGAATTTATTTGTCAGAAAATATTAAAATTCAAATATTTGTATAAATTCTATTGAAAATTATTATAAAAAGTTGGTGGTTCTTTCCAGGTTCTCTGGCTTTCTCCATCAATAAAAACTGCCACAATATAACCAAAACTGATGAAAGTGGTGTTAAGCAGCAACAATCAATCAGTCATTAAAAACAATCATTGGCTGAAACAGTTTTCACTGGCAGTATGCCAGTGGACCAGTTCTGTGAACGGTTATAATGAATGTTGCTTGTTAAAGTTAAGAAGGCATACAGTTGCATTTTGATGTAAATAATAAAGTATCATTTAAATTTGAAAAAAATGAATTTTATGAACAGAAATATTGCTGTTTTTTATATGCAGAACTAAGTTCATAAAGGGTCAAATATAACCCTGAAAATCTCTAAAAATTCAAACTTTGAAAAATACCTGTCTTCTAATGAAATGTTTTGATGTTCTGATTGAAATAAATTTGGTTTTTATGTAGATTTCACATAATGACATTATCATTATGTCCTCCAGCAAATATTTTGCTAGTTTTTAAAGAGTTTTTGATTTTGGAACCATTAGTTGCATGCTCGAACCAAAATAATTCTACTCAAGCAACAAATCTGGTCAATATTAATTAAACTTCGTGCAGTTAATATTCATGCAGTACAGCTTGGCCTTGGGTGTTATTGTCTTTAATTTCAACATGCAAGATGAATTCCTGTCAATATTGATTATACCTTTATGAGGGTCGTAATGGGGGTACCTTCATGACGAACAACGGTAAAAAATCTTGCCAAATGACTTTAACAGTAATTTTTGGTGCATGACGATAAAATGTACACTTTCTTTAAGACGATAAAAAAATCGACTGATTTTGACGAATCACGTTAATTTTTTTCCAAAAATAATGGTAACAATAATTATTTGAGACCTCTGACGAATCACGATAAAATTTTAACCAATTTGACGCTAACGGTAGCCAAAAATGACTGTTTCACGCCTGACGGTAAAGGGCATTCCTACCCTTCTTTATTTGTCATAGAAAATCATATTGGGTTTGGTATAAAGTGTGGCCAAATTGTTATAACACATAAATGTGTAAAAAGGACATATTTCCGTTAATCTGATATTATCCAGTTTCAGAGACAAATCAGTTTTATATAAATTGAACTTCAGGTATTCAGTATTCCATACTTAAGATTTTAAGGATTTAAATCAGGCATTCATAGACCTTCTTTTTCTCTTTTCTCTTTTTGAATTCTTGTTCAATGCTTCTCATGTTAATGAACCAAGTCTAATACAGCTGTTTTTTAATTTAATAATTTGAAAAAGTTAAGAGAAGACTGTAAAGGGTTAGATAAGGCCTTACAAATTGATTTATTTTATAATGTACCAGCAATTACTGGTATCAGTTAATTAAAGATTAACTTGTCTTTTACACAGCCACCAATCCCAGTGAATCATGCTCAAATAATATGAAACCAAGCCTGTGGGTACTAATACTCCCTGATATGATAAGGAGGTACTAAACCTCGGATATTTCCAGGGTACAACATCTCTTAGATTATCTGTTTTTCAAAAATTGACATTTCATATTTGTCCTGAACATGCATGAAATATTTGCCACTGGACATTAAGCAAACATCAGCTAATCTTTTACATGTTATCATCATCTGAATGCATATTGCCTAGTTTTTTGCTAGAACATTTGTCAAAGTGAATTATCATTAAAAATGAATTCTAGTTAACAAGATATTTACAATTGTTAAAATTACAGTAATAGCTACAAAATTAAGAGGATGTGAATTTTTACTTTTACGCTCCTTTGATTGAGTCTGCTAATTTTATCATTACAGGTCCAAGACAAAAAACCATTCCTTGTTTTTGGCATATGGTATGGCAGGAGAATGTCCATTGTATTGTCATGGCAACAGGCTTATTTGAGAATGCTAATGTAAGTCAATTCATTCTTAAATATTTAACTTGAATAAAATCTATGATTATAAAACGCTATGAATTGAAATTAAGAATACATCTTATTGCTGTCTTTCTGTCATTATGAGATATCACAGATTTCCCTGAACATATGAATCCACCAAAGAAAATGTTTTGACATAATTTCTATTTACCATTGACTTGGTTTATAAGAAATGAAGAATCTTGATTCTTGTCTCAGCTGTTTAATTATAATTTGTATTTATTTACAGCAACAGTGTGACAAATATTGGGGAGATGTGTTCAGTGCTCAGAGATATGTCCGACATGGTGATATACACATCTGGTTAGACTCCACCATGGAAATGGCACAGCTGACAGTTCGCTCATTCAGAATACAACATGTAATTCTATTTATGTTTTATGTCAAATATTATTTAGACTTGACTTACATAGAAGTATTTAGATTCATTGGCAGAATTTCTAAAAATCAAACAGAATATGTAAAAGACCTTTGTAGCTTCAGGGTCAAGTCAGAATTACCATACAGTACATGGCCAAAAGTATTCCTTACTTGTGAATTTTTCACTATAAATATAAAACTTAAGTTTTTAAAAAAAAATATGGTTGGGACATTTGGTACCTATTTGTTCTGTAGGTTTTGTATGACATAGTCATAAATCCGAACGTTGCCACCCCAATTCACCAGCAATCACATAGTCATAAATCCGAACGTTGCCACCCCAATTCACCAGCAATCACATAGTCATAAATCAGAACTTTGTCACTCCAATTCACCAGCAATCACATAGTCATAAATCAGAACATTGCCACTCAAATTCACCAGCAATCACATAGTCATAAATCAGAACGTTGCCACCCCAATTCACCAGCAATCACATAGTCATAAATCAGAACTTTGTTACTCCAATTCACCAGCAATCACATAGTCATAAATCAGAACGATGCCACTCCAATTCACCAGCAATCACATAGTCATAAATCAGAACATTGCCACTCCAATTCACCAGCAATCACATAGTCATAAATCAGAACTTTGTCACTCCAATTCACCAGCAATCACATAGTCATAAATCAGAACGTTGCCACTCCAATTCACCAGCAATCACATAGTCATAAATCAGAACGTTGCCACTCCAATTCACCAGCAATCACATAGTCATAAATCAGAACTTTGTCACTCCAATTCACCAGCAATCACATAGTCATAAATCCGAACGTTGCCACCCCAATTCACCAGCAATCACATAGTCATAAATCAGAACTTTGTCACTCCAATTCACCAGCAATCACATAGTCATAAATCAGAACAATGCCACTCCAATTCACCAGCAATCACATAGTCATAAAACAGAACGTTGCCACTCCAATTCACCAGCAATCACATAGTCATAAATCAGAACTTTGTCACTCAAATTCACCAGCAATCACATAGTCATAAATCAGAACGTTGCCACTCCAATTCACTAGCAATCACATAGTCATAAATCAGAACGTTGCCACTCCAATTCACCAGCAATCACATAGTCATAAATCAGAACTTTGTCACTCCAATTCACCATCAATCACATAGTCATAAATCAGAAAGATGCCACTCCAATTCACCAGCAATCACATAGTCATAAATCAGAACATTGTCACTCCAATTCACCAGCAATCACATAGTCATAAATCAGAACTTTGTCACTCCAATTCACCAGCAATCACATAGTCATAAATCAGAACGTTGCCACTCCAATTCACCAGCAATCACATACTGTGGATTCATTTTTATTCGTGGTATACCAATTTTCGTGGGTTTCGTGGGTCAAAGCGAACCACGAATTTAAGAATTCAATGAAGAATAATCCCGAGAAATGTGTATGGAATCGGATGTTTATTTCCGGTTATGTTATGCAGTTCTAGTATAGTGTTGACTATCGATAAACATTGTAACATAACACGTGTTTTTATTAAAAGAAGATACAAGTATTTTGATTAAATCAATAATAAATATATCGAATATCAGTGATAATTTACTTTTTAAAATTGAATAAAACTGTTCATGGAAAATAACTGCAAGTTGTTAATTACCGTGTCATAGTGTGGTTTACTGGTGATTAAAAATCACTAGGATTAAGTACGTGGATATTGCCCGTAGGTAACATTGTTTATGACAGGAACATTTATTTTCACACCTTTTACTTATATGACTGTTTATTATATCGTGATTAGGGAAATGAGCTTTCAATCATAGAGTTTTTAATGCCTTATAAAATTCCGACAAGAATTTATAAATTGTAAAACAAACAAGTAATTAGTTGTCTCTGTCCATTATTGTAATAGAATTTTTCAATGAACACTTTAATCTAGAATGACCAAGCGAGGATTTTGACAATTCAAAACTTTTTCAATGAATTCCTTCTTTTTTGTTTGTTTTATTATTGATCAAACCAAGGAGGTTAAATGATCTCTTAAATTAAAAAGAAATCCACGAATTACGTATCTGATTTTTTTTCTTTTTGTAATCAGCGATCCACGAATTTACGTATACCACGAAACGTCTTTTTTTCTCTATCCACGAAAATTGATACCCACGAAAATAAATGAATCCACAGTAGTCATAAATCAGAACGTTGTCACTCCAATTCACCAGCAATCTCTCTGTTTAACAATGATTCACTCAACACCATGTGATTTTTCAATGAATCACATATTTTATGCTGTAAAGTCCTCATATTTTAGGGAATTTATCATATGCTGTTGTTATCTACAGTTAGGGTACATATTTTTAACTATGAACATAGCCAACAAAAGGGATTGGATAACTTAATATGTTTTCAAGGGTACTTCTTTAAACTCAGAATTTTCTTTGTTTATTTAAAATTGCAATTGTTGAAGAATGGACAAAATTGCAAGATTTATTAAACAGCAATGCTAGATACAAATAATGCTGTCAAAATTTGAATTGCAAGTTTTTTTTGTGAAAACATATCTCGTCTCAATTTTGGAAATTATAAAAACATTGAAAACATGTCTGAATTTACAGTATTTTTTGTAGTACCACAACTGAATATCTAGAAAAAGAGTTATTTTACAATACCATCATATTCAAGTTAAATTGTTTTTTTCTAGGAAGGATCTTCTGTTGAACGTAAAGTCAAACATTTTGAAATGGTTGGTTTTAACGATGAAGCTACAGATCCTGGCTTTATTTTAGATGTCTGTCGTCGTGTAAACAACCATGTTACTGCCACCTCTGGACCTATACTTGTACATTGCAGGTAAATAGTAAATAACAGTGTAAGATCTAGACATTCCTGCAGGTAAATAGTAAATAACAGTGTCAGATCTAGACATTCCTGCAGGTAAATAGTTAATAACAGTGTAAGATCTAGACATTCCTGCAGGTAAATAGTTAATAACAGTGTAAGATCTAGACATTCCTGCAGGTAAGTAGTTAATAACAGTGTAAGATCTAGACATTCCTGCAGGTAAATAGTTAATAACAGTGTAAGATCTAGACATTCCTGCAGGTAAAAAGTTAATAACAGTGTCAGATCTAGACATTATTGCAGGTAAATAGTTAATAACAGTATAAGATCTAGACATTCCTGCAGGTAAATAGTTAATAACAGTGTAAGATCTAGACATTCCTGCAGGTAAATAGTTAATAACAGTGTCAGATCTAGACATTCCTGCAGGTAAATAGTTAATAATAGTATAAGATCTAGACATTCCTGCAGGTACATAGTTAATAACAGTGTAAGATCTAGACATTCCTGCAGGTAAATAGTTAATAACAGTGTAAGATCTAGACATTCCTGCAGGTAAATAGTAAATAACAGTATAAGATCTAGACATTCCTGCAGGTACATAGTTATTAACAGTGTAAGATCTAGACATTCCTCCAAGTAATTTAAACCAAGTAAAAACAATTCTAGTCGATATGGATGGATGGGTTTTTTATAACTACATGTATGTTGATGTTGACTGGTTGATCTGCGAAAAAGGGTGTGTATACTGTTCTACCCCTGTCTATCCCCCCCCCCATTTAATTTCCATCACATTTTTCTCAGGAACTACAAATCAGAGCTTCCTAAAATGAAATTAGTGAACAGGCTTCATGTAGTAAAATTGAGAATGGAAATGGGGAATATGTCAAAGAGACAACAACCCGACCAAAGAGCAGATAACAGCCGAAGGCCACCAATGGGTCTTCAACGCAGCGAGAAAATCCTGTAAGCATACTACTGTGGATTAACAGGCTTCATATAAGCATACTACTGTGGATTAACAGGCTTCATGTAAGCATACTACTGTGGATTAACAGGCTTCATGTAAGCATACTACTGTGGATTAACAGGCTTCATGTAAGCATACTACTGTGGATTAACAGGCTTCATGTAAGCAAACTATTGTGGATTAACAGGTTTCATGTAAATTTGAATAACTATTTTGAGGTATAAAGTTCATATAATAGAGGATTTAAATAGTCAGGCTAACTTCCCCCATGGGGGAAATCGGGATAGTTGGCAGATCTGTTAATATTTAATGCAAATTTCAGAAATTTTGGCATGAAAGGGAAGATAATTTGGTTCTTTATGGAATGAATTTAAAATGAAATAAGTCATCTGAAGCCACATATAAAGATGCATTGCTATATATATACCTTTGAAACCTCATATACTTATTAGATCTGTAGTATTAGATAAGACTGTTTTACCAATTTTCCAGCTTTAATAATCAAAAGTTCATCTCTTGTCATCTCAATTGATACTCCTGTCATAGAATTGTAAATAAATTAAACACTTCATAGTTCAGGGCCAGTAAGCAAATGATTTTACTTTTGTAATCGATCAAAACACTCAGTATAAAAATTTATATTTTATTACAACTCAAAATCTATTTTCACCTGTATGGTACTCATTGTTTGACGTTCTGAGCAGAAGGCGTGAAATTTAATACCATCGAACTAAATTAATGAAATTGCAGGTTCTTTTCATTCTAAAAATGGTAAACACAGTTTTAATTGAATTTGAAATTTTTTCTGTTTTTTTTTGTTTTTAGTATTATCGAGAAAAATTCAATTTGACATTTTACTACTCATTTATTGATACATGTACATTTATTCATTGTATTGTATATATACAAAATACAGGCCTTGTTGGATTTTGACTTTTAAAATTCTGTTCACCCTTGAATATGTGTCAAATATCTGTAAATTTTAGTTTCCTTGCAGAAGAATGTATATGAAATTTGTCTTTAATACATCTAGGACCTTCAAACAAAATGTTTTTTTATTTGTTTTAATTCACCATAACATACTTGTACCTTGATTTCAAAACATTGACCTTGGCTTCAAGTTCAGTCCTTTATTACAGCAACTTTTAGCTGAGACTGATGTTTTGTACAAATTAAAAAATCAATAACTAAATTGACTACAAACTGATACAAGAAGACAGTTGTAAAATAATGAATTGAAGATGTATAGTTAATGAGTTTTATCTGCCTCAATCCTGTCACAGATTTGTTATATCGAGGTAATGAGTTTTATCTACCTCAATCCTGTAACAGATTTGTTATATCGATCGAATTGTTTCAAGAATAATTAATTTTCATAATACATGTACACGTATTTTATTTTATGTCTTGATGATTTAAGAAAAATTACAATAGAAATAGGTGTAACTTTTTGTATGGTTAAAATATGTGACAGTGAATAAAAGATGTGTGGTATATATGATTGAGACAGCAACCCAATAATACAGGAATAGCAAGAGACATCTAGAGATCAACATACCACCAATAGACAGATGCTTACACAGTATGCCAAGCTCTTTGTCATGTTTCTAACAAATGTATTAGTGGATAAACACCAAATTCTCAAAAAGATCATAAAAAATCAAATATAAATGAAAATAACCAAATTGAATTGAAATCTTATCCCATAGAATTTGTTTTATAAAATTATACACAATCAAGTGTTGTACAATTAAGAAAAGACCTCAATGAGCAATCTTTGACTGGATAGCAGAGAATTATTTTGACTTGACTTGAGTGATAATTTCAGAATTGTTTTTAATGATAATTCTGCACAAATATGTATAGAATGAAATGCAGACCTGAGTTCCTTGGTTTAACCCCAGTAAAATTTATATCCTATTAGTTAATTTACAAGGCTTATCATGTTTTGTCACTTCTGATTCCAAAAGGATGCAATGTTTTTGCTGGCAATATTAAATCTGCATATTTATTTTGTGAAATGGTGGTATAACTGCACATTAGAGTCAATGTATACTCTTCATATTTGAGTCAAGATTTACTCTTCATTTTTAAGTCAATATTTACTCTTCATTTTTAAGTCAATATTTACGCTTCACATTCAAGTCAATATTTACTCTCCACATTAGAGTCAATATTTACTCTCCACATTAGAGTCAATATTTACTCTCCACATTAGAGTCAATATTTACTCTCCACATTAGAGTCAATATTTACTCTCCACTTTAGAGTCAATATTTACTCTCCACATTTGAGTCAATATTTAGTCTCCACATTTGAGTCAATATTTAGTCTCCACATTTGAGTCAATATTTACTCTCCACATTAGAGTCAATATTTAGTCTTCACATTTGAGTCAATATTTACTCTCCACATTAGAGTCAATATTTACTCTCCACATTAGAGTCAATATTTACTCTCCACATTAGAGTCAATATTTAGTCTTCACATTTGAGTCATTTTTACTCTTCACATTTGAGTCAATATTTATTCTCCACATTGGAGTCAATATTTAGTCTTCACATTTGAGTCATTTTTACTCTTCACATTTGAGTAATTTTTACTCTTTCTACTGATAATTCCAACACAACAATGAAAACTCATTTAATCTTAATTAAGGTTAGCCTTCCATCAGCTAAGAATAACTTCAGTAGAACAAAAGCAGTAACATAATCAATGATTTTTCTATTATTAATGATGATACTTTCTCTAGAGGGTCATATTGTCAGACAGGATGAATTCATCTTTTGATTAAAATCTTTTTTATTTCTATTTTATTGATGAAAATCATGATGATGGAATCCGTGATTTTAGTACGGCTTTTGTTTTTGTTCTGTCTTAATTTCTTCATTTCCAATGTGTAATTTGAGATAAAGAGGTTGAGTAAATACGAACAATAAGTACAAACTGTTTTCTTTACATCAAAACAAGTTTTTATACAACACAAGCTGTTTAATTGAGTTCTTGACAATATGTAACATGATTTATCGTAAGAGTATATACAAGCTAATGATTTATGGCCTGTAAATCGGCACAAAACACTAATAGTACATGATTCAACTTTTAATATTAGAATGCCTTTTGTGCAAGCAACATATTAAAACTCTACAATTGACATTAAAAAGATGGACATTGGGAAAAAGTAAGATACAATTTTCTATTGCAAATCAAAATGAAAATTTGGGAGATTTTATCATTGTTTTACTAAGTTTGTAGAAAATTTACCTCTAAAATCTTTCTGAAAAGCAAGGGGTTTAATGATAGAAAGCAAACCAGTGATGAATTCAGATCATATGACAGGGCTCTCTAAGCCTTTAGCATCATCTGGTTTTAGAAATGGAGAACCATCATCATTTAATAATTTTTGTAAACCAGATAACAATAGCGCATTGACTGACAATACATCAGTGTATCCATTAAATCAAATATGAAAGGAGAATTTTGCTCATTATCCAAGGCATGATATATTTAGATATGTAGTTAAATTAAAGAATTATTTTTCAGGTGTGGGGGTGGTAAAACAGCAGTATTTATTGCAATAGACTATTGTTTAAAACAACTACAATCAGATGCAAATGTTGATGTGTATAGTACTGTTTTACATCTACGCAAATTTAGAAAAAATATGGTGCGCTCTTTGGTAAGTATTATGCTGTATTTTTTATGATGAAAAAAAATGTTATTAAAGTCAAAACCATGTGTACAGTTATAGCTGTCATTTGTACAGAACATATGATTTGTTGCTTTGTAATCCTTTCAAGAAAAAGGGAGTGAGAAGGCCACTTTTCTTGCCCTTTGATTTTTTTAGTTTTCTAAGTCTATCATAGAATATCCTTCAGATGTTACCAAACATTAGGATGTCAGATGACAAACAATATATGTGAATTCTGTTGTACATATGTACATTAAATTTCTTCAAACTTCTATCATTATAGGAAAAGCTGTTAAAATTGCAAAAATTGCATAAATTTTAGGTATTCATTCTTTTACCTACGAGCAACACACTTATCCAAATTGATATTTTGCCAAATGGTGTCTGATTCAAATATTTTGTTTTAAGTGAAATATTGTTTTATGTAGACTGCTGTTCATACTAAATTCAACTAAAAGCTATATGAAAAATGGCCATTTTTGGTTATATAAGTCAATTATGACCTGTCTATGACATCACAATTACATCACAAAAGACATATTTGCACTAGGCTATATCCTTCTATTCATTTATAGATGAACATATTAGCGATTTTAAAAGGTTTGAAGATTTTACCATTTTTGCAATTTCAAGGGTCAAATAATGGCTCATATCAATAACTTCTCTTTTTATTAGATAAAAAAATCAGACAAACAACTTTTCATGCTATGTCTAAAATAAAAAATACAAGATATAGAATTGCAAATAACAAGCCCCCGAACTACATTATACCACCAACCCTTGCATATCTCCTTAAGCAGAACTGTTTCATAATGACTAGTAACTGCTGTGATGGTGGTCACTTTGTTTACTTGTTTATGTAAATACTATTTATTTAGGGAAATTTGTTAAAATTGTTATTATTTATAGTTCCATAACTATTTCTCCCGAGACTGGCCATGTAAATATTCTTGTTGGGTTACAACTGTTTCTTGCACATGCCTGACATTCTGGCCAGGCTCATTATCACTAGGAACTATAAATACGATGTCACTCACCATGTTCAGGGCAGTCTACCAGTGAGGATTTGAAATGAAAAGACGCTCATACTTTGGCTTGCAGATATGGAACTTTTCATAAGTCAACAAGTAAACTAGCTGCCATACTTATATATTTATTGTATATATAACACTTGTGTTCAACCATATGTCATCTAAATAAACATCTTGTTTATACATTTACGTAGTTTGTCCAATATCCCAGAACTTGGGTAGACAATGGGAAGACAACTAAGCAGAGTGAAAACAAACTTCCTTAACAATGCTATATATATGTTTTATATTTCAGTTCCAGTATCGCCTTATATATGAATCTGTATCTATGCACATACAGTGTGGTGCCACTGTAATGACAGAGGCAGAGGTACCTATCATAGCTCAATGTCTGTCCAAAGAAAATCCTAAATCTAAAATGTCCGGATTTGAGAAAGAATTTCAGGTATGTTCCTTATTAAAAGAGCTCCAAGAAACTAAGTGGTTGAATGTTAATTAAAGTTCGCTTTCCAAAGTTAGTTCTGTAACAAAATGGAAGAATTAAAGCAAGAAAGCATTTGAATAACTCCTAAAAAAGACTAAAATCTGCAAATTGGCTAGATTTGAAAAAAAGAATTTGAGGCAACACTTTGAGGAAAACCATTACTTTATTGATACAAAATTGTTTCACCATTCAGATTCAGATTTTAAGTTGACTTATTTGAATTGCAATTTTAGGTTCAGATTTTAACCGATTTATGCATCAAGATGTTCAGATCCACTATCAATACTGAGGATAAAATACTTAAATAAGAGGGCCTTTTAACACACATATGCATTTGACAATTTCTTAACAGTCCTATACTACAATTATGGTTAGGGCAATTCTATGTGAAATTTCCATGGCTATCCAAACCTCACCCCAAAATCTCTCAAAATTTGCAAAATTTCAGAAAAGTACATTGCATGATCTTTTTAAATGTCCTGGAATGAAATGTCTAAGATGTAAGTTTAACAAGAAACCTTTTGTGTTCAACTAACATATTAATTATATCATTGTGAACTGCTCTATGGTCGGGTTTTTGTCTCTTTGACACATTCCCCATTTCTATTCTGAATTTTATTTGGAAATATAAAAATGTAATAAAACAACAACTAAGATAAATAATCAATCAGTCTGTAATTGAATACTTAATTATGTTACTTTTCAGAATTTTGAAAAAAATTCATATGAATTATTTGAAATTACAGAATAGATGCATTGCTATTTAAGAAATTGACTTGTTGAAGGTCGTACGGCGACCTGTAATTGTTTACATCTTTGTCCTTTGGTCTGCATGGATAGTTATCTCATTGGCAATAATATCACACCTTCTTAATTTAAATTCCTTACATATTTTTTTCAGACAATTCGTACATTAGTGCCAAAGTTAAGCATTGGTGATTGTGCTGGAGGTCACAGGTCAGAAAACAGAAACAAAAGTCGAGACATCATGCTTCTTCCACGTAAATATTAATTAATGATCATAATTTTGTAGCATTAAAATAAATAGCACAGACATACAGACCATCATGAATGATGAACTTAGTAAGAGCTTTATGATAATTTCAGTCTTTAAATAAAAGTAAATACACGTTAATGGTATTTTCATCTGTCTGCCAGTTTATTTAGGATATTTTTATATAATCAGAGAAACATGACCAGAAGATTTGTAATAAGGACTGAAAAATTCGATGTATATTGCTGTATAAGCATTGAAATTGATATTTTATTACATTAAAGAGTTGACAATAATAAAGTATTATTGTATAACAACATGATCATGATATTTCCCCCAGAACTAACGAAAAGTTAGGGTGCAATATATTTAGGTTATCAGGTTTTTTACACATTGATTTCTCAAAATATCAGTCGTGTCAAGATAATCTATTATATTGCACTAGTGCATATATAGCTTCAAATTATTGATGTCATCAATGGCAAAAATATCAATGGGAAGTTTGGAATACCACAGATTATTAATTAATTAATTTGTGTATTGTTTTCAAAATGTACTGTTGTTTGTGTTTTATTAATATGAAATTTAAGCACTAAACTGTGGTTCTTTTCCCAAACATGTCTTTGTTTTACACTAGTAACCATCTGGATTCACAGGTTTCCTGACTGGACTCAGATCAGAGTTAGACATTGACATGCATCTGATCTGATACTGGTCTAGATTCCAACAGCATCTATACATACACAGGGGGAAGGGAAATGGATGGGGCTGTTTCAAAGTGATATGAATTAATAGGTTATATATATATATCACACTTGTAAGCCCTTGCAATATTTAAATCTACTCTTCACAATATTCATCAATATTCATGCAATAACCCTTTAATGTAATACTACAAAATAATTGTATGTATGAGTCATAAGCGATCATGCATTTTGGTGACTTTTATAGAAGAACAAACACAAATGGTACAAAGCAAAAAATAATAAGTCCATGTCACTGTTCCCTTTCATAATTACGTAGTTTAACTTTAAGGTTAATTTCAGTATACATTTGTTCAACAAAGTTAGGAAGGGGATAAAGCAGCTTTCTGTTCTTTTGTTCATTTATAGCTCACAGGGCCCAAAGGGCCCAATGTGAGCTTATGCCATCACTTGGCGTCCTCCGTCGTCATCGTAGTAAACTATTTCAAGAATCCTCTCCTCTGAAACTACTGGGCCAAATACCTTCAAACTTTTACTGAATGTTCCTTAGGGTATCTCCGCCATGGCTAAAAATAAAACATAGGGGTCAAATGCAGCTTTTTGGCTTATATCTCAAAAACTAAAGCATTTGGAGCAAATCTGACGGGGTATAAATGTTCAATAGGTCAAGATCTATCAGCCCTGAAATTTTAAGACAAATCAAACTACCCATTGTTGGGTTGCTGCCACTAAATTGGTAATTTTAAGGAAATTTTGCAGTTTTTGGTTATTATCTTGAATATTATTGAAGATAAAGATAAAATATAACAGCAAAAATGTTCAGCAAATTAAGATCTACAAAAAAGTAAATTTGACCAAAATTGTCAATTGACCCCATAAGGAGTTATTGCCCTTTAAAGACAACTTTACACAATTTGTTCATCATGTTTGCTAACATTTGAAAATCTTCTCCTCTGAAACTACAGGGCCAAATACTTCTAAACTTTAACTGAATGTTCCTTATGGTATCTAATTTATAAAATGTTTTGGTCCATCAACAAACATGGCTGCCGTGGCTAAAAATAGAACATAGGGGACAAAAGCAGTTTTTGGCTTATACCTCAAAAACTACAGCAGTTAGAGCAAAAGTGAAGGGGAGTTAAAGTGATAAATGGGTCATGATCTATCTGTTATGAAATTTTCAGACAAGTTCGATCGACAACCCATTGTTGGGTTACTGTTGGAAATAGTTTATTTTTATTAAATTTTACTGTTTTTGGTTATTTTCTTTAATATTATGATAGATAGAGAGAAAGTATAAATGGCAATAAATGTTCAGCTAAGTAAGATCTACAAATAAGTCAATTGACCCCTTAAGGAGTTATTGGCCTTTAACCCTTTTTTTTTTTTTACATTTTTTGTGAAAGTCTATTACTTTTTCAAAATTTTTTTTTTCTCTGAAACTACTTGGCCAAATACTTAAAAACTTTAATTGAATGTTCCTTAGGGTACCTAGTTTATAGATTGTATTCGGGGATTTGATCCATTCAACAAAATGGCAGCAGTCAAATGAAGATTATGGCTTTCATCTCAAAAACTAAAGCAGTAAGAGCAAAACTGACATAGGTGAAAGTGTTAAACAGGTTTAGATCTACTGTCAAGTAATCTTCAAATAAAAAGGACAACTTATTGGGTTACTGTCCAGAAATAGTTAATTTTTAGGAAATTTTACAGTTTTGGGTTATGTATTATCTTTGATATTATTATAGAAAGAGAGAAAGTGTAAATGACAAAATTGTTCAGCAAAGAAAGATCTACAAATAAGTCAAATGCTTGAAACTGAAATTACAGGTGAGCGATATCAGGCTTTCATGAGCCTCTTGTTGTTCCTCCATTGTGTTAAGGTCTACTAGATATAAGCAGCTACAAACTATACAAAGGATGATCTGTTGTTAGTTGATGCATTATGTTTATTGATGCTGGTCCTCACACTAATTAGTATTGATGCTGGTCCTCACACTAATTATTGATGCTGGTCCTCACACTAATTAGTATTGATGCTGGTCCTCACACTAATTAGTATTGATGCTGGTCCTCACACTAACTAGTATTGATGCTGGTCCTCACACTAACTAGTATTGATGCTGGTCCTCACACTAACTAGTATTGATGCTGGTCCTCACACTAACTAGTATTGATGCTGGTCCTCACACTAACTAGTATTGATGCTGGTCCTCACACTAATTAGTATTGATGCTGGTCCTCACACTAATTAGTATTGATGCTGGTCCTCACACTAATTAGTATTGATGCTGGTCCTCACACTAACTAGTATTGATGCTGGTCCTCACACTAACTAGTATTGATGCTGGTCCTCACACTAATTAGTATTGATGCTGGTCCTCACACTAATTAGTATTGATGCTGGTCCTCACACTAATTAGTATTGATGCTGGTCCTCACACTAATTAGCTCACCTTGACCTTGATTTTATGTGTTAATGGCTGTAAGGTTTATGTTTTAGTCCAGATTTAAGGAACTCCAAATCGTGGAGAAAAAAGTTTTGTCAGTTGATACATTAGGTTTAAAGTGATGAAGGTCATCATGTTATTCATTTAATTCTTTTGTATTTAAACGGTAAAGTAGGATATATGGTATTTTCAATGATGCCTACTAAGTGAGGTATTTTATTTATTTTGTAGCCGAGAGGGCCAGACCATATCTTTTAACAGCAGAATCTGGTGACAATGGTACTGACTTTATTAATGCAGTCTTTGTAGATGTAAGTTTTCATAAAGGTTACTATTTAAAAACTGAATGAAAGGAGATATGAAGTTTAGCACAACGAGACAGCAACACAACAAAACTAAATAAAAAAACATATGGTTAAAAAAAAACACTTAGCCATAATGTATATGCAAGTTGGAATTTTTCTGAATTTACATAAACTATTTAAAAAAGGAGTAGGTCTAGTAAGACCCCTTTTTGGCCCCAAAATAAAGCAGTTTTACAAAATTGTTAGAATGTAAACTTTTAGCTATTTATTGGAAAGTAGAATACTTCTTTTACATAAATATGGGCTGTTTTTGACAATACAATGCACATGTATCGGGTACTAGCATCATAAAGTAATGCTAAATTACTGAAATCTTCACAATTTTAGCATTTGGGTTAAATTTTAGACGGTTTCTGTCTTAAATGGAAGTGGCCACATTTGTGTTCAGTCTTAATATTTAAATGTAAGTTGTTTTTGATGATAATACATAACATATATAAAGGTTGAGAATGAACACGGATGCGGCCACTTTCATTTTTGACAAAAACCATCTGAAAAGTGACATATTATGGCATATTTGATAGATTTTTCATATTTAAGCTTGAATTTTAGCGTCTTTAATGACTAAATCTGTTCAAATCTTTCACATAAACTAATTGAATCGACTGAAGTAGACACTTAAGTGTTTAAAAAGTGTCCAAAATCTTTTCATCAGATGAACCTGAAGTTTGAGGCCAAAATCGGCCCTTACCGGACCTAATCCTTTATAAATTTTGTATTTACTATTTTAAAGATTTTCATATACAAGTACACACTGTTCCTTTTGTCATAATGCATTTGATATGTTTGATAATATGAGTGACAATATTTGATACCAAAATCACAAATATCTGATCCTCAAACCCTATGCCAATAAACAGAAAAGAAATAAACTGGAACCTACTCTGTTACTTGAACTGAGTTATATACCTCCAATTTAATTTTTGCATTTCCCACAGCCAGACATTACCTCAAATGTTGCACAAATCTTTACTCCACGGTTCCAAATTCAACACTGAATAGAAACAATCTTAACGTTTGTATAAGCCTCATTATACTAATACTGTAGTGATACACTTTCTATTATATTTTTCCGTTACCTTGGTTTCTGTTATATAACTGTATTCTAATGAGTTAATAAAAATAATGCCTAAATATATTATATAAAGATTGTAAAATTACTAATTGATATGCAGTTCTATGGAAAGATTTGTTGAAAGTTGCTATTTTTAGGATTCAAATTTTATTTTGTATAATGAGCTTTCATGTCAACAAATAATATAAGAATCTCCTGATTGTATTATAGAAATTGACTTTATATGTACAGGGTTATTACCAAGAGAACAACTTCTTAGTAACCCAGTGGCCTATGCAACACACAGTTAATGATGTATGGAGATTGATCTATGATTACAAGATTACTTCCCTTGTTGTGTTAAATGAACAGAAGTTTTCAAGGGTAAATATAACAGAATTTTTCATGGGTAAATATGACAGAATTTTTCAAGGGTAAATATGACAGAATTTTTCATGGGTAAATATGACAGAAGTTTTCAAGATTAAATATGACAGAATTTTTCATGGGTAAATATGACAGAATTTTTCAACGGTAAATATGACAGAAGTTTTCAAGATTAAATATGACAGAATTTTTCATGGGTAAATATGACAGAATTTTTCATGGGTAAATATGACAGAAGTTTTCAAGGGTAAATATGACAGAAGTTTTCAAGAGTAAATATGACAGAATTTTTCAAGGGTAAATATGACAGAATTTTTCATCGGTAAATATGACAGAAGTTTTCAAGAGTAAATATGACTCAATTTTTCAAGGTTAAATATGACAGAATTTTTCATGGGTAAATATGACAGAATTTTTCATGGGTAAATATGACAGAAGTTTTAAAGAGTAAATATGACAGAAGTTTTCATGGGTAAATATGACAGAAGTTTTCATGGATAAATATGGCAGAATTTTTCATGGGTAAATATGACAGAATTTTTCATGGGTAAATATGACAGAAGTTTTCAAGGGTAAATATGACAGAAGTTTTCAAGAGTAAATATGACAGAAGTTTTCAAGGGTAAATATGACAGAAGTTTGTTAAAGGCAATCTAGATTTACCCATGAGAGTATAGTCTGTGTTTGATAAGTGCTAGGTGGACATTTTAGCCAATGGAAATGCCGTAATATCGTCTTATGATGCTGGATAAGCCAATCAATTTAAAGCAGGTTTTCGTATCACACTCCGTGTAGTGTGATATGAGAAATATCTGTTCATGCAAGAAATAGATAACAGGCCACAACCATAAGAGAAACAAATTTATGTTTTCTTTTAAAAGGAATTTAATGTTTTTGGATTATTTCCGTTCAAATTAAAATACCTTGATCCAAGAGCTCTTTTTTTTCCCAAGGCGATAACTTTTATTGATAAAACTTTCCTTGAAAAGCATAATGGTTATGATTATAACTTCAATCACATTAAATGCTTTAATACTAACTTGACAACAACAAAATACAATGCTTTAATTCATAGCATTTACTATTCAGAAGTTGTGTCTTTAATTAACAGTTATAGTGGACAAAATATTTTGTGCATTAAGAAGGTAAATTTAGCTAACTATGTTATGAAAAGTAATCCCTCTGCAACATGGAATAGAAATTTTTTTTTGGACAGTTTTGCCTCATTTAATGACAGAAGAGACATAATTAAGTCATTTTCCTTTGTAGAAGTATCCCTGTTTCTGGCCATCATGGACTGAAGAGGAACAGAAGTTTGGTCCAATAGCTGTCAGATTCCTAGCCAGTCAGAAGCTCAACAATATTACAGTCAGAGCATTCTCTATAAGAAAGGTATCACTTTATATATTACATTAAGCTGCTTTTCCTGACATTTATGTATGAATTTCACAATGGTGTCAGAAATATTGAATATCATCTTTTGAAATCTAAATAAACTTTTCTTTGTTAACAATAGCTAACATGCTGACATATAACTCAAAGCACATGTACTTTGAATAATTTTGTGTCATTTTAACAGAAGAGTCAAAGATATCATGATTTAAACATTTAAAAACTTGAAAATGGGTTGTTGAAAGATTATCATTTCCAGTACATTTTTTGCTAAATATCTGTTTCTTATGGCAAATGCTGGTCAAATTGGATTTTAATGTGTATGCTTCTTATGGCAGTATGGAAGTCAAGGTCATTTTCAAAGATTTCAATTTGACTTTCAAGAGTTATGGTCTGTAGAGGAACAATTCCATATGATCCAATCTTGCTTCAAACTTTATATGATACCTCTGTATATTGATTTGACTTTCTGCTTATTATTACATGGAAATCAAGTTTTCCACGATCCATAATGATAAAATCCAAAAATTAAATTTGCAGAACAGCTTTAGCTACTTATTTTATTAATTTATTAATTATTTTTAAAACATCAGTCCATATACTGTTAACCAAATTTCATGAATTTTTTTTCGCCGTTATGTGCTTTTTTGCTGACTCCTCTGCAATTTGATTTTTAGCTTGGGCCAGGTGAGCTTTTCTCATCACTTGGCATCTGTCGTCCGTCGTCTTCGTCCGTTAACTTTCTCAAAAATCTTTTCTGAAACTACTGGGCCAAATTTAACCAAACTTGGCCACAATCATCACTAGGGTATCTAGTTAAAAAAATGTGTCCAATGACCCCGCCCACTAATCAAGATGGGAGACATGGCTAAAATAGTACATAGGGGTAAAATGCAGTTTTTGGCTTATATCTCTGAAACTAAAGCATTTAGAGCAAATTTGACATGGATAAAAATGTTCCTCAGGTTAAGATCTATCTGCCTTGAAATTTTCAGATGAATCAGACAACCCATTGTTGGGTTGCTGCCCCTGAATTAGTAATTTTAAGGAAATTTTGCAGTTTTTGGTTATTATCTTGAACATTGTTATAGATAGAGATAAACTGTATACAGCAATAATGTTCAGCAAAGTAAGATCTATAAATAAGTCAACATGACCAATATGGTCAATTGACCCCATAAGGAGTTATTGACCTTTAAAGTCAAATTTAACAATTATTCGTAAAATCTTCTCTCCTGAAACAACTGAGACAAATTTAACCAAACTTGGCCACAATCATCACTAGGGTATCTAGTTTTAAAAATGTGTCCGATGACCCTGCCTGCCAACCAACATGTCAGACATGGCTAAAAATAGAACTTAGGGGAAAAATGCAGTTTTTGACTTATATCTCTGAAACTAAAGCAAATGTATAACGGTAGCATTATTTCATGCATCAATTGTAAATAAAAATATCAGGTGAGCGACACAGGCTCCTTGGAGCCTCTAGTTATAACTTTTGTGGATGAAGTCATATTAGAAAAAATTAAAGTTTGACATTTTTGTTTTGATTTATATTAGTGTTATTTCTTCACTCATAAAAGGCAAGTAAATAAATAACTAGATAAAATTAGTGGGTTTACAGTACATAAGGGTCAATCTTTTTGATCAATGAATTTAGTTAGATTTTGATCATTTGATGTTAGTTATATTTTGCAGATATGACTACCAATTAATTTTTGTAGAAAGTTTAATTTCATGTTACATACTATGTTAAAGTTACTGCTAATAGATAGTCATAATTTGAAAGATTGACTAAAAATCATTAGCCATAACATTTTAAATATATTCTAATCTGCTTTGCATATACATTTTGTATAATGGGTGATGGTTTATATTTTAGCTACCAAAAACTCAATATGATTCCTTACTGAAGCTTGGATGTGGTGCATTGGTATGAAATTGTTTGGGTTGTGGTCCCGTTGTTAATTTACAGTTTCTACAACACAACTTTTCTGTTCATTCAAACTCTTATTTTTTGGCATGAATTTATTTTTTTTAAAATGAAGAAGAAACACTTTAAAACTAAACCTGTTTTTACTTATGATCATTATTTGACTTACACTTTATTGTACCACTGTTGGTATGGATTGATCTTGAAATAGAAATACTTTACAAAATTGCATGGTTTTATTTCAGAATCTCACTCCTGCATTTTGACAATTGTGTAATTATCTTAAATCTTACTTGATAAGTTTTACATGAAATAACATGTATTATTCCACTGTATGTAAATATAGATAGCTTAATCAACATTTGATTGGTTGATATTAACTAATATTTAAATGCAAGTGGATAGAAAAAAAAATTATCTACCAGTACCGTACATGAATATTTTAAGTTCAGGAAGTAAAAAAAGTATACACGGTGGAATAAAACATTCATTTCCCTTTCCTTAGGGAGATATGAATATTTTTTCACCTTCGAAAAGTAATATTTACTTTGGGGTGCCCTCTGGAAATATGAATTTTCTTGGATGAACAAATCTTCATATCTACCTGTGTAAAGGGAAACAAATGTATATTACTAAATTGCATATTGCATGGATTTCACATATTAACAGTATTTTAAACTTAGCATGATTTTTTATAGAAAAAAAAGGCACATCCCCAGTACATGTGTATAGAAAATAAATGCACCTATATAACATTTCAATACTAGCTAGATTATAGCTCAGACACATAAATTTAATTGTTGTGTATTGAAAGAAGATGTTATAACGGTATTACTTGGCCTAATTTGCTCTGGAATTTGTGCTTTTAGTTTAAAATTCAACTTTTATCTATTTAAAAGTTGAGATACTTAAAAAACTATTTAAAAAAGGACTGAACAACAACATCAGTATTCATTATTATATGGTGTCGTAGAAAGCAAAAACTACAGATTTTGGTCAATTGTCAAATATTTTTTGCAAATGTTGAGTCTTAGACAAGAAGAAACTAAATAAAGGAGAGGTTAAAAATACCAAACGGACATTCAAATTCATAGATAATCTACAATGACTTCTGTTTACATATTGTATATTTCTCTTATAGATATTTATCTGGTTCTTACACACACTCAATATTTTCCATTTACAAATATATGACAATACTAATCAAATTCAACATTTTATGAATATTCTATGCTATGGATTATTGTTTTGTAGGTAATTCCAATGTTCTGATATTAAGGGCAATGTAATATAAAATGAATTTCGTTTCAACAGACAAAAAGGGGAAATTTTTAATTTACCGTAAGTCTTCAGGGATCACAATCATAGCAACCCTTTGAATTTGGACAGTGTGCACTTAAACTTGCTTTTGTCAAAAAATATGTAATATAAAAATATCAACAATGAGCAAAACCCATACTGTATAGTAAGCATAAAAGTCCCTGGCATGAAAAAAATGTGAAGCAATTTAAAAGTGAAAAAACCAACGACCTGATTTATGCTAAAAACATAAAATAAAAAACAAATATGGAAGACAGCAACCAATGTCAACCACTGAAATACAGGCTCCTGACTAAGGAGATGCACATACAGAATATGGTGGGGTTAAACATGCTTGTCAACACTCAACCCTCCCCTAACCAGGGACAGCACAACAGAACAAAATTGAAAAATCAGTTGGAAAGTGCTTTACATGTCAATCTGACAGGATACATCTGAGTGTGCCATCATTTTCTAGGATTGTTGATATAATCATTTTTATTGGTGATACATGTAGACCTTGACCTCAAAAGACTTTCAACAAAAAGTTCAGTCATAAGCAGTAAACCAGGTGAGACGTATCTTACAGTGCTTTAGGTAGCCTTTTATCAAACAATCTTTAGAGTGATGATGTGAAGGAGCTGAAGTGCAATTAGATATTGTTGTATATCATGTCGAGATAAATGGTACGGGTTGCACAGTATTGTAAGTGTTTCATCCAATTGACAGTCATTTGGTTTTACCTTTTCAGAAAGAAACCATATAATTATAGTTTATTTATTAAAAATATTATAGTATAGATATGATATTTTTCAGAATTTAAGCTGCATGCCAATGCTTCATACAGAACTTTCCCAGGAATTAGTGACCGTTAGGATGTTTCATTTAACATGTTGGTTAGGAAGAGAGAAAGACTCAATGAATTCCAAATCTCTTATCTACCTCATGGAGCTGGTAGAACAATGGCAGCATAGGAATAATCCTTTAAATCCTGTGTGTGTCATGTCAAAGTAAGTGAAATAAGCTATTAAATCATGTGTGTGTCATGTCAAAGTATGAAAAATAATTAAATTCTGCATATGTCATGTAAAAGTATGTAAAAATAATCAATTGAATCCTGTGAGTCATGTCAAAGTATGTAAATTAATCAAAACAGTTATGTGTGTCATGTCAAGATATGTAAAAGTATCCATTGAATTTTGTGTGTGTCATGCAGGCATGGGGTAATGCAAATTTGTAATTGTAATGCATGGTAATGCATTACATTTTTCCAAGTAATTGCATGTAATGTGTAATGCAGCAATTTGTGCATTACATGTAATTGTAATATAATGCATTACTTTAGCAAAAAGTTGTGTAATTTCATGCATTACATGGCATTACATGTCATTACTTTTTTCACATACTACATCTTTAACATATTGTTGGAGTTTTAACTAAACCAAATTTAAGATTCTTGATTAACTAAGAATATATTAATCATTAGAATATATTCTTTATTTCATCTTATTTCATACATTTTCCTGCATAAAAAGATTGATATATGAAAAGCATAGCTGTATTGTTGTCATAAGATCAAAGAATATCTTTGTTTTGCTTAAATAAAAGATAATTAAACTTTGTTATAAAACACTAATTAGTTTGTTTAACAATCAATATTTTCACCATTTAGACAATTGTTCATTAATTAAGGTCTATGTTTATTTTATAATTAGGGAAGTAATTCACAGTAATTAAATATTTCGTTTAAAATTAAAAAAAAAACAACAAAAAATATATTTATAAAAGTAAAGTCAACATTAAGTTAAAATAATTAAAAATTGTAAAAGTCAAATTAAATAGACTTTTTACATGTATACTTATATTCAATTCATGGAACAGTTACTGCATATGCTAGAATCTTTTGTGACTTCTAGGTATTTTTCAAAATGTTTAATTTTTCTATTCACTAATAAAATTTTCAAATGTAATGTGTAATTCAAGGCATTACTTTGCAAAAGTAATTGTAATATAATGCATTACTTTGATAAATGCATGTAATTGTAATTGTAATATAATGCATGGTTTGGTCAAAGTAATTGTAATATAATGCATTACATTGCAATGTAATTCGCCCCATGCCTGGTGTCATGCCAAAGTAGGTAAAATAATCCATATAATCATGAATGTGTCATGTCAAAGTAGGTAAAATTATAAATAAAATCCTGTTTGTGTCATGTCAAAGTATGAAAAATAATTAAATTCTGCATGTGTCTAGTCAAAGTTTGAAAAATAATCAATTGAATCCTGTGAGTCATGTCAAAGTAGGTAAAATAATAAATAAAATCTTGTGTGTCATGTCAAAGTATGTAAATTAGTCAAAACAGTTATGTGTGTCATGTCAAGATATGTAAAAGTATCCATTGAATTTTGTGTGTGTCATGCCAAAGTAGGTAAAATAATCCATTAAATTATGTGTGTCATGTCAAAATATAAAAATTATCCACTAAATCCTGTGATTGTCATGTCAATGTATGTAAAATAATCCATAAAATATTGTCTTTGTCATGTTGAAGTCATGTGTGTGCCATGTCAAAGAAGGTAAAGTAATCCATTGAATCGTGTGTGTCATGTCAAAGTAGATTTAACAATCCATTGAATCTTGTGTGTCATGTCACAGTAGGTTAAAAGATCTATTGAATCATGTGTGTGTAATGTCAAAGTATGTAAAATAATACATTAAATTCTGTGTGTGTGTGTGTGTGTGTGTGTCATGTCAAATGTGAAACACATCATTAAATCTGATATGTGTCATTTTACATCCTTTGACATGACACATACTGGTATATTTAATGGATTATTTTACATACCTTGACATGACACACACATAACTTAAAACTAATCTGATTAAATCCTGTGTGTATTATGTCAAAGTATGAAAAATTGTATTGGGTAAGAAATTGAACAATTTCATGAGTTTAACTGTATAAAATCATGTACATCTAATGCCAAAGTATTTAAAATTCTGTATAAGAAATGTCAGAGTACTGTAAATTCAGAATTTTTTGGGTACATTTAGTATTGCCATTGTTGAAAAATGTGGACAAATTATTGCGATTTTAGGAAATGCTGCATACAAAAACTACAGTCAAAATTTAAAATGTTAGTTTTTATGTTTGCCACACATATCCAGTCACAATTTTTCGTAATAATATGCAAAATAATATATTTATTGAATCCAAGTGGAACTAATAAGGAGCATATAATTGATGGGGAAACACAAAAATTAAAAAGTTGAATTGTCTCCCCCTTGAACAAAACTAATTTTTGTTTGTTTGAGCTTTCACTACTTTCTAATCATTTGCATAATATTATGATGGATCACTTTATTTAGTGTGTGACAAATAAAGGACATTTACAAAATACTAAACTTTGGCTTCTAAGTGACAAACTATCATGTACAGATAAATCATTTACTTGATGTTACCATTTTTGCTAATTGACTTGATCAACTCTGAAACCGATACCATGGTAGTGTTGTGCTGAAGTGATTTCTACAGGTAAGAATCACCCATCTATCTATACTTCTAGGAAACAAAACTTATAATTATTTGTAAGATAGATATAAATTTGTAAAAAATGTTTTTGTTATTTTAAGAGATGGAATGAGTCGATGTGGAGTTTATTGTGTAGCCAACATTTGCTGTGATCAATTAAAAGCTGAGGGTGAAGTGGATGTTTTTGGTGCTGTACGAGTAGTGAAGAAAAATAGGCCTGCATTGATTCCAAATGTAGTAAGAAACTAACTGTTTTTGAATGGCACATAACACGATTTCTCAAAAATGAAGACAAAAACAAAAATATTTTGAATCAAACAAGATATTTTGAAAATTTATAATACAAATTTACTACGATTTTATATTTGTGAAATGACAATCCCCATCAATGTAAATAAATAATGCATACAGAAGGAAATCTGCAGGAAATGCAAATTTTTTACTGGTTAATTCTATTCTGATTTGATTGTCATCATAGTTATCATCTGTTTCAATGTAACACACAAAGTCAATTGAAACCAAACTTACCCAAAATTATTCTTAGGATGTCTAGTTTTAAATTTAGATCCATTGTTTACTGCTGATCAACTAACATAGCAGTTAGTGGCACATCCAACAAAGGAGAGGTGTTAACAAGACTCTTGAAATCCTCCATTATATAACTGAATATCTCAAGATACGCTTACAAAGGAGTAATAATGTATATACTCCATTCAAATATTTTATATTTTCACAAACATGATTATGTATGCCATTTACAATTAATCATGAGAATGATTAACACACAATAACTAGTAACTGTGTTTTTCTTTTTAGATGGAATATATTTTTTCGTATTCCTTGTTGGTGTCTTTTCTGGCAATGATGCAAGAGAACAAACCGAAAATTGTGATAACAGGGCCCGCTGCTAAGGAAGGTCAAATTAATCGTGGATATGGACTGTTAGAAACACAGAATAGTCACATGTTGTTAGAGGATCAATTAGATGAGATAAGTAGGTCATCACAGTTAAGTTTTTACACTGCTGGAGATCAGACGCCTTCGATGGACGGTATTTGTCTGGCAGCAAGAGGACACATTGCTACATGTAAACGCCCAGTAACGCAGCTGCAAATTCCTCACACAGACATTTCCAGTAACTCTTCATCTGATAGTATGTATGAGAATGCAATGTCAAATAATTCATCACGACAAAACTCGTTGAAAGATTCAAGGAAAAAGAACAATAGTAAAATGAATGGTTCACCAAACATTAGTATGGGAAATGGCAGTGTTAGCTCAAAATTAATACAGGTCGATAGGCGGACTAAACCTTCAGTATGTCCCTCAGGGTCAGCTCAGAGTATGGAATACTACACTCCCCACAAGGTTCCTTCTATATCTAGTAGTAAAACTAGACGACCAAAACCTGCCTTAAAGAGACAAGATGCAACAGAAGATCTGGAAATGATAAGTATAGACATTGAAAATCAAAACCATGTTTGTCTTTCATCATCTCATGTATGATATTATCTCATGTATGATATTATCTCATGTATGATATTATCGGGTCATTATTGCCAAAATGTGTTCATCTTCCTGGAATGCAATGATACAGATTATGATTGAAATACTGTGGATTCATTATTATTGGAGATGGTTTTAATATTCATGGATTTCATGGGGAAAGGTTAAGCATTTATTGAGTTATTGAACAAAAAAATACAAATTTATTATAGACTTGTGTGCAGAACTAATATCAAAACCAAGAAATAGAATATCCCCTTTTTTCAATCCACAGAAATTGGGACCAAAGAAAAATAAATGAATTTACAGTAGACTAAGACAATTAGGCTGAAAGCAATTGAAATTTTATTTTCTTCTAAAAAACATGACTAGATTTACAGTAGAACCCATTAGTCTTTTTAAATAATTTTTGGGAAGTAGCCAATTTCCTTTATATTGTTACAACAGCTTTAACGAAACCGGTAGCTGTTGAGATGAAGCTTTTTCTTGTAAATTTTAATTTCAACAGCTGACATTTTATAAAAAAACTCTGTAAAAGTCAAAATTAAATTGAACATGACAATGAAAATAAAATAATTGTTAACATTGTAGGGGTTTTGCTGTTATTATTTTAAATAATATGCTACTATTACGCGACATGCATGGAATATGGTGCTTTTCAGAAAAATGAATGATTCTTTTTTCATCATCTTTTTTATGGCTTACCCAATTAATCAATTTTTTAAATGTAGTGTGATGTTATCAAATGTATACAGTTTTTGAAAGATATGATTATTGATCATTAAAACATTAAAAATATATTATTTTTGTTAAATTGATGCAAGTTTTGTTAACATTGGATCTGTTATTAAGGAAGGCTGAGATTTGGAAATAATGGGAAATCATTATGGATGAAAAATGTTTGTATTGTCACTTCAGTTTTTCAGGAAATTGCTGTTCTATCCAAGTATTCTACCAAACCACAAAAAGGAAATTACTGTAAAACCCCACCTTCAAAACCACAGGAAATATTTGTGAAACCCTGCCTCAAAACTACAGAAAATATTTGTTAAACCCTGCCTCAAAACCAATGGTAATAATTGTCAAACTCTGTCTACAAAACTAAATGAAATTACAGTTTAACTCTGCTACAGGAAATTACTGTTGAAGCACCTGCTTATAAAACCACAGGAAATTACTATTGGACCATAGAAAGCATCCAAAGTAATTTACTCTTTATCGTACCGCAGGAAATTACTGGTAAACCTGATTTAACATAGCCACATAAAATTACTGTTAAAATCAGATTTAACATAGCCACTTAACGTTACTGTTAAACCGTAATTTAACATAGCCACATGATATCACTGTTAAACCCGGATTTAAAATAGCCACATGAAATTACTGTTAGACCCTTATTTAACATAGTCACATGAAAAAAAAAATTAAATACATAATAAAAATGTCTCTTGCTTAAAATCACATGTTAACTAAAACCCGGTTGAAGTAACAAGGGGGGCAAATCTAGTACAAGGTGTTATCAATTAGGTACAATGAGAGTTACCTCCCATTGTATGCAATTACTGTTAAACTCAGATTTAACATAGCCACATGAAATTAACGCTAGACCCTAATTCAACATAGCCACATGATATTACTGTTAAACCCTAATTTAAAGTAGCCACATGAAATTAACTTTAAACCCTCCTTACATATCCAAATAAAATTGCATACTGAACATTATTAAGAACTCATTGATTAATTACTGCAAGACTATCTGTGCCATTAATTTTGATCCATTTACCATAAAAATTGAAAAATTAAAAGATATTTTGCATATAAAATCTGCAGATTTATCACAAATTAAAAACATTGGTCTCCAGTGCAACTCTGAGTGAGTTAATATTTATTACTGTGTAATTTGATTTTGTGAATATGATGGTGAATTGTCAGAACAATTTTCTTCAAACCAATACTCTTTATGAAATCATGGTGCTATGCATGTGTAATTTTGTAATACAGAAGTGTATAAAATGTTTTAATGTATATGTGAATAGGTAGTCACTTTTTGTGGGTTTTTGAAGTGTTAGATGTTTGTGTATACACTAATAATTTTGTCCAGCTTTAAAATGTTATTAGTACTAATTACCGTCAAATACATTCTTATCAATGTTTATATTCACAACAACAAAATTGCAGTATATTATGTAAGGATTTTTGTTAACTTTTGCTTACTGGCAATTTGAAAATAGTGTATGTATATCACAACTGCATATATCTAAAAAATAAAATTCAGATTATTTTTTGAATTCATAGATTTTTCCTCTATGTACAAAGTACCGGTAATGATCATTGTTCCCTACTTTGTGAATAAAATTTCCTTGAAATATTTTTATGGATCTATTGTTATCTTGGTATCATAAGGATTGAATGAATTAAGCAGTTATGGCCCTTTGATATCTTTCAAATGCAGTTATTTATGATGGTATTAATATTTTAATTGTTTGAATGGAATTTGAAATATTTGCTTATACCGTGTATGTGTGATAATATTCACATGCCAATATTTGTAAACTTGACAAAAGAAGATGCAATGATTTTATATATTAGGCTGACTAGGTTCCTGTTGAATGTTTGTTAACTAGGGACCAGTAAGATTTTGTGTTAAAGTTTGATGTTTTATTTTTATTTGTTGAAATAATAATATTCATGTTTGTTAAACTCATGTTGGTTGTGAAATTTGTTTTCATACAAATTCCATAAATTTGTTGCTCATAATGAGGCTCATTGTCATATAGTTACTGTATGTGTAAACACTTCTGACTTATTATATTGTATAGGTCTGTTGAAATGTCAAAAATAGTCTTAAAAGATTTTTTTTTAACTAATTTTGTGCATTGATCACACACACATGAGTGATTATGGCCCTTTGCATATTCAAAGGAATAAATTGATAGAAATTCATTGGTATAATGATAAACATATGTAGAGTAAATTTGGGCCAAAAAATCTTGAACATTATTTGTGAAAATAAGTAAACAGAAAGAGAATAGAAATTGAATACCTTGAAAAGATGTTGGTCTGAGAGAAAGAAACTTTGAGGCAAACAGTAGAAGATAAACATCTTTGCTTTAGGTTATTTACCATCAATTTATCAGAGTTCTTATAACATCCTTGGTAATTCTGGCTTTTCTTTAAATTGACCAGTTGTATGAAATTTTATGTTTTCAAATTTAATTCTTAATCTTATTTTTTGTAAGTATATAAATATATACATGTAATTTTTTTTTATGCAAATTGAACGTTTGAACAATATAGTTGTATAATGTTTCTGTAAGTTGAAGCCATTGTTTTGTCTATGATATATAGTAGTTTGATATAAATACCATTTATATGTAATGATTAATTTATACAAAGCAAAACACACAGAATCAAAATCTGTTATTAATCCCCACCAACAGAATAGTATAAAGTTGTTCTCTTAAAACTAAAATGGAAGTACATGTACTTTGAGCTCTCTTTCAGCAACTGAGAGCATTCTTAAATGGAGTATTATCATATCCCCTGTTTTGTCATCTCCGCACACTTCAGTACACAATTGTATCTACATCTTGAATCCCCTAGTCAGAACTTAAAGACACTTTTTTTGTGAACACAACTCCTCTGAGACTGTTTGACAGAAAGCTCTCATATTTGGTAGAATTGTTTTTCATCATGTGTAGTTATTATACTATACCATGATTTGATTCGACCATTTTTGTCTGGCCTTATTGAGTCAAAAAGCGAGACATAGGTATGCTGTTTCCGGCGGCAGCGTCAACAATGTATAAGTTTGTGATTAGGTCTAGTTTACGGTGAACCACTAGTGTTAGGTCAATGATATTTGGTACGCAGTTGTATCAGCATTGGCACATCTCATTATCATGGAGATTATTTGGCCCCATCCCCTCAGTCATGGTATATTGACTTTGAAACTTTGCTAAGTTTACATGTATTAGTGTGATTCGGTCAGTTTATGGGGAACCACTAGACGTAGGTCAATGATATTTGGTATGCAGTTGTATAAGCATTAGCACATCTCATGTCCATGGAGAATATTTGGTCCTTACCCCTCAGTCATGGTCTATTGACATTAAAACTTTTGCTAAGTTTACATGTATTAGTTTGTGATTAGGTCAGTTTAAGATGAACCACTAGTGTTAAGTCAATGATATTTGGTATGCAAATGTATTGGCATTTACTTTGCAAGTTTCATTTCCATGGAGATGATATAACTCCACCCCCTAATTATGGTTCATTGACTTTGAAACTTTTACATAGTTTACAAGTTAATGTTTGTGTTTAGGTTTGTTTAAAGGGAACGACTTATGAAAAGTCAATGGTATTTGGTATGCAGTTGTATTAGCATTGGCACATCTCATTTCCATGGAGATTGTTTAGCCCTGTACCTTCAGTCATGGTTCATTGACTTTGAATATTTGCATAACTTACATGTTAAAGTATTGCTATTTTAATTTCAACATTTGCATTATCAAAGTAACAAATAGGCGAGACATATCTCTGTGTTAACAGTTTATTTGGACAGTTGTCACACAATGACACTTTGTGAATGCAACTCCTCTTAGACCATTTAAAAGAAAACTTGTATATGCAGTAGGATTGCTTGCCATCATGTGTAGTTGACCAAACTTATTTGTCATTTTGATTTGATATTTCCTGCTGGAGTTGTTAGACTATCCTCTGTCAGCTTATACTCTCACCATTTGTCTGTATTTCACAGTACACATCATTGGAGGACAATATCAGCATAGCAATCTTTGTTAATCCACTTTAATTTTTTAAAGAGAGGTTAGGGTTGAGATACTTGAAATAAAATGGGAACAACGTAATGCGTTTGTCTCAAGTCCGGAACCTTTTCAGTGGTTAAATCAACTTATTTTTAGGGATACCTTTTTCACGGTTAGCCCTTTTTTACCGATTTGACATTTTCTTGTTATTTGTCTACTCGTGAAATAAATCATCGCTTTACAAAATTAGCTGGTTTACAGTATTATCTTAACATTATTTCCTTTAGTTGATGAACAGTCTGATAGTCTATGTTGGATCTACAGCTTGTAAAGACTTTTGAGATAATGTTATTGTCTTATGGTATTGGCATTAGTCTATTGTTGAAATATGTTGACTGATGATTAATAAGAAGTCTCTAGACATAATAGCTCCAATTTCATTAGTTGAAGCCATATTTATTATGTGCATTAGCAGAACAAAATTTATCATGACAAAAGAAATTTCAAAACTAATAATTAACAGTGCCTGGTGATGATTTATAGCCTAATCAGCAACAGTGATCAGTTTCCCTAAAAATCTTAGGACTTAAGTTGATTCTAAGTGTACTAAATTGTTCATCACTTACAAATTTAGTCTTAATATTTTTGGTGAAACTGATGACAGGTGTTATCAATTATGTGTTTTGGAATTACCAACTTTTTATGAGACCATATGTTAACCTATAGACATTTTGTTTTTGTGTGTGTTGTTAGGATGCTGTCTTATTGACTTATAATCTACATCTCCTTTAAATCATAAGTATTATATTTTTGAAATCCCTATAAATATGTATTGATGAGTATAATTTCCTACATTATTATAAGCTTGTAAAAGTGGATGTATTATTAAAAGATTAAGTTTTCTTATTATTTCTGAATAAACTTGTACTTTTTATATTTTTTTACTGCAAGATGAAAATATATTGCTCTTTTCATTCCATCTAAGATATTTGTAAAGTTGGAGGATTTCAGGGATAGTTTGATAAGAATTCATGCCAGTAGTTATGTTGTTATGTTTATGTGCATTTTATTCTTGTTCAAATTTACCTAGCCTGCATTAAGAATTACCTTGTTCAAATTTACCTAGCCTGCATTAAGTGTTACCTTGCTCAAATTTACCTAGCCTGCATTAAGAATTACCTTGTTCAAATTTACCTAGCCTGCATTAAGAATTACCTTGTTCAAATTTACCTAGCCTGCATTAAGAATTACCTTGTTCAAATTTACCTAGCCTGCATTAAGAATTACCTTGTTCAAATTTACCTAGCCTGCATTAAGAATTACCTTGTTCAGGATTATTCCTTCAATTTATTATAAAACTATGTTCCAAAACCAATTTATTTGTCAAGAATGTACAATGTATTTCAAACCTTTAATACGTTTGTCTTTCCTGTTTTGGACACCAAATATTATTCTAATATAATGCCAGGTATATGAAAAATAAGAAATAAAATTCTGAAAATTTAATTCAAGCATTAGATTAAAGATACAGTAAAGTCAGAAACGATTGTGTTCCTTAATTATTGAGATTAGTGTTACATGGATAAAAAAAGATTATTATTTAAAGAAATGCTTTTTACAAATATTTATATACATATATATGAAGCTATCAAAAAGTTTTTTTTTTTTTTTTTTTTGGGAATGCTTTCCTGTCAAATGTTTGTAATAATAAAACCATTACATAAATTTATGAATTTACAGATGTCCATTTAAAGGTCAACATTCGTTGTCTCTTATTTTTGAATCTTCAAAAATTACTTGAAATTATTATTACCTTGTGTTTCATTTGTGTTGGAAGTTTTTTTTTTATGTCCTATAGAATTAAGATGACACTTGAAAAGAGCCAAAAATAAAAGTTTATCTATCCATTAATATAGATTATGTACATATTTTGAAAGGTTTTTCTAGATTTTGTTCAGAATTGATGACCATGATGAAGATTAATGATTTTTTAGTAGAATATTGATCCTTCACAAAATACACATTGTAAGTTGTAGTCTAGACAAGTTTAGATTTCTAAGGGAAGGGAGTAGCATTTTCATTGATATTTTCTTGTAATGATTTGTTTCCTATTTTTTTAGATTATATTATGTATTTAATCTTGTTGAATTTGTATAAATAGCATTCCTTTCTACATTGCATTCCATTATGACAAATAAATGAAAGAAACATTTTCATATTTGTACATATAAATATTCTTGCATTCCTATTAAGAAATTGTTAAAGAATATTTTTTTTTTCACATTCATATTTATAGTTCATAACCAGTTTGTTACATTTTTATCAATAAATTTTTACAATGATATATTTGAATCTTACTTTCATATTACATGTAGTAACTAGATGCCCACTCCAAGGAACCTGGTATGCTCACTTTGCATCTACAAATTATATTTACTCAATATGAGTACCTGTGGTGTAAAACTTTCCCCTGTGTTCTGAGTATATAATTTCCAGTGGCAAATAATATCATCAGATGTTATACTGGAGAAAGACATATTTGCAATGATTCAAATCTGTTCAAATTTCATATTTGTTTAGCTTGATGGACATGCTTTTCAACAGACAATTGGTAATTGAAATTTGATGCGACTGTCATACAAGTGAGAGGTTTAGCTAGCAATAAAACCAGGTTCAATCCACCATTTTCTACATAAGATAATGCCTGTACCAAGTCAGGAATATGACAGTTGTTATCCATTCATTTGATGTGTTTGAGGTTTTGATTTTGCCATTTGATTAGGGACTTTTCTTTTTGAATTTTCCTCGGAGTTCAGTATTTTTGTGATTTTACTTTTTGGTAATTGGAAACAACTGTTCTCCTCTGTTTGCCAACTTGTTTGTTGATTTGTATGAGACAGACTTCACATAGGGGCTTCAAAAAGGATGAGAAGAAGCTACCAATATCCTATTTTATTTTCCAACTCTTTGCCAGATTTTTACTTGTCATTAGCAACATAACAGATTAGGGGAACTTACAAACCCTTATTTAGCACTATTGATTTTAGATTGTTGTGTGTTGATCAATCTTTTGTTTTCTGTGTTGTGTATTGTGGACATGTTTGGATTTTTTTTGGAGGGTTGTAATTGTAGTCTTTTTTTCATTTTGATTTCTTTAACTTTTGCCTTCACAAGGTTTTAAGCTCACCTGGACTGCAGTTCCATTTGATCAATTGCAATCACTTAGCATCAGGGCTTTGAAATGTTCAAAACTCTTCTCTGAAGAAACCACTGATCATATTTAAATTTTCTCAGGGATCTTGTTTATAATTGGGGTCAAAATTGTCTGAGACTACTTGAGTTGTAGCACATGAAATGTATTTTTATGATTTTCAGTGATTTGGCTAATATCTTGAAAAGACCCAGTCCAAAAGTGTAAATTGCTAAAATAATCAGCACATCATCATCTACAAAAGTTGCCATTAGGTTGAAATTATCTAACAACTACTCAAAAGAGATATTAACCAAGATATCTTTGACCAAAATTAAGAGATTTGGTATAATCCCCAACGAGACAACTATCAAAAGAAACTCGAAAAATTAGAGGTCACAAAACAGCCTTACTTGATTTGGAAATGTGTAAATTGCAAAAAATGGTCAGTGCTTCAAGACGTATCAATGTTTTGATTGGGCAGAAATTATCTGACTATTCTTTGAAGAGTTATTGCCCTTGAAGCACAATTTTAAGGATTTTTTTTTTGTTCAGATACAGTTAAATGAGAGATAAAAACCACAAAAGGAATGTTTAAATGGTATTGTTCCTTCTGAGATGTTTCTTAAGTGTATGCTATGGTACCAGCCTACCAGGTGAGGGTTTTGGGACTAGTGAAAGTCTAGTGTATTTTTTCCTAATCATTTTAGCTGACATGGACTAACTTTTGTGCAGTTTTCATCTTGATAAATTCACAGATAAAAGTTCCATGTCAAACTCATATCTTTAACAAAAATTGTTTGTTCTTCATATCTACATATATTAAAGTATTCAGTTTCATGTTTATAATGCTTTCTTCACATAAACATTTTGAAACAAGAATGTGTCCATAGTACACGGATGCCCCACTCGCACTATCATTTTCTATGTTCAGTGGACCGTGAAATTGGGGTCAAAACTCTTATTTCGCATGGGAACATGTGTACTAAGTTTCAAGTTAATTGGACATCAACTTTATCAAAAACTACCAGACAGACGGACGAACGAACAAAGGAAAAAACGGACGCACAGACCGAAAAACATAATGCCGTTCTACTATCGTAGGTGGGGTATAAAAATCTGAACTTTAGTCTGACTATATTAACAATTACAAACTGAAGACTCAAACATAAGAACACAAATGACACTGTTATCACAGTGGAATGGAAATGCCATAATAAAAAATGCTGACTTTCTAAACTGAACCAATGTCATGATAAATAATAAATCATCTGTTACAAGTTCTAAAGGTAAAAAAGTTCTCCATTTTGAGGAAAACAAATATCAAATGTAACAAATTCTGCCAAAAGCATGCAGAACAGTTTCAATGCATGAACAGGGAAGATCAACTATAAACAACAAATCCAATCTTTTCGACCTTAATACCATGCATATCTTTTTTGCTGTTGCAAGTCCTTTCTCAAAGCACATGAACAGAGTAACACCTTTTTGTCAATTAATACAAATAATATCTGGAGTCATTATACACCAATCTTGAATCATCTGCATTTATGTAATTGCATGTTTTCAAGTAAGTTTTAACCATTACAATAGAAAATATATGAAGTCACAAACCAAAGTAATTTTCTTGCATCATCATATCTTGGTAAGGACTATTCCAGGAAGACATGTATGGGGTTGGACTACTCTTTTATACCCCACCAATCATAGCTTTTGTTTTCATTTGTAACATCCGACTGTTAAAAACTTTCCTCTACCAACAAAAAAGATATCATGTCATGTTCAAATTAATGCAAAAATAAGGTTACTAGGAGAATAATCCCGGCCCTGGAAATTGGTGTATTATGACTGGTTTCACTGTATGTCATTTGTAATATCTTATGTTTATCACAAAATTGTCATCTTTTATGGGTTTTTTTAATTGTTTTTTTCTTTACAACATAAATAAAACACAAAATTTATAATCCTGGCATAAAGTAGGCTAAATTGTCTAATGTTCTACTATGTGTCTCTGCCGGACAGCCATGTAATTCTGGAATTTGTGTTGTTAAGCACATAAGTGGCCCTAATGCACATAATAATGAGTCTAATAACACAGACAAACTTCCTTGAACTGCAATAAGTCCCTGAAAAATAAATGTATACATTATAAATTTGAGCCTCATAATAATTTTTAATGGTGGTAATACTTAACTTAATACAATTTTTTTGTACTGTCTAAAATATAAATAATCCTGGCTATGTCAGATTTTTCATAGGATTGGCTGGTCCATTTTTAGCAAATATTATTTTCTTTGTAAAATGATATTACACATGATCTAAATTTTGTTTTAAAGTGGATGGATCCTCATTATGTAGAGAGGTATGTACAAGATGTGACACTCAATTACCGATCTGAAAACTTTCTAAATAAATGAAGAAGTCACAATTATGATACTAATGATTGATTGATTAATTTTTGTTGTTAAACACCACTTTCAGCACCCTTGGCTATATTGCAGTGGCCAGTTTTTATTGAAGGTAGAAGCTGGAGTACCAGGAGAGAAACACCATCCATTGCCAGGAAAATTGTGATACTAAGAAAAAATATGAGAAAGGATGAGATACTTGTGTGTTTGTTAAAACGTCAAGGATTTCATTTATTCCATCTTTGTTCTAATATTTCTTGCAGAAAAGTCACATGGCTGGTGTCAAAATTATAAGTCAACCAAACAAGACACATCATATAATTCAGTCACTGCAGCACGAGTATATAAATATTCTGTTGCCATTAACTTGCAAGAATGTGTATGCAACAGAACATAAAACATTAATAGTCTATCATAATTACATTTTCACAAACAAATCTAATAAAATAACATTTACACTTGCACCAAATATTTTGTGCAGATGTCCAGATTTATAAACCAGATGATAGTTGTTTCTGAAGGTTTATTTTGCAGTAAAACATCAATTTAAAAGTTAAAACTAATTTGTATTTCATGTCCGTTTTATGTAACTGTTTTAACCAATTAAATATGTGTACTTGACATTCTCTAAGTGAGACAGAAAACCAGTCAGTATTCTTATTAATATAGCTTAACAACTTACCCTGTGTTCCTGTAACCTCATTCCAATGATACTAAGAGATTCCCCAACCAATTTAAGGTAATATAACTTAACAACTTACCCTGTGTTCCTGTAACCTCATTCCAATGATACTAAGAGATTCCCCCACAAATTTAAGATAATATAACTTAACAACTTACCAAGGCTTCCAAAACGGTCATATATTCCGGACATTTGTATAATGTCCGGTAAAAGTCCGGCTTGGTAAAGCATGAAACGGACATCTATATTTTAGTTTTCAAGGCTTTCTTAAGAGACGGTCATTTTAACATAATTCGCGATCTTTTTGACCCAAACTTTTGCCTTTACAGCCACACATTTCCGGTCATAAAAGTGACATGATCATTAAGTACTATCTAAACAACCCCTACTTTAATACCTTCTCATTTTAATCAAGGCTAATTAGTTGTCGAACAGCTGAAATTTACCTGTTCAGGTGACAGGTAAACTATTTTGAACCGGACATTGATCGGTCTATTCAAAGTTATGTTCTTACATTTCAGCGGTTTGCATCTAATTAATTTAGTCAAAAAGATTTAAATTATCAGAAATATGTTTACAAATATGATTTGATGAAAAAACTAAAAAGGTGAAAATGAAAAATCGTCATAACCACGTTGTTTGAACCAGAGACATGTCTCTGTTTGAACTAGTACACGTGTGCGCATGTGCGCAGGTGTGAAATTTAATTATGCATCCTAATTTCTTCAAAAATGCTTAAATTGTCATTGATACCTTTATCTCGCGTTTATTTCGAATATTTTCTTGCTTTCACTCATTCTTGCTTTGCAAATGTACACGGGATTTACGTATCCGTCTCTGGTCCATGTTTTACCATTGTCAAGATAACATCCGGTAAAAACGAAAGTAAAGTTTTTGACAACGTTATTATTAACCGTTATATTTTGCACAAAAAAAGAATCTAAGGCAGACAAAAGTACGCTAATGTTGCACACTTTGAATGATGCACTGCCAATTTAACAATTTACGTCAGAACTTTGAATTTGAATCAAAGAAAGTTCAATATCATTTTTTTTTAATGTTAATCATTGGGATGGTCAACTTGGCAACTGATTACCATAATTGCCTTTTGTTTATTTAACCTTCTCTTAAAGGATTAAAATCATAATCATATATAAAATGTCCGGCTGGCTAAAAATAATTTTGGAAGCCCTGCAACTTACCCTGTGTTCCTGTAACCTCATTCCAATGATACTAAGAGATTCCCCCACCAATTTAAGGTAATTTAACTTAACAACTTACCCTGTGTTCCTGTAACCTCATTCCAATGATACTAAGAGATTCCCCCACCAATTTAAGGTAATATAACTTAACAACTTACCCTGTGTTCCTGTAACCTCATTCCAATGATACTAAGAGATTCCCCAACCAATTTAAGGTAATATAACTTAACAACTTACCCTGTGTTCCTGTAACCTCATTCCAATGATACTAAGAGATTTAAGGTAATATAACTTAACAACTAAACCTGTGTTCCTGTAACCTCATTCCAATGATACTAAGAGATTTCCCAACCAATTTAAGGTAATATAACTTAACAACTTACCCTGTGTTCCTGTAACCTCATTCCAATGATACTAAGAGATTTAAGGTAATATAACTTAACAACTAAACCTGTGTTCCTGTAACCTCATTCCAATGATACTAAGAGATTTCCCAACCAATTTAAGGTAATATAACTTAACAACTTACCCTGTGTTCCTGTAACCTCATTCCAATGATACTAAGAGATTCCCCCACCAATTTAAGGTAATATAACTTAACAACTTACCCTGTGTTCCTGTAACCTCATTCCAATGATACTAAGAGATTCCCCAACCAATTTAAGGTAATATAACTTAACAACTTACCCTGTGTTCCTGTAACCTCATTCCAATGATACTAAGAGATTTAAGGTAATATAACTTAACAACTAAACCTGTGTTCCTGTAACCTCATTCCAATGATACTAAGAGATTTCCCAACCAATTTAAGGTAATATAACTTAACAACTTACCCTGTGTTCCTGTAACCTCATTCCAATGATACTAAGAGATTCCCCAACCAATTTAAGATAAGCTGCAACATCTATAGGCTCTATTCCAGAACCCTGCAAAAAAACAGATGACACAGTAACATTGTGTAGAAATTAATTTTGGTTGTTTTATTGCTTCAACAATTAACTTTTCACAAATAGCATGTGGAACTTAAATTTGTGTTCTATAATGTTTAGTACATATATATATATATTGTAACATTAAGGTAATTTCTTGTTATTGTCTAAACTAACCTTGCAATATTAGATAATTACAATAAATGTGAATAGTGTCCACATGTGGACACAGATGATGCCCCCGCTTGCATATCATATAATTATAAAGGGACATAACTGAAGAACGGTAAAAGTGACGCTACCCAAATTTGAACTTGATCTGAGTTTTGTGGTAATAAGCATTGTGTGTATTAAGTCTCACAACATTTGGTTGAGGCTAACTTAAGTAGAGAACAGAAACTAAAATTTCAGCAATTTTTCTATTTGTAAACACGCATAACTCTAGAACAGTTGTGTTTAAGTTTTATAACATTTGGTTGAGACAAACCAAAGTTAGAGAACGGAAACGAAAAATTCAGCAATTTTTATGTTTATAAAGGGACATAACTCAAGAATGGTAAAGTGTCACCACCAAATTTCGTACTTACTCTGTATTATGTAGTAATAAGCATTGTGTATAAGTTTCATAACATTTGGTTGAGGCAAACTAAAGTTAGAAAACGGAAACAAAAAATTTGTACTTGATCTTAGTTTTGTGGTAATGAATATTGTGTATAGGTTTCATAATGTTTGGTTGGGGCAAACTTAAGTTACAGGATGGAAACTAAAAATTTTGCAATCTTTTGATTAATAAAGGGGCATAACTCAATAATGGTTAAAGTGACACTACCCAAATTCAACTTGATCTGTGTTTTATCAGTGGAAGTCAAAATTAAACATTGCATTGTATAAAGCACTGATTGTAGTTGATTCAACTATAATCATGGACAAAGGAAGATAACTCCAATTTCTGTAAAAATTACTTGATATTTAGATTGATTGATTGTTGGTTGCTTAACGTCCAGTGGCAAATATTTCATGCATATTCAGGACGAGAACAAGTTCACAATAAATACACTAGGTAGGTTCTGTAATAGATTAAGGGATTAAGGTCGGAGAAGTTTAGACTGCCACGGGAAAAGATGGGTATATTGGATAGGGACAGAAATTTAGCCTTGCAACAGGTCACCTACGGACCCCTCTAAGAGTTGTTGCAAGGGTTCTTAACGTGAAAAGAGCGTGGCACTCTCTTTACACGAGGCATCGGATTTAACGTCCCCATTCTGACCGGACGTGGCTGCAAATTTGTACATCCCGCACAGCCAAACGGACGCCCCACTTTAGCACGGGTTTTACTGCCGGTCGGAGGAAGACCAATGGTGACCATACTTCTATTCCCCAGTCACCCTTGGGGGTCTTGATATTTAGAAGAAAATAAAAATTTTGCAATTTTTCCATTTATAAAGGGGCATAACTCTAGAACAGTTAAAAGTGACTCCACCAAAATTCAAACTTGATTTGTGTTTTGTGGTAATAAGCATTGTGTACAAGTTTCATAACATTTGGTTGAGGCAAACTTTAGTTAGAGAACTGAAACTAAAAATTTTGCAATTTTTCCATTTATAAAGGGGCATAGCCCTAGAACGGTTAAAGTGACGCCACCAAAATTCAAAATTGATCTGTGTTTTGTGATAATAAGCATTGTGTATAAGTTTCATAACATTTGGTTGCGGCAATCTTAAGTTAGAGAACTGAAACTAAAAATTTTGCAATTTTTCCATTTATAAAGGGGCATAGCCCTAGAATGGTTAAAGTGACGCCACCAAAATTCAAACTTGATCTGTCTTTTGTGATAATAAGCATTGTGTATAAGTTTCATAACATTTGGTTGCGGCAATCTTAAGTTAGAGAACGGAAACTAAAACTTTTGCAATTTTTCCATTTATAAAGGGGCATAACTCTAGAACGGTTAAAGTCACACCACCAAAATTTAAACTTGATCTGTCTTTTGTGGTAATAAGCATTGTGTATAAGTTTCATAACATTTGGTTGAGGCAAACTCAAGTTAGAGAACAGAAACCAATTTTGGGACGTACGTACGTACAGACAGACAAGGGTAAAACTTAGTGCCCCCACCGCTACGACGGGGGCATAAAAAAACAAAGGTCATTAGCAAGTTATCTCCCTTTCTTCTGTTGTATTCATAGTTCAATTGATTCTCATCATAAATATTTCTATTTTACAAAACTGTTATTGTATACTTAACTACAGTATTGGGTTTTTGTCAACAACATATGGTCACTAAAGGCTAACAAGTTGTAAATTAGACTGGTCTAAACTGGCAATATATCCTTTCTTTTCCAATAATTAGTTTCAGATAAAAAAAAACATGATTCTCAAATAAAGAGATGACAGACAGAAAACAGGAAATAACTGAACGATGCTTGATTTTTTAATACAATAAGGCCACCACAAAAATATGTGTGTTAGGAGTTTCCTCCTTTAGAAAAATAGGGAAGAAAGGGACACCGTAAAAACTTATTTGTTTTGCCTTAGTCCTTTTTTTCAACTATAATTTTTTTAATCATTATTCCATACCCTCAGCTGAATAGCATGATCTTCTTGTTTAGCTGCAGCCGCTAGTGCCTTCTGTTGTGAAGCTGTAGGATGGTGGATTGCTGGGACAGATTTGGGTGCGTGTGATATCTTCTGCTGGACAGTACCTGATGCTGCGGGAGTTGATGTTGCCACTTTACCTGTGCTGATTAACTGTCCTTTACCCATTAGTTTTCTAGCTTCTTTCTTTGCCTTTCTTTTCCATGACTATATTTCAAAGAAAAAAAATTACAAAAAAAATATTTGTGTTAAGGGAAACTGTGAGGCCCAAAATCATGTCTCAATGATGATTTTGACAGGATATCTGAAGATCTATCATACCTTTAAGATTTAGGGGCAACAACTCCTGTAGGAAGCAGGGCTTCCAAAACGGTCGTATTTTCCGGACTTGTCCCTTAAATTATATAAATGACTTGTTGTGCCGATGCTGAAACGGACACTTTAATATAGTTAAAAAAAAAAAAGAAGTTTATGCGATCTTTGTTACCTGATCTCTTGCCTTAAACAGTCACATATTTCCGGTTATATAAGTGACATGATGAATAATTACTATCAAAACAAACCCTACTTTATCCCCCTTTCATTACAATCAAGGTTAATTAGTTCTCTGACAGCTGAAATTAACCTGTTCATGCGACAGGTAAACTATTTTGACATTGATTGGTCTATTGAGAGTTATTTTCTTAAATTTCAGCGGTTTGCATCTAATTAGTTTAGTCAACAAGATTTAGATTATCAGAAAACGTAAATAAATATGATTTGATGAAAATTTAAAAAGGTAGTAATAAAGGTTTTAAGTGAAAAATTGTCAGAACCACGTTTTTTGAACTCGTACGCATGTGCGCAGGTGTGAGATTTAATTTTGCATCCGAATTTACAAAAATGCTAAAAATATCATTGATACCTTTATCTAACGTTCATTTCAAGTATTTTCCTGAAGAAATAATGCAGAAAGAGCTACTTAAACTCAATCGTGATTTATAAACGTACACGGATTTTACGTATCCGTCTCAGGTCCGTGTTTTATCATTGTCAAGTCAACATCCGGAATAAGGAAAATATACTTTTTAAAAACAAAAGTGAAGTTCTTGACAGTGTAATTTTGCACAAATAAAGAGTCTAATCAGATATTAGTATGCTGATGATGCACAATTCAAATGGTGCACTGTCAATTTAACAGTTAATTACACCTTATATAAGAAAGCCAGATTTTGATTGGTTGATAGCCAGTGTATTTTTCGCATATTCTAATATTTTTTCCTCATTTCAAACGAATTTGCCTGTTTTTCACCACTGCCGGTGAATTTGCCTCAAATACCATGGTATTTGCCATTTTGGATATTCCTTTTTTACCCTCTCGAGCATTTTCCGGCCAAAATTTTTCGAATATGACGTTACATAAAAAAGCGAGCTTACGTGTATTAGTACATGTATAATTCCCGCGGTTCTATAATAATATCCTCTTATCCTAAAAATTATGCATAATCATGTTAATGAATTAGTTTCAATCCAAATCTATTCGGTGTAATTAAACAGATATATCATGTTATGGAGGGATATTTGCGAAAAATACCAGTCTTGGGAACGAATTTCCCAAGCCTAGCAGCTCGGGAAATTTTACAGTCCCTTGACTGGTATTTTTCGCAAATACCCCTCCATAACATGATATATCTGTTCATAACGCCAGAACATCCATTTTATATAAAAAATTAAATTAAATATCGTTTGTGTGTCAATCATAATTTATATGTTGCCAAACTGATTACTATGGTTGCCTTTCATTACTAAGTCTTAAGGGATTAAAAACGGGATAAGACCAAAAAAAATGTCAGGCTGGCTTAAATATTTTTTGGAAGCCCTGGTTGGAAGTCATTTGACAATATCAATCATATTCACTCATTTGTGCATTTTGTGTATGCTGATAATTTTTGCTGTACATAATTCTAGGGGATCTACTATCGTTTTCAAAATATTACGTAAAATCACTAAAATTGGTCAAAATCATCATTAAAGGGCAATATCTCATATTAAGCGTCTATTGACCATATTGGCCATGTTTTCTTATTTGAAGAATTGCCTTGTTTATAATTTATTGCCATATACAAATTCACTCTAATTTAGTTTTCACCAAAATACAAAAAATAGGCACAAATAGTCATTGAATAGCAAGAACTCTTTTAAGAGCTTAAGCTTGCATTTCACCTGCTTCTTTACCTCGTACAAATACAGCTGATATTTAAAAACACTAACAACACATTGTATATGCATGTGTTCTGTACAAATGGGTCAAACTGGTATAAATATATTTCAGTCATACAGACTCTTTAGGGTGTATTGAATATTTGATCTAGCAAATTCAATACAGAAAATACCCACCATTTTATCTCTTGATGGAAGTCCTTGCCATATCTCTCCTAATCTTCTACTGAGTTGTGCAAAATCTGAAAAAGAAAATTGTGTTCTACATGAAGGGATCTCACTTTTTTGGCCATAACGAGTCCAACAATGAGAAGATAAAATTTTATTGTTATATGATTTATTATTTCAGTCCCCATGACAAAATAGAGTAAGGAAATGACATCAAGTTTAGATTATTTATAAACTTTTGTCAAAAAACAATGATATTTGTACTCAGTTGATACAATCTTGATGAATCTTGGACTCACCAGTTTTGAAAATGATGAATCTTGGACTCACCAGTTTTGAAAATGATGAATCTTGGACTCACCAGTTTTGAAAATGATGAATCCAGACAGATTTTCATGAGTCCAGGACTCGTGGACTCGCCTAAGTGTGAACCCTGCAGTTCATGTACAGGGGCGTAGCTGGACTAAAATAAAGTGCAATCATGATAATCGTCAAGCGGAGCAAGACTAACTTCGCTGAGCGAAGCGAGGCAAACAAATATTTTGGACCATTTTATGCAGAAAATGATAATTTTTTCGGGCATTTTCCCAATATGCCATGCTTATGAAATTCACATCACTCCTTCATGCCCAAACTCCTATTTTGTGAATACTTGGGGACTTTATAGTGATTCGACAAGGGAGGCTGGGGGGCTATGGACCGCTCAAAGTCCCCAGCTGGTTCAGGGTAGCACCCTAGACGGGAATCCAGGGCAGCACCCTAGACGGTGATGCAGGGAAGCGAATCCCCCGGAAGCTCCGGGCATATAAGTAATTACAGTGACTGCTTTGAACATGAAAAATACCCTATCTGTTTCTTACTATACCAGATTTTCATGAAACGATAGTAAAATTCTAGTGGGTTCCGTAATTTGCTGCTTGCTATTTTCAAATATAAAATAAATTTTATAAAACGGGAAGATTAGGAAGAGTCGACAACAGTTCCGAAGCGTTAATCAATAGAAGGGCAATCAATGGACACATGCCAAACCCGGGAACAGATAAGACACAAAAGCACAAACAAAAACATTCAACATTGAAAACTAAATACAGATGAAAAACAAGGACCCCGAAAAAAATGTGGCGACCTCCGGTGCTCCGGAAGGGTAAACAGGTCCTGTTTCTTGCAAGACAACCGTAGTGGTTCTCATGAAGGTCATGTTCAAATGAAATGAGAGGTTTCTACAACAACGGCAGAAGGTAATTTGATACACAGATACCCCAGGTGAATTAATAGTCTTTTGAACGAACGGAAAATGGGAATACGAAATCGAACGGCCACTTTTAAGTCTTGACATATAAGTAGAGGATATAAATCTAAGATGTTTTCAAGGTGATTGTATTGAGCCTATATTATCAAATGTTAAAACTGCATGTAAGACTTAAAGTATAGTTAATATCCAAAGTCCATATATCTATTTTTTCCAAAGCAAATGATCGCAGAACTCTCTCGGTGTCTATATCCATTTCTCTGTGAACATGTATGATAGTCTCTCCTGTACCATGGTTGAACGGAGATAAGTTTTCAGTCGCCGTAATGCACTAAATAACCGTTCAGTAGTTGATGTAGTTACTGGCATTGTAACTAGGATTGAGAAGATTGCAAATATTGAAGGATATAGTTCCTTATATTAGTCACTGCTAAAGACGACATCCGATATTTGTTACAAGTACAAACACCGCCCGACACGATAATCCGTAAAGACTAAAGACTATTCGTAATTCAATTTCCGAATTATTTTTTTTTGTGAAAACAAATGTGCAAGCAAATGATTTTTTGCGTAAAGGCAGATACGCGCCTGATGTATTTCAATTTTTGTCAATTATACAAGTCACAATATTTTATTACATGTTTATTTTTGTTTTGTTAATTGTTTAAGTCATTGTAGAACAGGCACGTTTAGCATTGTAAATAATGTCTTCACTTCTTTCTGTTACAAATTTATGTCTGGCTTGCTTTACTTGTTATGATCCAATTTATGTTAAAAGTCTGTAATATGAAGGTTTTCCTACAAGTATCACATTAATTAACATTATCAATAACCCATGTAAATCAGGCCTCTACAATTTCTTGTGATTTTTTCACTGTATAATAATTTTGTTTGACTGTAATGCTAATTATCTGGTGGTATTAGATGGTATTGATAACATTTAAGCATTACCAATTCCTGGACTTTCTGTCAGGACTTTGTTCCTCATAGAATTACACCACATGGTATATGCAGTTAACCTTTTTTTCTTCTTTTCTTTCTGTAATAAAGATTTTCATCTTGAGTAAATGTAGACAGATGACAGCTGAATAGTCAAAATATCTACTGTTTACATAAGGAAACACTACAGGGAACCCTTATGCAAATCATTTTCTCTTTAGTGTGAATCATTTTCTCTTTGTTAATAACAAAAAAAGTAAAAAGAATTGAAAGACCTCTGCATACAGTTGCTTCTGAAAGAGGAGAAAAGGCAAGGATACTCTTCTTTGTATTTAGGCCCTGACTGAAATTTATTTTAGCAATTTTTTTAACTTTGTCCATGTTTTCATATAGGAAAAGATGCAGGTTTGACCTATTCACGTTATTTATCTAATCGCTAAAGTCGGTTTAATAAAAAATTTCTCTAAAATACATGTAGGTTGGTTAATAGTAATAACTTCATATTTTACAGTATAAACCATACATTTGTTAACAAATTTTCATAGGTAATTGAAAGATAAATGTTTCCCAAATCTTTTCTTTTTTTAAAAGCCATTTTGATTTGCACATTTGACTTTATTTCACTTACAACAGGTTTTTCAGTTTTACCACCAGCCTTTGTATCACCTGTAAATAGATTGTAGCATATTCAGTTGTAGATAACATTTTATAATTTTCATTGAATAATGTCTTGATAGGGTCTTACTCTCTCTTATAATTACTTATATCAATCTTTACTTCAAGTTTTATATCAAGATCTGGTAGATAATTGTATTTAACTGTGCACATGCAGGGATCTCCATGGATGAAAATTTAACGATGGAGGAACTTCCACCATGACAAAATCCCGTGTCTACAGCGTGGCGTCATCCAAAGTATTTCAGTCCTTCATTTCCGTGTAAGGAATGGTTAACAGGCTGATAAATTGCTTATTATATTTATTTCATATAAAATAACCAATATTTTCATTAATTGTCATTTGTAACAATTCCAATGCCAATGGGGGGGGGGGGGGGGGGGGGTCTTTTTTTTCACTGTCAAATTCAGAAGTCATGAACCGGTATCGACGATTTGGAGCATCAACAAGAAGTTTCGTACCTGTTTTGTAAAACGCTGAAGAAAGATTTGGAGGGCAAACGTTTACAACTAGAAAGGTTTTAATGACTTTAAACAGCAAATTTCATAGTAATATACTATGCAACATGCATCTTTCGATTCTGAATGTAAACCGGAAAACCGGATGTATCAATTTGATTGTAAACTACAAAATGAATTACGATACGAAATTTCTTCAGATTATCAAGTTGCTGTTAACAATATTCATGTATTTACTGATTGCGCAAGTCAATATAAAAGCATGTGTTCGACTTGTTAAATTTTATTCTTTGTAACTGGATCTATAATTTATTTTTTCAATCTAAATTTTCATTAGCATTTGCTGAAACGTAATTAATAATGCAATCAATTGTCTATCTTGGTCAAGTGTTCTCCTGTCAGGTGTTTCGATCTACCTGTACAAGTGATTAGCGATCTTTAGCCGGATATCCCTCAGGGCTTTAAAACTGTAATCAAAAGGACCCTTTGGATTATAATACAAAAAGCCAAAGGGTTATGCAATTACACCCAATTGATTATAATTGCTAAAAAAAATGGTGGCGGCTAGAGAAACGAAAACAAATTTTGACAATGGCTGGGATCATTTGACGATGGCGGGGATCATTTGACAGTGGCGGAAGATATTTTAACGATGGCTGTGCGCCATCATAAAACAGGTCATGGAGATCCCTGCACATGGAAATCATATCAAATTTTTTTTCTGTTATCGAAGCAGCAATCAGCTGGTCAAAACTGTAAATACTTTGTTCATTTAAATAATGTCTCATTTGCTTTGTGTTTTTGAATATGTTAATCATCGTTAGGAAAAACATGCATTACTGACATTATTTCTAATGACTAACTTCATATCATAACTTTACATGATAATTTGAAGTTCCAAAACTATAAATCACCATAAAATGATAAATTACCTTCCTTTCACATCATGTTTCACCATAAAAAATAAGGCTCTCTATGAATTTGTATGATAATATATAAAAGTATCTTCAAAGAAAATCAAAAAGTAATTTACTATATTCAAAACTTGAAACTATATGAAAAAAATCCTGTAACTAGATGTGTTGAAATGGCCCTGCTCGCAAAAAAGTCCAAAGCCCGTAATTTTAGCAAAAATCAATAGAGCAAAACTAAACGTAAACTCAATCTGTAACTCATCATAGTCATGATAGTAGACACACATACTAAAAATCAGCTCAAAATGTGAAGGTGTTTAGAAAAAAAGTCTGTATAACTATTTGTTGTGGAATTACAGAATGTTGGAATGACGGATATTAAAGGGTAAAACTATATGGCCCCGACAACATTGTTGTGGGGCCATAAAAATTTGGATTTTTCGATCTTATACAAATCAACATGTAAAAATTAACAAACAATAAACCTTTCTTCTTAGATGGTGCTTTCTTTGTAGTTTTCTTCTTCTTGTTAACTTCATCTGCTATAACAAGATTTCCTTCATCATCGTCATCATCATCACCAAAATCATCGTCATCAAAATCATCTTCTTCAAGTGATTGTTTCTTTTTACTTGTCTTCTTCTTTCCCTTCTTGTTATCAATTGGAGAAGCATCTATCAAATCTAATAGATATATCTTAGATTAAAATGGATCTAAATGTCAACAGTTTAACATGTAAAATATGCAACACTTTCAAAGTCAATGAACCATAAACTGGGAGGACATGGGCAAATAATATCCATGATGAGGTGTGCTAATGCTAATACAAATGCATACCAAATTTAATATACTTACCTTTAGCGGTTCTCCTTAAACTGATCTAATCAAAAACTTTGACATGTAAACTATACAAAACTTTCAAATTCAATAGACCATGACTGAAGGGGCAGAGCCAAACAATCTCCATGGAAATGAGATGTACCAATGCTAATGCAGAATATTCATGGAGAAAAGATGTGATAGCTTACAATTTATTCATGTTAAACTGACCTAATAACTTTTTAAAAAGTTGTTGACTCTGTTGACAGTACAAGAAAGAGCACACCTAAGTCTTGCATCGTTACTTCGTCAATATAAGACAAATAATAAAACAAGAAGTTGTTGCATTGTCAAACTAAGCATACCCCAAGTTGGAATTCAAAGTACATGTATCAGAAAACAGGAAGTAAATGTACTTGTAGTTGTCTGGCAAATCAGACAAGCATTAACATGTCACAACTTATTTCAAGCTGCAGATCAGGTATGAAGTCTCATGTGAATCACTTGAAAAAATTTACTGCATTTGCTCAACTTCAAAAGCAAAAATTTTGTTTAAGGTTGTAAGTTCCTTTATTTCAGGGATAATTATCATCCAAAAATTAGAACTCTCAGAGAAAAATTAACCCATAAGGAACATTACTTTCTTAATCAGTTTTAAGGACAAAACCATGAATTTTTAACCCTATGTAAATGTTTCAGCAGTAATTGTTGCATTCCTTTTCAAATTTACTCTAACCCTTATCTGGCTATGAATTACCAATTTTTGGTTTTTGTGACTCCTGGAAACATTAATTTTACCTATTATGTTTAGTTAATTTTTTTTTTATATCATGAAATCAAATGAAGATATTTACCTTTTGCTTTTCTGGCCAATTCCTCCTGCTCTAGCAAAGTCCCGTCCTGCGATTCAAACTGCCATTCCATATCATCCTCATCATCCCCTTCATCGTCTTCATCTAATTCATCATCAAAATCTTCGTCGTCTTCATCGTCATCGTATGATTGATGGCCATCATCTAAATCACTTGGTGACATGATAATTTTTTTAACAGGTCTTTCCGCTGGTACAACATTAGATTCAGATTTGAGAGAGTCTGAGCTTTTGTCTAGTTCTTTGGGTTTATCAGAACTTATTGCAGTAGTTGACACAGAAGGTGTTGTGAACTGTGTGGGAGTATTTAGTAACATTTTGATGACACTTTTACCTTTCTTTGAAGGAGAAGGTGGAGATTCTTGTTTTTTGGGTGTAACAGGTTCCGATTTAATCTGTTTTTGTTTCTGTGTGGCACCCTGAAGTCCTTGTGCCTGCGCCATAATATTAGCTGATAGTTCTGCTACTGATGACAAGTCACTTGGTTCTTCCTTTACTAACAATTCTGATCCTTCTGTTGGTTCTTTTATCTTTACTCTGGATTTTGATTTTTTTGCAGATGGAGGCGATGGTTCCGCCTTAACCATACCAGACAAACCCCCTGCTACTGATAACACTACGCTCTGACCATGTTCATTTCTGACAATAGTTATACCAGTGGGAGGGAGCTGTTTTGTGGGAGACTGTTGAACGGGAGGAGATATAACAACAGGACTTTTTCCACCAGGCTTTTTGGTTTTAGTTTTCTCTGCTTCTTCAAATTCTTCCATTTCTATTACTTTAGCTGACTTTTTACGCACCTAGAATTGAAGAGTTGTTCTGTTTCAATAAAAATTACTGTTCATCTGTTCTTATTCATAATTACTTTGCATTTAATGTTTGGCTGGTATAAATCAGATTATCTTAATCCAACTTGAGTAGAAGCTAGATAGGAATGTTTATAATTGTTATATATAAAGGTGATAAATAGATTCCCACAAAAATCTTAATAATAACCCACAAAACTCTACTCATCACTGCATCCAAAGGTTAAAATGATGTACCCTTCATAAAATTATTACATGTACCAACTTTTAATATTGTAGACTTAATCAAACTCAAGGATTCCAAATGACTCCTAACTTTCACAAGACATTCGTCAGAGAAACTGAAAATTGGTATTTAATGGTTTTTTTTATTTTGTATGTATACTTTTTTATGTGTGTATGTGATATTTTAAGAATTCTGTATACTTATACTTGTCTAATGTATAAGTGTTGTATTTGATGGGCTATTCTAATTCCCCTTTTTATATGTTATAAGAATTTCTTTAATATAGTTTTAAGTGCTGTATCTATAGATTTTTATGTTCAGTGTATAGTATTTTGAAAAAAATAGTTATTCTATCTTACCCTTCCTCTTTTACCAGCTTCTGAATTATCCGTAAGTGTTGTTGGTGACAAGGGCACAATATGCTGTACAACTTGCTGCTGTGCTTGTGGTGCCATCTGTGTGATAACCTTCAGTGGTCCCTTAGGGGAGATAACTGTTGTCATCTGTGGAACTGACACTGTTTGTAGAAGCTGAGGGGCTGGTACCTGTATTTTAATTTGCTGTTGAACAACTGGTTGTATTATTACTGGTTTTGGTGCTGCCTGAAGGGTCTGCATTAACAGTTTTGATGGAGGAGGTGGTGATTTGATAGGCGGAGTTTTGATACCAGACTTGGTGGTTTGCGGTGATTCTTCTTCAGAATCATCAGAATCATTTGATAACTTATCAACATCTTCTTCGATAGACTCATCAAGAAATCGAGCCGGTTTCTTCCTGGCTCTACCTGATCTTGTCACTGAAGTTAAAAGTTAAAAATTAGAACTCTGCACACAAGTAAGAGATACAATCCATTGCACAATAGAACTTTTTCATTCCAAACCAATTAAATACATGTACTGGTTACAGGTACCTCAATTGCTTAGATAATATTCTGACACTTTATATTAAATAATCCAGTATCCTTTTTTGCTAAAAGCATGTTCAGATAGTATTGTAATGTTTTTTACTATCTCAACGGATATTAATAAACATACATAAGGAAAAATTTTGGAAGACAACAGATAAAATCAGCACTAAAGTGTATATTCCTTATTATTGTTAAACTATATATAATAGAATATATATAAAATAAGTTCAATAACTGTACATGTCTCAAAATAAAGTAAATAATCAACTTGTCAGGATCTACCAACTAAATACTAAGCACTGTTGCATAATTAAAAAAAAAACATGTGGAAAAGAAATTATCTATTTATTTGGCCTGCTTCTTTTTAATTTTTTTGATTGGAGCGTTGTTGATGAATCTTTTGTAGACAAAACACACATCTGGCATTCAAAATCTTAGTTTTGGTATGATCTATAATGAGTTTATTATCAATTGAAGTTCAATGAGGAAAACTTCTATTTATGAGTTTATGATATTCATTGTTTCTCTGACATGCATTAACAAATGTACTTGTGTACATTAAATTAATTAAACAAATTTAAGAAACTTAAATCAATAATTTGAAACAATGCATTAAAATATATACTTGTAACTATGGGGATCTAACCAAATGTCTATTAAGGGGGTACCCAACACTTTGACCAAAATAGATTTGGCTCATTTAAATTTCATAAAGTATTGACAAATTATTTACTTTGACCTGTTGACAAAAATATAAAAATTTCAAGAAATTTGAACCACACAATTTAAAGGAATTTTTTCATTGGATATATAGCAGTTTGACAATTTTGATCATTTAGCATGTTTAGAAGCTTGATTTCTCTTTACTTATAGTATAAGCAGTGTTCTCCCCAGAAATTTTGGATAGCATCACATTTGAGTGTATTTTTTTTTCAATGTCATTTGTCCTGTCGCAACGATGCTGTCTTTCCTTTTTGTTATGTATATTTTTATTAAGGTATATGTTATATGTGTGCAAATGTGTCTATATACAATGTATATAAAAATAACGAAATGTAGTATGATTACCAACTAAATACCTAGCACAAAAAAGGACTTTTTTTCATATCAAAAAGGAAAAGAAAGTACATGTATCATTTATCAATAAAAAAACTAATCTGTTTATTATGCTTATGAAATTCATTGTTTCCTGGGACTCAATGTAGTTATTTTAGTAACAATACAGATTTCGTTTATAGCTGATCTGCCTCTGATCTGTAGTTTGTACAAATTTTTCAATGGTGGTTGAAGAAAAATTTACAAAAATAAAAAAATATGTGACAACCAGTTTAGAAATGAATATGATGCTTTTAATGCAATAAATGAATGAAACATTAACTCAAGGCAATTTTCATCACATTATACTGAAGTAACAAACTTATTTTGCCGAAAATCAGAATGTTTTAATGTATGCTCTCGAGTAATAAGTACCCGAAGTGAAAGAAAACACTTCATAAAAAGTTGTTAGTGTGGAATAACATATGACCAATCTGTAAAGTCAATGCTTTCACCTCTTTTTTAAAGAAATAAATCGTTTTTGCCTTTGAAACTTTACTTATAAATGGAGAATTGTTGTTTCATCGACTTGATAAAAATTGCATAATTATACAACTTGGTTTGGTCAGCCATTTTGTCAACATTGAGGTACCCAGCATAGTTTTTCTTCTCTTAGGAGACGATTCTGCCATGATGCAATAGTAGATTTCGAATTGTTTATGATTTCCTATTTTCTCAGTGTCCGGCTTGGATCAGGCTTGGACCATGTGTCATGTCATAAGTGTCAAGCTTGAGGTATTCATATCCGAACAGTTATCACCCAAAGGGCAATTAGCACCTATTTAATCATTCTTAATTGCCTCTACAATGTATTGTCAGACTTGATAGTAATAAAATTAAAGGTGATATAATTTTAATGATGATAAGCGGTAATTAGATGAAAGTTCAAAAATTTCGGTAATCAATCGATTTTGGAGTAATGTATAGCATGTATAGAGACAAGAAAAAATAGTATCTTTAAAATAGTTATGACATCGCGGAAATTATTATAGTGTCGAGGTGCCTGGGGAGAACACTGATAAGATTAAAATGTTCAGCTGATTTATAATTAGTTAACTCCCTTAGATGTACTGTTACCCCCCTTAATGTGTGTTAAATATTCATTTTTTTTATTTTTAGGGTCATTATTCTCCAGTCAGCTAAGCCATGCATTTGTCTGTAGTTATTATTGTAAAAATACAGTTTTCTGTCGTACATGTAATTTTCAATCCATTAAATTGATCAAACATTATTATAAAGACAGTTTTAATGAAGTAATAAATTAATTTTGCTGAAAATCAGAATCCTTTGATGAACATTCAAGTTACAAGTGCAGGAAGTGAACGAAAATACTTCTATTTACTGCATAGAAAGCTATTTCTTTGAACATGTTGAAATATCATACAACCTGTCTACAAAGTCAATACATGCTTTTATGCCATGTCTTTGAATTTCTTTACTTATAAATAAAAGTTGCTATATTATCAACTTAGCACTTGTCCTAAGTTAGGAACCTGATGTTCAGTGGTTGTTGTTTGTTGATGTGGTTCATAAGTGTTCCTCGTTATTAGCTCACCTGGCCTTTTTCTCATCACTTGGCGTCCGTCGTCTGTAACTTTTACAAAAATCTTCTCCTCTGAAACTACTGGGCCAAATAAAATCAAACTTGGCCACAATCATCATTGGGGTATCTAGTTTAAAAAATGTGTCCGACGACCTCGCCTGCCAACCAAGATGGCTGACATGGCTAAAAATAGAACATATATTTTAAATTGAATACCCTAATGATGATTGTGGCCAAGTTTGATTCTAATTGGCTCAGTAGTTTCAAAGGAGAAGATTTTTGTAAAAGATTACAAAAATTTACGAAAAATTGTTAAAAATTGACTATAAAGGGCAATAACTCCTAAAGGGGTCGACTGACAATTTTGGTCATGAACGACTTATTTGTAGATCTTACTTTGCTGAACATTATTGCTGTTTACAGTTTATCTCTATCTATTATTATATTCAAGATAATAACCAAAAACTGCAAAATTTCCTTAAAATTACCAATTCAGTGGCAGCAACCCAACAACAGGTTGTCAGATTTGTCTGAAAATTTCAGGGCAGATAGATCTTGACCTGATAATCAGTTTTACCTAATGTCAGATTTACTCTAAATGCTTTGGTTTCAGAGATATAAGCCAAAATCTACATTTTACCCCTATGTTCTATTTATAGCCATGGCCGCCATTTTGGTTGGTTGGCGGGGTAATCGGACACAATTTTAAAACTAGATACCCCAATGATGATTGTGGCCAAGTTTGGTTAAATTTGGCCCAGTGGTTTCAGAGGAGAAGATTTTTGTAAAAAGCTAACGACGACGGACGACGGACGCCAAGTGATGATAAAAGCTCACCTGGCCCTTTGGGCCAGGTGAGCTCAAAATGTAATCACTTCAATAAGTGTTTATAACATTTTGTAGATATTTTTCCCACAAGCTTGATTTTTTTATTGGTAAAAAGACAAGGATTCAATTTAAAAACCAACTATCTACATGCAGAAATGATCTTTTACTTGATGAGCCTATCAGTTTTTACAGTTTATTTAATATATGCATAAACTGGAATAATTTTTAGATCAGGACATAACCTTGAAGTAGATCATTCTAACTCTAAAGAAGACCAATCAGGTTACTTAAAATTGTTGACCTTTGTCTGATTGTAAGAGTAGTTAATGAATATTTGATTACAGAAAAATTCTCAAGGGTACTTTTAAAAGCTTTAGCGCACTAACTTACTGCCCAAGCGCACTGGTGAAATTAATATACAAGAGAGAGGGATAATTGATCTTTGTAGGAAAATTACAGAAAAAATTGTCAAAATATGGAAAATTAATGAAATTAGCATTTGAAAATCAAAGGAAACACCAAACTCACTTAAATAGGTGATAACTGAATTTAACAAATCACTGAAATAGGTGATTATGAAATCACTTGTATAAGTAGTACCCCTGACTAAGAGTTATTGCCCTTTGATGACGATTTGTACAAATTTTTTTGCGTTTTAGTCATATCTTAAAACTTATAATAGATAGAAAGAAACTTAAATAAACAAAAATGATCAGCGAGACAAGATCTACAATTAAGACAAATGGCAGTAATTGGCAGATGACTCCTTATTGGAAATTTTGCCCTTTATTGACGATTTTTACTATTTTTTTGCATTTTGCCTTATATGATAAAAATTATAATAGATAGATATATGTATAAACTTAAATAATTAAAAATGATAAGCAAGACAAGACCTACTAACAAGTCAAATTTTGCCCATATAACTAGTAGACTTTTACTCTTTATAGGAGTTATTGCCCTTAAATTAGGATTTTTTTTACCCTCTTTTGTGTTTGGAGCAAAAGCTAAATAAGAGAGAGAGAAACTAAACAGACTTCAATGATCAGCAATATAAGATAAAAAAAAAACAGATTTTTGTCATTAAGGTAGATAGGGTGTCTTCCTCCATCTTGGATTTTGAAATACCAGAAAACAATCGGTCTAGATATTTAATAAAATGAGCAAATTTTGAGAGTAGTCGGTAATTCATGTGTAAGAATTTTCATTTCAATATAGAAAATGACATGTTTTATCATATTTATGGTTGTATTTTACAAAAAACAGAATACTTTTGTTTGATTCAATTTTTTCCAACTTTGTCACATAAGTGGAGGCAACTCAAATGTAAGGGCAGATAATTCAGATAAAGTTACTTTTACAATAGAATGTGTTAGGAATTTACCTTTTTGATTATGTAGCAAGAAAACGGGTCCCGTGACCCCATTTTTTCTTTTTCTTATCTGAAAGCATAATATTAGAGCTATCTTCTCATTTTTTATCTCAAAATTCTATGGTGCATTTTTCGTTTTTTTTGGCAGAAAATTGGGTTTTGCATGCATAATCTATACAAAAATCTGTCAATTTTGCACAACCTGTAGCGTGAAAATAAGCCCTGTGACCCATTCTTTTTATTATTTTTTTTCAAAAGCATGAAATAAACTACATTTTGGCAAATTATTAAAAAATTCTAAGGATTATAATTAAGACACCCCATCTACCTTAATTTTATTCTTGTCTACAATGTTAGAGAGTGTCCTTTGTTGAATATGCATATAGACCAAGGTGAGCGACACAGGCTCTTTAGAGCCTCTAGTTTATATTGATTAGACCGCTGGTTTTCCTGTTTGAATGGTTTCACACTAGTCATTTTTGGGGCCCTTTAAAGCTTGCTGTTTGATGTGAGCCAAGGCTCTGTGTTGAAGGCCATACTTTGACCTATAATGGTTTACTTTTACAAACTGTGACTTGGATGGAGAGTTGTCTCATTGGCACTCACACCACATCTTCTTATATCCAATTAGTACAAATTGAAAATTTTCTGAGGATAAAAGTGACTGTTGAAAATACCCAGGTGATTAGATATCACTTTTTTTGGGAAAAGCTAAGTAATAGACAGGTATGCCACTTTTTTGCCCCAGTGGCCATAAGCATGAGCCCTGATTTAGCTGTGTGTTCAACTTTCAAATCCAAAAAATTCTGCTCTTGGTCACCACAATAAGATATGTACTTTGATTAATACTGATGGGTGGTTGCTTAACTTCCAGCCGCTAATTAATATGCATATTCAGGATGAGAACAGGTTAATATTATATGAATATTAACCCTGCTTTGTACTAGACTGACACGCTGAGCCAGATTTTTAATGTTTTTAGTTCAAAAGGTACATGTAACAGTCCGCAAGAAAGACATGTCACCTTACCTAGTAGGGGTTTGAACCCACGACCCCCTGCACTCAAGGAAAAGGTATCCGGTCGTTCCGTCCCCAAACCGATCCGGCCCCAAGTCGATCCGGCCCAAAGTCGATCTGTCCCAAGTCGATCCGGCCCACGTCGATCCGTCCCTACGTCGATCCGGCCCCATAATAAAATATGAATAAACTATATTGACTTTGGAGGATTTTGTGACAAATTTTAACAGTATAAATGGAATTTGTAAAAAGTGTCGTTGATGGATGACAACAGGTAAGTGAAGTATTGGAGGGTTTTTTTTTAGGGGCAAGGGAAGGCTTTTGGGCTTATCTTGCCTCTTTTCACACAGGTATAACAATTTGGACATGGGGTTTATTTCATCCTTTATTTATAACAATTTTAGTTTCAACTCTTTACTAAATGTTTCTATTTCCTTCATTCTTTCTAAGCTATATAGAAAGTTCTTGATGTTTCGTACGTCTAACCAGGTGTCAAAACTTCTCTTGATGTAGTTGTACGTATCTGATCTCTGATCTTTATAGATAAAGTTGTCTAGCTGAAGTGTATCGCTTCTTACTAAGAGGTATAAGTCCTGGTCAACAATATCTAACACATACATCTTTTGAGGAAGACTTCCTTGTTTCCTCTATAAGTGTCGGTGTGTCGATCAATGTTTCATCAGCCGAGTCCTGGATTTCTGATGGGTTGCTGTCTATAGACATGTCTTGTGTCCCTGTTTCCATATCATTGGTGATCGGTGGATTTTCCAACATCTCGTCATTTGGGGGTGGTGCGGTTGTTTCCAGCTCCTCGGTGTTTAAAGTCGGGCCTCCTTTTGATGACCTCTTTTTCGTCACAGTTTTCTGTCTTTCGATTTGACGCCGTTTTATCTTGATCGAGTATTTGCCATTCCGTTTGGTTAGTATTCAATCGGCAGGTTGACTCTTAACGAGAGAAATGACTGCTGTTATATCATCTGGTAATTGTGTGGAAGTTTCCATACTCAATTTCTCGTCATATGTATTATGTATTTGATATATAGTTCAAACTTTGTCGGTCTGCCTGAAATGTTTAACTAAAAGTATTCGATTAGGCAAATGAGTCTCTAGTCTCAAAAACTTTTAACAATGGTTGGTCACATACCACACATTTTTTTTTTTTTCTTTTTTTTTTACTATTTTTCTTAATAAGAAAAATAGTCACATACCACACAAGGAAAAGCCATTGTGATATTAAAAGCAAACGCATTCTGTCTCCTCTTTTATAGAAAGGATTCGGCAAATCAAACAAATTTTCTCAATTTGAGAAGTTTTAAGAACTTAAAACAAAAACAAAGTTTGTATGTATCAGCTTGGGGATCGGCTTGTACCGTAGTGTATGTAACTATTTGTTATTACACAGGATGAAAGACTTGTTAAGATCACAGTCAATTGAAAGAAATGCTAATTACTGCTGATTAATGTTGATGTCTGTTGATTGTACTAAATTCTGTTATATACGTTTTTATTATGATTATACCCAATAATCTTGAAAACTTGTAATGAAAACATAATCAACATAGTTGTTTTAAACTCATCTAAAGAAAATATTTGTCAAAGGCCATTTTGTTTTACCGTACACCTTTTACATTATAATAAAATTCATAAACTTTTATGAATTACAATTAATATATATCTTTATTTTCATTCCTTATAAATATATTTTTTTATTGGGCCGGATCGACTTTAGATATGGGCCGGATCGACGTGGGACGGATCGACTTGGGCCGGATCGACGTGGGGCCGGATCGACATGAAAGCAAGGAAAACCCGCTACCAAGAGACCACATAGGCGGTTACTTCGATTAAGTAAAGGTTTATAGGTAATTTTTTTTTTTTTACAGACAAGTGCTTGTCTACAGAACTTGTCTTTTACCCATAGATGAGGAGAAATCACAGGCACTTGTACCATTTGACCGTAAAGATCTCCTCCTTCTTTCTATCCAGAAAGAAAGACTGAGAGGGCTATACCATCGCATGAAACGAGTGCATGTGGTCAAAATGCCAAGAGAACAGGTGTTTTATACCTTTTTCTTTTTGGATTTTTGACAATTTAACTGATTGGGGGGGGGGGGGGGAATCACCGTCATCTTCTTCTCTTTTACGCTTTCCAGACATTTTAAGTTAGCTAAATCTCTGTTTGAATGCAAGCTGTCTTTCGCGGCCAAATGTAAACAACTTGACTTCCGGTTACCACTGTGATGATAAGGTAAAAATAAATTGAAATATGAATATGAAAATATAGATAAATAGTATATCAAATGCTTAATTCCTTGTTTTTTCAATCGTAGATAAATAATACGTTATTATGTGTGATTTTATACGTAGTCAAGCCGTTTCTTTTTTTTTTTTAAAATATGTATGTTGTATATTAAAAGTAAAAATATCAAAACTTTAGTAAAAGAATAAACAAATAAAAATACCATAAGATAAAAACTCTTCAAACTTCGCTTATACATTATATAATATATTTTCCATGATGTTGTGATAGTTATTATATGTAAAACCTATTTTTTACCAACCAAAAGCAGATCCGGTATTTTTCAATATGGCGACTTACTACAAACTTCGTTGCTGTGTCACTGGGCATGAAAAAGATGTTCGTGCGCTTACAGCTTTGGCGATTCCCGATGACTCTTTTTTGTCCGGGTCAAGAGATGTAACAGCTAAAGTTTGGGTGCCGAATGAGTACGTAAAACGACCAGAAAGCCGTACTTTCAGTCTATTGTTTTCATTTTCCGTACAGTTCATTGTATCTTGCTTTCCTGTACATGTATATAATTGTATATATATCTATTGATTCTTGTTAGCATGCTATATGGATGGCACCTTCAGCTTTGAAACTGCAATTCCTTGATCTAAAAAAAAATCTACTGATTTGAAGAAGATCTCCATAAATTCAACCAGTAAAGACTCCTTCTTATATATCAATACAACAATCTTCCCCTTTTGCTTAAGGCACTGGCTACAATTACCCGCGAAAAGCAACAATAAGAGATTATTATTTGTTACTTCCTAGACTAATAGGGGAAATGTGTCTCCCTATAGGGACCCAATTTCATACAAAATAGCAGGTAACAATACACCTTATCGCTATTTGTCCGCCATTACTGGACATCACACAAGTTCCCGTACAAGTTTGACAAAATGAGTCATGAATAAAAGATATTTATGAAGATTAAGACAAAGTTCATTCATCTAAGCAAGGATTTGTATAATAAGACTATACAAATCCTTGATCAAAGACTTGTATTAAAAAGAAAGGCGGAAGATACCAAATCTTCTTTGATTTTAATCATACCGAGCTAACTACATGTTGTATTTACATCAAAGTGAGTCATAACAACAATCATGATTTTCAATCACAGAATGATACCAAATTTGGCATTGTAAATTATACCTATCATGCCTATCAATACACTTAATCATTCATCATCAAATCACCAAAAAAAATATTTCATTTCAAAATTCCCGAATTTTTATTAATGAAAATTTAAATATTTGGATAAATACATCAAAAAACATCTAATAATTCAACCAGTATTTGAATAAAAAATAGGGTGCGAATGAATCCAGGAGGCGAACATGTATTGGGAGCAAACGGACCCGATACCATCCTTATCGTGTAGCATCAGGCTTTTTAGTCCCCTACCGACGAAGTCGAAGGGGACTTTAGGTTTGCACTCCGTCCGTATGTCCATCCGTCAGTCTGGCAAATCAGCTTTCCACACTTTTTTTCTTCGTTCTTGAAGATATTGATTTGATATTTGGTATATAGTTTTATCATGACAAGTTATAGATCAAGTTTGAATTATGTTCCGGTCTGATGATTTAGTCCAGAGTTATGGACCATAACTCTGGATCATATCTAATGTTAGAGTACTATGTTAAACCATATTTCTGTAAAAAGGGAGATAACTCATTTTTTAAAAGACATTCTTTGTTAAATTATTTGAAGAATTTTTTGGCAGGCTTGTTTGTTATTTAGTATAAAATAGTTTTCTGAATGCTATATATATATATATATATATATATATATATATAAAATTATGAAGAGAAATCCTTTAATTAGATAATAATCTATTTTTATTAATGTATATATTTCAATACATTTCATTGTGTAGATAAAAGTTGTTGACATTTTATAGATAAGTTACAAATCTATATTAGTTTGTGACAAATGAAAGAAAAAATATTTGGAACTATTAATTATATTTGATTATAATTTGAAAATAGATATACACTGTATTACATCATATCTAATTTTAGAGAACTATTAATCATATCTAATGTTTTTTCACTCATATAATCAGTTTTCCACACTGTTTTTAGTCATGCTTGAAGATATTGACATGATATTTACTTTTTGTTTACACCATGACAAGTTATAGATCAAGTTAGCATTTTGTTTCAGTAAAATGAATTTTAACCGGTAGGGGACTATGTATTGTCATGCAATACTCTCAGAATGCTTGTTTTAACTGTCTTCGTATATTTTGTTTTACATATTTGTAAAAATTTATATGAATAGAAAATTATTTATTGAACATATATAGCAATGATCAATTGAAAGCAGGGGCCTCGGTGGCCGAGTGGTCTAAGTAGTTACTACTGTAATCACTAGCCAGTCAACACTGAGGTTGTGAGTTCGAACCCTGCTCGTACAGGTGCACTCGACTCCAATCTTAATTGACTAGGATTGTCTGTTTTCCTATCGAAGGTCGATGGTTTTCTCCACCAATAAAAACTGGCCGCCACGAAATAGCCCAAAAGCGGTGTTCAAAAGTGGCGTTAAAACACCAAAAATCTAAATCAAATCAATTGAAAGCATATTTACACATATTTAGAATTCTGTTATACATTTATGTTGGTGGGGCTTCTTGCACATCCAGCATGTAGACTTTGTAGGTGGAAATTTGATGCCAACACATTTCAGGTGGTACCACTCTAGACACCCGTCGTTAACTATAGATCCATATAAATGCACGTTTATACCACACACTAAACAGTTCCATTTGGAATATACAGATCTAGAGTTGTTTTTAATGAATTAATTAAACTGCTTGACCAGAGATCTTATCGGCGCAGACGTAGTTATCGAACAATCGGTTCATACTGCAGTGAAGCAGCTAATCGTCGTACCTAGGGGGGGGGGGCTGAATTTTAGAATGTCCGGCAAATGAAGTCTTTTTGTCAGACCCAATGACCGGCAAATATTTTTACTGTTTGTGGCTGTCAAAATTGAAATTTCTTTTGGTCCTGGTTACCTTGCATTTTGGCTTCCAAAGCAATTATGTAGTTGAAAAGCATTGGTGCAAGAATTAAATCAGTTGGAACAGTAAATGGCAAACTAAAAAGCATTAAAAACCAAAAGACAACTTATGACCAGATTTATGTAAATTAAATTAAACTAAAACAAGTATTATTTTAGTTTTCTTAGAGTTTTTTTTTTTTCATTTCAGTTAATGTGTGAACACACATATTTGTTTTGACATTATTGTAATTTGCCACTGTTTTTATACGACCGCAAAAAAATTTTTGTGGTCGTATATTGGTATGACGTTGGCGTCGTCGTCGTCGTCCGAAGACACATTGGTTTTCGCACTCTAACTTTAGTTTAAGTGAATGGATCTTTATGAAATTTTACCACAAGGTTCAATACCACAAAAGGAAGGTTGGGATTGATTTTGGGGGTTATGGTAATAACAGTAAAGGAATTAGGGGCCAAAAATAAGCATTTTTGTAACTTCCAGACATAACTTGTGTGTTAGTGTATGGATCTCTCTGACATTGTACCACAAGGTTCCATATCACTAAAGGAATGCTGGGATTGATTTTGGGGGTAATTGCCTCCAAATTTTAGGAATTAGGGGCCAAAAAAGGGGCAAAAAACAAGCATTTTTCTAGTTTCATGACAATAACTTGTGTGTAAGTGTATGGATCTTTCTGAAATTGTACTACAAGGTTCCATATCACAAAGGGAAAGCTGGGTTTGAGTTTGGGGGTAATTGCCCTAAACGTTTAGGAATTTGGGGCCAAAAAGGGGCAAAAAAACACATTTTTTTCTAGTCAAGACAATAACTTGTGTTCAAGTGTATGGATCTCTCTGAAATTGTACTGCAAGGTACCATACCACAAAGGGAAGGCTGGGATTGAGTTTGGGGGTGATGAATCATAATGGGGGTTCAAAAAATTTTGGGGGGGGGATTTATTTTTTTTTCCTTTTTTTTCTTTTTTTCCTTTTTTGTTTCTTTTAAAATTTTCCATTTTAAGTTGGTTATTTCTGATTTATATTTAAAATCAAATAATAATGATATGGTAGGAGATACACACCAAACAGGATGTGTAAATTATTATATAATAAGTATTGTGCAATAGCAAGAAATTTTCAATTACACAGTATTGCACAATAGCAAGAAATCTTCAGTTGCACAGTATTGCGCAATAGCAAGAAATCTTCAATTGCACAGTATTGCGCAATAGCAAGAAATATCCAATAGCACAATATTGCGCAATAGCAAGAAATTGTCAATTGTACAGTATTGCGCAATAGCAAGAAATATTTAATAGCACAGGATTGTGCAAAAGAAGATACTTCCTATAAATTGCTTATTTCTTGACCAATTTCAATGGGGTTTTATTCTTGATTTCATGGGGTTCTTTAATATGCTGAATCTAACCGTGTATTTAGTTTTTGGATTTTTGGCCCCGTTTTTAAATTGGTCCACATTGAGGTCCAAAGGGTCCAAAATTAAACTTTGTTTGATTTCATCAAAAATTGAATTATTGGGGTTCTTTGATATGCTGAATCTAACTGTGTATTTAGATTCTTAAATTTTGGTTCCGTTTTCAAATTGGTCTACATTAAGGTCCAAAGGGTCCAAAATTAAACTTAGTTTGATTTTAACAAAAATTGAATTCTTAGGGTTCTTTGATATGCTGAATCTAAACATGTTTTTAGATTTTTGATTATGGGCCCAGTTTTCAAGTTGGTCCAAATCGGGGTCCAAAATTAAACTTTGTTTGATTTCAACAAAAATTGAATATATGAGGTTCTTTGATATGCTGAATCTAACCATGTATTTAGATTTTTGATTTTTGGGCCCCGTTATCAACTTTGTCCACATTGAGGTCAAAAGGGTCCAAAATTAAACTTTGTTTGATTTCATCAAAAATTGAATTATTGGGGTTCTTTGATATGCCGAATCTAACCGTGTATTTAGATTCTTAATTTTTGGTTTCATTTTCAAATTGGTCTACATTAAGGTCCAAAGGGTCCAAAATTAAACTTAGTTTGATTTTAACAAAAATTGAATATATGGGGTTCTTTGATATGCTGAATCTAAACATGTATTTAGATTTTTGATTATGGGACCAGTTTTCAAGTTGGTCCAAGTTGGGGTCCAAAATTAAACTTTGTTTGATTTCAACAAAAATTGAATATATGGGGTTCTTTGATATGCTGAATCTAACCATGTATTTAGATTTTTGATTTTTGGGCCCCGTTATTAACTTTGTCCACATTGAGGTCAAAAGGGTCCAAAATTAAACTTTGTTTGATTTCATCAAAAATTGAATTCTTGGGGTTCTTTGATATGCTGAATCTAACAATGTATTTAGATTTTGGATATTGGACCATAATAGGTGAATGTCCAATTTAAAAAATTTTTAAGTTCTTAGACCACATTCAATCTGTGTTAGAAACCTATGCTGTGTCAAATATTTAATCACAATCCAAATCCAAAGCTGTATCAAGCTTGAATGTTGTGTCCATACTTCCCCCAACTGTTCAGGGTTCGACCTCTGCGGTCGTATCTAGCTGCGCCCTGCGGAGCATTTTATTGTTTTTGATCTCATTGTTCTTATGCCAATTAATAAGACAACTATCCATAAAGTTAATGAACAGTTGTCTTATTGCCAAGTGTAGTACAAAATTCTCATTTATTTATTTGATGTTGCAGGATAACTTAAATTGAATGTGCTCTCAGTCATTAAACCACCCCATGTTCATATCCTTATTTAACCTGGTCGTTCTAGTCAAGGTTTTAAGGCGTATCTTAATCCAACTGGGAACTATTTATTTTTTTTTTCAAAAAAAAGTAGGTCTGGCAAACAGTTGATATGACTGGCAAAACTGTCTTACATGCAGGACCCAATGTCTGACAGGAAAAAAAAATTATCTGCATCTCTGATACTGTGATGTAATAGCATAAGCATTGTGACATTTACGGCAAAGTACACAAATTCGAAAGTTGTCTATAATGAGGAGTTTTAATCGACCCGGTTTGGCATCTTGGTCAATACATCTGAAAGTTTAGCTATGTTATTTTTTTTATACGACCGCAAACAATTTGCGTTCGTATAATGCTATCACGTCGTCGTCCGAAGACATTTGGTTTCCAGACAATAACTTTAGTTTAAGTGTATGGATTTCTTTGAAATTTCAGCAAAAGGTTCAACACCACAAAAGGAAGGTGGGGATTGTTTTTGGGGGTGATGGTCCCAACTGATTAGGAATTAGGTGCCAAAAAGGGGCCCAAAACAAGCATTTTTCTAGTTTCAGGACAATAACTTGTGTATAAGTATTTTGATTGATCTGAAATTGTACCACAAGGTTCAATACCACAAGTAGAAGGTTTGGGATTCATTTTGGGGGTAATTGCCCAAACCGTTCAGGAATTAGGGGCCAAAACAAGCAATTTGCTAGTTTTCAGACAATAACTTGTATTTAAGCATGTTAAGTGTATGGATGTCTCTTAAATTGTACCACATTTTACAAAGAGAAAATTTCTTCAAATTTATTTTGGGAGGGGGAGGGGGGCAATTTTTTTTCCTCAATATTAAAGAAATTATCAATTTTCAAAAAAATAAAATTGGGGGTCGCAGTTTATTTTTCTAATTCTTTGTATATAGTCTGAAAACAGATTTACTAAGTATTGCACAACAGCTAGAAATCTTCAATTGAATATAAATTCAAATCATATAATCAATTTCAAGTTCTTTGACTACATTTATTGTGGCAGAAACCTATAATGTGTTAAATATTTAATTACAATCCAAATTCAGACCTGTATCAAGCTTGAATATTGTTTCCATTTTTGCCCCAACTGTTCAGGGTTGGACCTCTGCAGTCGTATCCAGCTGTGCTTGGCGAAGCAGTTTATTACATCATAATTTAAAGGGCTTAAATTTATTCTACAGATTGCTTGCAAATCAAACATTTTTTAGATCAGAGCCTATCCGAATATATTTTGCGGGTAACAATAACTGCATGTAACAGTAAAAATGGTATTATTGTTACCAGCAATTTCAGTATGAAGCCCGGTCCTTGTCTGGAAATACGTTTGACAATTAGTCTCGGCAGTAACAATAATTAATTCTTAGCCAGTGCCTTTTCTTAAATGCACAGCGAAGCATCCATTAAGTAGCTCTCAGGTTAGTTACTTGACAACTCCTGAAACTTTCACTCAGAAAGTATCTTTACATGTCACCCAGACATGTTACTATCATACCTCATGACCATATAATCCCCATTTATTTAATTGCCAGGTACTCATAAACACTGGTAAATGCCTTAAGTAGTTCTCACAGTGCCATTATTGTGAAAATGCATACAAACATTTGTAGTCCCAGCAGGATAGAAACACAAATCTCTGGATATAATGGCAGCGCTCTAAACAACTATGCCAAAGAAGATCTTCCCTTACTCAACCAGTTAGACTCCCTCTATCTAAGCTCCTATAATGGTTTACTTTTATAAATTTTGACTTGGATGGAGAGTTGTCTCATTGGCACTCATTACACATCTTCTTATATCTATATCCAATTATTTAACAAGTCATATATAGAGTTTTGTGACATCTGTTGTCACAATAGATATTCACCACTAATGATCCTTTTCACCACAATTTTATTTACAATTTTTGGATATTGTAAAATTACATTACAAAGGCAATAAAACTTTCTTTCTGCCCCCTTTTTGTGGATTTAGAGTGCCAATAGTTAAAGATGCAGAGCTCCAGATAAGCTGCGCATATGCATGATTACGCAATTAAAACAATTGAGAACCCAATTCAATTGATGATTGCAGCATTCAAAAACCTAATTCATTCAAAGGTAAACCCTATTATATGTCAAAACTATGCATTTTCAACCCTTCTAGTCACTATTGTGTGCATTATTTACCCTAATCAATAAATTGTTGTCGTGTAAATCTATTTTTGTAGTATTATGAAATCTACTTTCTTTCCAAAAAAAGTGTTACATCAAATAGCTGATCTGGGTCCCGACTCCTACATGTAGGTGGAATTGTCCCTAGCTGAAACTTGTATCCCTGGTAAACATAAGGGACCAGTTTATAAAATTTCTTTGGCAGACCATGAGTCGGAGAGGCAGAAAAAAAGCACGACTAGTATCGAAGTTGTATAGCCTGTTGAACTATATGACAACAGACCACCATGCGGAAGCAGAGAAGTACACAAGTCACCTAATCAATTTCTAAGTGGAGAAGGCAACAACTCCGTTTATATGTGATATTTTAGACGAAATCATCGACAGTGTTGTTTCTTCCCCTAATGAAAACACTACTAAATTTAATAAAAGACACACAGTGTCAGATATAAAGACATTCTTTGCCTGGAAAGGAAAGTATCCATGGCTAAATAAAATTGATAAAACAGAGGTCTCATACATATTTACATATATATTGCTCTGAATGTAAGTCTGCAGCAAGAGACTTTTTGTAGGCTTATATTTGATTGGATGCTAAAAGGTCACTGAACATGACACCTTATGGGATACATTCAGCTCTTCCACAGGTGACAAAACAAATCTAACAGAGCAAAGTGAAAGACCTGATTTTAAATATAGTGATTATGATAAAAAAAAACATATATACATAGACAGGATGTAATAAATCTATATACTGCTAATGCCAAGAATGTAGACAGGTAAAAGGCCTTGACTTAGTTTAACTGAACTCAGAAAAGAGAGGCGAAAGATATCAAAGGGATAATCAAACTCATAATTTGAAGCAGACTGACAATGCCATGGCTAAAAGTGAAAAAAACAAACCAAAAGTATACCAACAGTATACAAAACACAACATAAAAAAGGAAAGAGTGAGCAACAAAATCCCTACCAAAAACCAGGGGTAATCTCAAGTGCTCTGGAAGGGTTAGAAGATCTATCCTGCTCCACATGTGACACAAAAAGAATTGTGAACTTTCATAAATGATATTTATTTGTATTTCAACAGGTCAGATAATGGATTCCATGAAGGTCATGTCATGTCAGGCCACAGTAACTTTATTTCTTCTGTCTGTTATATGCCACCAGATGAAACTTACCCACAAGGCATCATTCTTACAGGAAGCAATGATTCAACCATACTAGCTTTTACATTGAATTCTCCTGCACCAATCTACAAACTTGAAGGACACACTGAAAATGGTATTTATAGCATTAACAATATTATAACCAATTTTAATTAACATGTACATGTAGGTTAGTCTGAAAGTAATTATTGAAGGGAAGGTTATTAAATTAGTAAAAATAATAATAGAATAAGCTATGGTATTCAATTCATGACATGGTTGCTTTGTCTGAATCTGCTTAATTGTCCCCTGTGCAATGCGTTGCGTGAGACATAGAAATACGGGGTGTCCGTCCGTTCAGTCTTGTTATCGCTCTCACGTGTACAATACTGGCCAGATTTTTATGAAACTTATATCATAGGTTTATATAAGCAATGTCTTGGATGAGTTTGAAAATCAATGCCGATCAATTATTTTTAAAAGAGTTATGCCCCTTGGAAACATTAATTATATGGAAAATTGCAATGTTAGCGCTCTCATGTGTTCAATTCTTGCCAGATTTTTATGAAACTTAAATCATAGGTTTATATCATCAATGTCTTGGACAAATTCGAAAATCTGTGCTGAGCAATAATTTTTAAAAGAGTTTTGCCCCTTGGAAATATTAATTATATGGAAAATTGCCTTATGAGCGCTCTAATGTGTACAATTTTTGCCAGATTTTTATGAAATTTATATTATAGTATTAAATCATCAATGTATTTGATGAGGTCAAAAAACAGTGCCGATCAATTATTATGCGACCGCAAAAAAATTTTGTGGTCATATATTGGTATGACGTTGTTGTCGTCCGGTGTCGTCGTCGTCGTCCGAAGACACATTGGTTTTCACACTCTAACTTTAGTTTAAGTGAATGGATCTCTATGAAATTTTACCATAAGGTTCAATACCACAAAAGGAAGGTTGGGATTGATTTTGGGGGTTATGGTACCAACAGTTAAGGAATTAGGGGGCCAAAAAGGGGCCAAAAATAAGCATTTTTGTAACTTCCAGACATAACTTGAGTGTTAGTGTATGGATCTCTCTGACATTGTACCACAAGGTTCCATATCACACAGGGAATGCTGGGATTGATTTTGGGGGTAATTGCCTCAAAATATTAGGAATTAGGGGCCAAAAAAGGGGCAAAAAACAACCATTTTTCTAGTTTCATGACAATAACTTGTGTGTAAGTGTATGGATCTTTCTGAAATTGTACCACAAGGTTCCATATCACAAAGGGAAAGCTGGAATTTAGTTTGGGGGTAATTGCCCAAAACGTTTAGGAATAAGGGGCCAAAAAGGGGCCAAAAATAAGCATTTTTCTAGTTTCCAGACAATAACTTGTGTTCAAGTGTTTGGATCTATCTGAAATTGTACTGCAAGGTACCATACCACAAAGGGAAGGCTGGGATTGATTTTGGGGGTAATTGCTTCAAAATTTTAGGAATAAGGGGCAAAAAACAAGCATTTTTCTAGTTTCAGGACAATAACTTGTGTGTAAGTGTATGGATCTTTATGAAATTGTACTACAAGGTTCCATATCACAAAGGGAAAGCTGGGTTTGAGTTTGGGGGTAATTGCCCTAAATGTTTAGGAATTTGGGGCCAAAAAGGGGCCAAAAAAGAAGCATTTTTCTAGTTTCCAGACAATAACTTGTGTTCAAGTGTATGGATCTCTCTGAAATTGTACTGCAGGTACCATACCACAAAGGGAAGGCTGGGATTGAGTTTGGGGGTGATGAATCATAAGGGGGTTAAAAAAATTGGGGGGGGGATTTTTTTTCTTTAAAATTTTCCATTTTAAATTGGTTATTTCTGATTTATATATAAAAGCAAATAATAATGATATGGTTTGAATAGGCAAATTAAATTTTTTTAAGTTCTTAGACCACATTCATTCTGTGTCAGAAACCTGTGCTTTGTCAAATATTTAATCACAATCCAAATTCAGTGCTGTATCAAGCTTGAATGTTGTGTCCATACTTGCCCCAACTGTTCAGAGTTCGACCTCTGCGGTCGTATCAAGTTGCGCCCAGCGGAGCATTTTATTTTTAAAAGAGTTATGCCCTTGGAAATATTGATTATATGGAAAATTACAATGTTTGCACTCTTATGTGTTCAATTCTTTCCAGAATTTTATGAAACTTATATCATAGATAGATATAAGAAGATGTGGTACAAAATGTATGAGTGCCAATGAGACAACTCTCCATCCAAGTCAAAATTTATAAAAGTAAACCATTATAGGTCACAGTACGGTCTTCAACACGGAGCCTTGGCTCACACCGAACAGTAAGCTATAAAGGGCCCCAAAAAATTACTAGTGTAAAACCATTCAAACGGGAAAACCAACAGTCTAATCTATATAAAAAACGAGAAACACTTATGAACCACATCAACAAACGACAACTACTGAACATCAGATTCCTAGGTTTATATCAGCAACGTCTTTGACAGTTTTGAAAATAAGTTCTGATCAAATATTTTTAACGAGTTATGCCCCTTGGAAATATGAATTATAATGGAAATCACATTGCATTTAATTTTTCTCTGAAGCCTTCATTTCTCTTGACATATTAATAAAAAGTTTTAAAGAAAAAAAAAAGGGCTTTTTTTAGTTATTGCCCTTGTACCTTGGATAGATAAAATATGAGTAATGCGGGGGACATTAGAACTCTGTTCTTTTATTATGTTACAATATGCTGTAATCATGCATTCAAATAGGCATGTACTGTTGAGAATTCTCTTGGTGAAGCAGAGTCCACTGTGTCTGAATGCACATTTTTTTTTTTTTTTTTACAAAAACAGAATAATTTTTTTTTGATATGATTTGTTTCAAATTTGCCATATAAAGATAACTCAGAAATTGAAACTTTTATAAAGCAGTGTGTTATGAATTTACCTATTTTGTTGTGTACATAAAAACTAAGTTCTGTGACACCAATTTCTCTTTTTATTTTCTGAAAGCACATTATAAGAGCTATCTTCTTAAAATTCTATTATTTAGTTTTCTTTTTATTTCAAAAAATTGGGTTGTTTGTGTATAATCTATACAAAATGTGATAATTTTGCACAACCTGTAGCTTGTTAAAAAGCCCTGTGACCCATACTTTCATTATATTTTTGAAAAAAGCATAGACTAATCTACCTTTTAGTAAATTAAAAAAAATCGTATCAATTTTAATTTTGACCCCCTATCTACATTTCTTAACCTTAAACAAAACAATCTCAAAGCTGGGAACATCACTTTTACTGCTGTTTCAAAGTCTTTTACTTACCTTTACAGTTTGTGCACTAACAGCTGGCAAGTTTGGTACATTACTGAGTGGATCCTGGGATAAAACAGCTAGAGTCTGGTTAAGGCAAAAATGTGTTATGAAATTAGAAGGTATGTTACAATAGAGAAGACAAGATGTTCTTAAGAGTGGTTAACATCTACATGTGTACTATAGTATGGGTTAGAGGCTCCCTTTAATCATTTTCAAAAATGTCGAAAGAGATTACTTCTGTAACTATTGAATTGTACAAATGTTTAATATAATGTGAAAACTTGTCTTGTTTTCCTCAATCAATCAAACAGCGTACTAGTTTTAAATGTCTTATTGTTATTGAAAAGAAGTGCCAATAATACTTTAATTCTAGAAAAAAGTTAAGGATTTCAAATTTTCAAAATCCATGTATGTCAATAAATGAGTTGTTTTATTTAGGACATCAAGCAGCAGTATGGGGTGTTGGCATCATGCCAGAACATGGATATATGTTAACAGGATCAGCAGACAGAACCATTAAACTTTGGAAGGCAGGAAGATGTGAGAAGACATTCACAGGTACTGGATGGATGTCTTATTATTATGCCCCCGTTGTCACCGGAGGGGGCATTAAGTGTTACCTTTGTCTGTCCATACCCATGTCCCAAAATTGGTTTCTGTTCTCTAACTTTAGTTTGCCTCAACCAAATGTTATGAAACTTATACACAATGCTTATTACCACAAAACACAGATCAAGTTGGAATTTGGGTGGTGTCACTTCTTCCATTTTCGAGTTATACCTCTTTATAATGTTATATGCAAGCAGGGGCATCATCAGTGTCCTATGGACAAATTCTCCATTTATTTTATTCTGATTTTAAGAAATTACAATAATTTTATCGCATCTTTTTTTTTGCAGTAGGTGAGAAAAAAGATATTTTGAATGTTCAACTAGTGAAAAAAACTTGTCGTAGTGAGCTAGAATTTCCAATGGACAAAAACCTGCTGATCAATTTCCAAAGCTGCCTACTGAGAAAATATTCTTGAGAGTGTTTTCATTTGACTTAAGTAAAAAGAGTCCTTTAGGTGTAAAATAAATTTTACTTTTAAGCTGACTAGTTTTGGTAGTTCTTTAGGTTTGCACTCCGTCTGTCTGTCTGTCCATCCGTCAGTCCGGCAAATCAGTTTTCCACACTTTTTATTTCTTCATGCTTGAAGATATTGATTTGATATTTGGTGTATCGTTTAATCATGACAAGTTACAGATCAAGTTCGAATTTTGTTCCAATCTGATGATTTTGTGCCGAGTTATGGTCCTTTGACTTAGAAAATTCACTAAAATAATCAGTTTTCCGCACTTTTTTTTGTCATTTTGAAGATATTGATTTGAAAATTGGTATATAGTTTTATCATGACAAGTTACAGATCAAGTTCGAATTTTGTTCCGGTCTGATGATTTTGTGCAGAGTTATGTTCCTTGGACTTAGAAAATTCACTTTAATAATCAGTTTTCATCACTTTTTTTCGTCATGCTTGAAGATATTGACTTAATATTTGTTATTTAGTTTACACCATAACAAGTTATAGATCAAGTTAGAATTTTGTTCCAATACAATGAATTTTTAACTGGTAGGGGACTATGTATTGCCATGCAATACTCACAGAATGCTTGTTCAAATCATCTTTCTCTCTGAAATCTGATATCTTGGCATTAAATACACCACACTTTTAACATTCATTGTTTTTATTGAACACAGAAGAAAAAATTGAATACTGTAAGTTCAGAAATTATTGCGTGCATTTATTGCGATTTTGTCATTTTAGACTAAAATGCGATTTTAATTTTTGCGATATTGAGAAAAATCCTGTTTAATTCATATAAAAAATTTCAAAATGCGAGTTTAAATTATTGCGATTAAAACCCTGTTGCATTTTTCGCAATAATAATAACATCGCAATAATTTCTGAATTTACAGTATCAAGAAACTTGAAACATAAATCAAAGAGAGAGACTATCATTCTCAATGGTAGAAATTTTTGTTTTGCTTTCACTTGTTGATCACAACAGTTCTTTCCTATGAACAGTATGGTAATATTCACTAGTTTTAGTAAAAAAAAATTAATTTGAAGTTTCATATGACTTTTATGTTTAATAATTGATTTCTGGATAGGCAGTACTTTTCTGAACTGTAAAGACAGCCTAATATTAAAGACAGACAATTAAATGCTTTATTAGAGCTATGCAGTCGATAGTAAACCAAGAAGAGAAGAAAATATGACTTATAAAAAGTTAAAAAAATCTTATGACTATGGGAGAATACCTTTACCACCAAAATAAGTTACTGTAAATTCTGAAATTATTGTGTGCATTTATTATTGCGAATTTGTCATTTTAGTTTAAAATGCGATTTAAATGTTTGCGATATTGACAAAAATCCTGTTTAATTCATATAAAACATTTCAAAATGCGAGTTTAAATTATTGCGATTATAACCCAGTCGCAATAATAAAAACATCGCAATAATTTCTGAATTTACAGTAACTGCACCAGTTAATAAGATTTACTTCAACAATTATAATTCAGACTAATAAAATTCAGTTATTTTTTGTGACATTAAAAAAAAACAATAGAAAAAACTTAAAACAAACTAAAGCATAATAACATTAAGACACTTGTTGTTTAGAAGTTTGTAATTTCGTATCATGATTTTGAACTTGCTTTTAATTAAGATTCTATAACCGTAACTTTAACAATTTGTGCTAATAACCTCTGTTTTCAGAACATACATATGTTCATGGTGTTATGAAATGTGGGAACCCAATACAACGGAAAACTTAAAGTTGAAAACACAGCATCCTGGTCATGTGAAATTAAATTGGTCTTTGAAAAAGACTGGATTAAAAAATATTTTCTGTTGTTTTGATAGGTCATGAAGATTGTGTTAGAGGAATTGCAGTTCTTGGATCGGGAGAATTTCTATCATGCTCCAATGATTCAACAATCAGACGATGGGCAATAACTGGTGATTGTTTACAGATTTACTACGGACATGAGAACTTTGTTTACAGTATATCTATACTACCCAATGGTCAGGACTTTGTTAGTAGTAGTGAGGATAGAACAGTGAGGGTATGGAGGGATGGTACCTGTGTACAGACAATTCCCCATCCTACAATGTCTGTGTGGACTGTCTGTGTTCTAGGAAATGGAGACATTGCTAGTGGTGCAAGGTATAAACAAATCAAAGATAGGGTCTTATAATAATGTTGTGGGTGCCAGACTATTCCACATCCTACAATATCTGTGTGGACTGTCTGTGTTCTTGGAAATGGAGACATTGCTAGTGGTGCAAGGTATAAACAAATCAAATATAGGGTCTTATAATAATGTTGTGGGTGCCAGACTATTCCACATCCTACAATGTCTGTGTGGACTGTCTGTGTTCTAGGAAATGGAGACATTGCTAGTGGTGCAAGGTATAAACAAATCAAATATAGGGTCTTATAATAATGTTGTGGGTGCCAGACTATTCCACATCCTACAATGTCTGTGTGGACTGTCTGTGTTCTTGGAAATGGAGACATTGCTAGTGGTGCAAGGTATAAACAAATCAAATCAAATAGAGTCTTGTAAAAATACTGTGGATTCATTTATTTTTGTGGGTGCCAATTTTTGGTGGATTGAGAAAAACTTGTAATTTCAAGGAAATTTGAATTTGTGGTTTGTGACAAAGTCTGCATACAAGCCTATAGATAATTGGTACTTCGTTGAACATTCAAATTCATGGTTTACTTATACCTGCAAAATCCATGAAAATTAGTATCCCCCACATTATAATGAATCCACAGTAGTTCCAATGTCAGTCAATATTACTGTGTTGGTGAAGGAATAGGTCAGAAAGTTGGCTTATTTGGCTAAAAAGTCTAGTTCATACTCATTAATCTGTATTCTGTTGGAACAGTTTTGGATGTCTAAATTGACAAAAGTTATATGTTTCAACCAAAATTTGATTGAGATTGTTCTATGTTTTTGATGCACACGACTGTGTTATGTATTTTTGTTTCCCAAACTTTAAGTTTAAAGCACACTATTATTACGTCACTAATTAAAAATCTGCACAGTCCAGCTACCACAGGAAGACCTTGTTAACAAGAAATAAAAGACAGAACTTAAATAAGTATTTTAACTTTTAAGTATTAAATTGAATGACAATGGAATAAATACAGCATGTTGTACACAGTGAAAAGACTATCAATGGTGTCATGTGCTTTATTACATGATTTCTGTTTAGTTTTTGGTTGAATCCCTATTTATAAAACATCTTTTTATATCCACAGTGATGGTGTTATAAGAGTGTTTACAACAGAAGGGAGTAGAGTGGCTAATACAGAGGAGTTAACAGCATTTGATACTGCAGTATCTACTGCAGAGGTGCCTACGCAAGTAGGAGATATAAAAATGTCAGATTTACCTGGCCCTGAGGCATTGTTAAACCCTGGTAGGTTCTTATGAAAGTGTTATATAGTAGAAACAAGACTATAAGATGTCAGATTTACCAGGCCCTGAGGCATTGTTAAACCCTGGTAGGTTCTTATGAAGGTGTTATATAGTAGAAACAAGACTATAAGATGTCAGATTTACCAGGCCCTGAGGCATTGTTAAACCCTGGTAGGTTCTTATGAAAGTGTTATATAGTAGAAACAAGACTAAAAGATGTCAGATTTACCAGGCCCTGAGGCATTGTTTAACCCTGGTAGGTTCTTATGAAAGTGTTATATAGTAGAAACAAGACTATAAGATGTCAGATTTACCTGGCCCTGAGGCATTGTTTAACCCTGGTAGGTTCTTATGAAGGTGTTATATAGTAGAAACAAAACTATAAGATGTCAGATTTACCAGGCCCTGAGGCATTGTTAAACCCTGGTAGGTTCTTATGAAAGTGTTATATAGTAGAAACAAGACTATAAGATGTCAGATTTACCAGGCCCTGAGGCATTGTTTAACCCTGGTAGGTTCTTATGAAAGTGTTATATAGTAGAAACAAGACTAAAAGATGTCAGATTTACCTGGCCCTGAGGCATTGATAAACCCTGGTAGGTTCTTATGAAAGGGTTATATAGTAGAAACAAGACTATAAGATGTCAGATTTACCAGGCCCTGAGGCGTTGTTTAACCCTGGTAGGTTCTTATGAACAAGGTTTTGCAACGCTCGTCATTTTCATCATTTACAAAAGGGTTTTCAAAATGACGAAAGTATTTCAAATCAATTTCGTCACTTAAATTTGGAAAGTGTAAAAATATTTTCGCATGAAAATACTATAATTCTACCTGTCTTCATGTTTCTGACAAGTTTATGACCCCTCAGCTAATTAAATTTACAACAGGTGTTAAAAGTTGTGATGACAGGTGATCTGCTTATCACCATCAGATGGGTCACTAATCCGTTAATTAATAATAAACCTCATAATTATTTTTCCCAGTCTGGCATTTCAATTTCAATATTTCTCAAACGAACACAATTTACAGTTTGTTCGTCTTAGTTTCATTATATGAACGTATTTTCGTCATATTTGATATAACTTTTTATTAAAACCTTTCGTCAGTTTCGATTTAAAGATGGAAGTTTATTCAACACGTTCAGAATTATTTTCACGAGTCAAACAGGTGCTTCTGTTACTATGTAATGCGCATGCGTGAAAGTATTTATATAAATGTATAGACACTAAAACGTTAAAGACGAAATCATTTAGTATTAAATTAAACGAAAGAGACAAATATAATTCTTGCTGAGCAAATCAATTTTAAAAATGATAATTTCCTGCCTTATGTTAAACACAAACATTCTCGTAGATGAATCCGGATTCATTCTGAATTTATTATCCACTTGTCACTTCCCGTTTTCGCTTCGTTTAAAAATCGAAAGTAAACGTGACCTATTCTCGATAAATTTACCATTTACAGTCATTAGAATCGTTCCAATAAGGATTGATACAAATCCTTGTTTCTAGCTATAAAGAAATGAATTCCAAATATCGATTTAAACGTTTTTACAAGGATAATGATTATGCAGTGAAATAGTCGTTACAAGTTCATTTTTGCTGTGATACCTTGTTTTAAAAAAGAGGAACCCAACTTTTGTTGGAACAGGAATGTCCCCTGAAAATAATTGAAGTGAAATTGTGAACTAGATTTCCTGATACTTGTTCTTATCTTCATATTTAAGCATCACATCAGTCAAATTGTGCAATAACTGCCTACATTTATAGCATGCCTAAGGCCTCCAAAGACCCTACCTAGTCCTTGAAGGACTAAGGCATATGTTTAGCTAGTAATATACGCCCTTGCTGTAACACAAAATAAGGTGAATTTTCATCTCGCACAAAAGTGATAAAGCCCTCAAAATCCTAGCTGAAACCCTGCTTATGAAATTGTTATATAGTAGAAACAAGACTAAAAGATATAAGATTTACCTGGCCCTGAGGCATTGTTAAACCTTGGAAGTTCTTTTACAGGGATTATTGAGCAGAAATAATAGTCAGATTTACCTGGCTGGGAGATATAGGTCCTTCTTAAGCTTTTAGAATAGAAAAAAAAGATGTCAAATTACCCAGCCCTAATGCATTGTTAAACCGTGGTAGATATTTTTAGCAGAACTGAAAGTGTCAGTTTTACCTGACCTGAAGATCTACTGTAGGTTATTCTAAAGTTTTATTGCATTGGTAAAAGACTAAAAGATTTATCAGTCCCTGAGGCACTGTTGATCCCTGATAGGGTCTTATAAAAGGGTTATAGAGTTTTGCTTACCAGTAGTTGACATATTAAGTTTGTTATTAGGTCAGTTTAAGATTACTAATGGTAATCATAAGTCAATGATTTTTTGTATGCTGTTATATATACAATATTATATATGATATAAATTTTATTTAGAAACAGAGAAAAAAAAACAAGGTTTTCTAAGCCTTTCTCTTGTTTTGTAGCAAGTACAAGTGAATTTTATATTTTCCTACACTGTGCTAATATTGTTTTTATCCTGCAATTTAAAATTGAGCTTAAAGGTATAGTTTTTCCCATCCCAATTGTTGGCCCTGTACCTTCAGACATGGTTCATTGACTTTGAATGTGTTGCATAGTTTACATGTTAAGGTATTGATATTATGATATTGTATTTTATTGAAGACATATTTCTGTGTCAGCAGTTTGTTTAAAATTGTATGTACGAAAAAAATATGGAAAATTATTTTTAGAAACAAAAATTAGGAGCCATTGAAATTGATATTTCTTCAGTATTTTGATTCATTCAGTGTGATAAAATTATACACAACATGTTTTCTGTTGGCAGGAAAGAAAGATGGTCAGACAAAAATGGTCAAAACAGATGGTGGCAAAGTGGAGTTGTATCATTGGGAAGCAGCTGCAACACAATGGAAGAAGATTGGTGATGTTGTAGGCTCCAGTGGAGGAAGCCAGGCAACATCTGGTAAAGCTCTTCATGATGGAAAGGTACATGGGCATTTTTTGTTGTTTGTTTAATTATTACAAAATAAAATGAATAAATTTTTATATTCTTGTCAAAAAAATAATCATAATTGAATGGATATGCTGTAAACCAACTTATTTTTTCTCAACAGATTTTTCTGTGTTTAGTCTTTTATATTTTCACTATTTTTCTAACTTGGTTGATTCATATAAGAATTCTTTTTATTATTATTAAATGATATATTTTCCAATCAAAAGGGGGAGGTTGTACGCTATGAGTTTTTTGCATTTTTATGAAGTATACATAGATTCAAATCACCCTGACAAATTATTTTGCTAGATACTTCAAAATAACAGAATTATGGTAAAAAAATTTTTGTTTCGATTTTTTCACATGTATTTTCATCTATCATAGTATTCTTTTTTTTGGGGGGGGGGGGGGGGGGGGGTTAAGTCTTTTTTGATTAATCAAAATGTAATTGTAGCTTTAATAAATAAATAAATGAAGAATTTTAATAAGCAACAACGTACCAGAATCTGCAATCAAAATAGTAATGACTTAAAAAAATTTCTTTCTTTCGTAAGGAAAACTACATGAATGCTAAGAAAGTGAATAACAAGATATAATAAAATCATCAAGGAGTTGTGTATTACTTAATATTCTTTCTAATGTTCATTTATTATCTTATTGGTGAATACATTTTGTACATGTATCCTGACAAAGTGATTAAATCAAAGATCTGTTAATGTTTATCAATAAAACATGGTTAAAATAGAACAAAATTTTTTTTATTTATATTAACAGGAATATGACTATGTATTTAGTGTAGACATTGAGGAAGGAAAACCTCCTCTAAAGTTACCATATGACATCAAAGAGGATCCATGGTTTGCTGCTCAAAGGTTTCTACAAAACAATGGTCTAAGTCCACTATTCCTGGACCAAGTAGCTAACTTTATCATTGATAACACCAAAGGAGTCACTCTGGGCCAGGGAGCACCCCAAGTCAGTGACCCTTTCACAGGTTAGCAATTTTGATTTACATAAAAGTTTTTATTTTTACAATGGAACATATTGTTTTGGTTATACAAGTAAAAAAAAGTAATCAGAAAATGTGACCAAAACAATACACCAGCAGGATTTCAATTCTGATTTTAAAAGATATTCTGTAATGTAATTTTGCTTCATATGGACATTTCTCAACAAGAATGTACATTTTTAAGTTCAGATATTACAAGAAAAATTAATCAGAACAATGAAATTATTAAAAGAATGTTTTTTTAACAGGTGGAGGCAGGTATGTTCCACAATCAGTAGGAGGAACAGGTACAACAGGTGGGGCAGATCCTTTGACAGGGTCAGGACGATATGTTCCTGGCCAAACCGATACAAAGGGTCCTGCTAGCAATGGAGTAGATCCTTTCACAGGTAAGGAGTAATGAAATTTGAAGGAAAACACTAGCAGAATGCATTTGAAAATTGGAGATTTTTTCCATTGACTGAAATGTGCTTTTAGTATTGCAAAATATTTCACTATGTATTTAGTTTTAATTGTTGGTATATGGCTGAAAGTTTAGAAATAAGTCTGCAAAGAAACTACAAAAATTCAGTTATGATTACTTCACAGGACTGATGGTATTAATAAAATGGTGTTACTAATGTAACATGGAGAATGTGTAGCTATTTTTTAATGCTACAACATATTGTGACATTTGGACAGGAGGTAATTTCAATAGGAAAATAAATATATCTTAAAAACTATAATAGATAGACACTTTAATTAGCAAAAATTATCAGCAATACAAGATAAACAGAAAGGAGATTTTTGTCATCAATTCTATTCTAATCCACGATGTTGGAGAGTCTAGCGTTACTATCTTGAATCTTTTCTTCAGATAGTTAAAGATTGAAAAACTATGAACAGATCTCACATATTCATACTTCTGCTCTGCAATTTGGAAGTCAACACCTCAGGCAGGGAAATTCATTTCAGTTGAAAATAAGATGAACAATGAAAGTTATAATGAAACCCTACCAGAGGTTCATGATTTATATTGTTTTTCATGTTGTATAATTTGTATTTATGTTGTATTAATCGTTTCTATGTAAATAGGTGCCAGCAGTTACCAAACCAAAGGGACTGGTACTACAGCATCAAAAGACAATTCTTACTTTCCTCTAAAGACCTTTGTAACATTTGAAACTGCCAACCCACAACAAATAATAGGTATGTGTTTATACCGATCACTCAACAAATAATAGGTATGTGTTTATACCGATCACTCAACAAATAATAGGTATGTGTTTATACCGATCACTCAACAAATAATAGGTATGTGTTTATACCGATCACTCAACAAATAATAGGTATGTGTTTATACCGATCACTCAACAAATAATAGGTATGTGTTTATACCGATCACTCAAATTATTAGGGGTTTTTTATCTTGAAAAAAAATAAATCGCAGAATTTAAGTTTTCTTTAAAATATTGGAAGCAGAGGAATACTTAGGGAATCAGAAATGAGAATTTGTCTTTTCATCTTACTCTTAGATAACCTGTTAAAGTTCAGTGTAAAAACAAAAATTATTCAACACCTTGGCGATCTTGCGGTATTGTATTTGACTCGTGTGCGGGAGGTCATTCATTTGATCCTAGGCCAGGTCAAACCAAAGACTTTTTATATTTGTATTTCTGCTTTTCTGCTATGCATAAAGCATTTAGGAGTAGAAACAAAGACTAGTCAACTCAACGTCAGAATAATGTGTCCAGGGTAGGGTGACATGTCCTGTGGACTGTCATCTTGTGAACTAGTATGTTAAAAATCTGCCTCAGCATGTCTTTCTAGTACAAAGTATGGTTCATATTCATATTGTATTAACCTGTAATTGTCTTGAATTTGCATTTAATTTAACGCTGGATGTAAAATAGCCATTCATCAATAAAATTACTCATGAACAATTTTTTATCTGTGCATATTTTATCAATCAATGTGATAAGTGAATAGAATAAATATAAACATGGTCCACTTAATGAGTTAAAGACAGAAAAAATAACACCATTTCTACATCTTCTGTCTTTTAGGTAAACTGAAAGAATTCAACATAAAGGTTGACCAGTCTATGCAAGTTGAAGAAAGTCATTTAGAAAAACTACCAGCCTTGATTGATGGAACAAGTACAGACACATTAAATACATTGGAGAAAATGTTATCATGGCCAAATGGTATAATATGTTTTTCTTAATCCGACCAATTTATGAGTAGTTTTAAGGGTTTATGGTTAATGTGTATAACATGTATAATATAAACTTCTTTCAGTTTGGCAATATATGTGAACACTTTGTTTTTGGTTAACAGTGCTCTGAGATCATGCACAATAAAGGATATACTGACAAGTGTACCTGACTACTTTCTTCGTCAATTAATTATTGTGATTGTATTAATGTTGAAGAATTATATATGTATTTTATATACAAGTATACCAAGATTTACAAAAATTTACAAATTTACAAATATCTTTTATTCCAAATTATAGGGCTCATAGAGGGCATTTCAATTAATATGAATCACATGGACAAAAAAATTAATAAGAACAAAATGTATCATATACTGATTAGTTATGATTATAAGTTACTTAAACAAAACCAAAAAAACCCACATGTAATCGGCTCAAAAAGGGGGTTACTTATTTAAAGTAAAAATTAATCCTAAATTGACCTGATATACTTGTGGGACGTGCATTTGAATTAAGTTGGTTTATAGTATATCATAAATTTGAAGCATTCATATCATATAATTATTTATTACCAAAATGTTTACTTTATTTTAGAAATGGTGTTTCCAGCTTTAGATGTTCTGAGAATGTGTGTGCTGACGTCTCTCAATAAGGTTGTATGTGAGAAAGATGGACTTGTGGATAAACTTGTAAAGTTCATTTCTTCCAATGTAGGACCCACTCAAATGCTTGCATTGAGGACATTGTGTAACATGTTTAAAGGTCAAACTGGTGAAAAGATGTGTGTTAAACATAGAGATTTTATTTTGACCTCTGCACTCAACTGCAAAGCATCAACAAATAAAAATATCGTAATAGCTTTGGCAACACTTCTGATGAACTACTCTGTACATTTACAAGACAAGTTAGATCCTGAAGCTAAATCACAGTGTTTAATTGCTGCCGGAAATGTGTTAGAAAATACAAACATTGATTCTGAAGCTGGATTTAGACTGTTAGTGTGTATAGGGACTTTAATAGACAGTGATCCAAACATGAAAGAATTAGCTCGATCAATTAATGCCAAGACGGTCATATTTCCATTAAAGAAGAGAGCTGAACCACAAAAACTTATTGACTGTGCCACATTTGTGTTTAATGTACTTTGACATCGTTTAATTGTAGGAAAAATCACTAGAGCTCCATCCAAACAAATTTATTTTTGTCATTTAAATTCATTAAATTAATTTATCCATTAGATGTTTTAGATGTTTTCTTTTATAATGTAAATATTATAAGAAATACCTTTGTGACTGTTTCATTTGCAAATGAACTGAAGTTAAATGTTTTTTTCCTCGTTTGGTCAGGGACATTTCTGAGGAAATTTTCTTTGTTTTTGCATGTTTGTACATGTGTGTATATCTTTGTTGATAGGATTGATTTGGTTGTAACATTATTATTTTCATGTCTTGTCACTTTTTTTGTCCGAGACCAATTTTCGGTATCACCTCTTTGGATTCATTGTACATGTAGTATGTTGCCTCAAGTGTGGGAGGTTATAGGTTCAAATCCAAGCAGAATCAAACCATAGATTTCGAAGTTATGTTTGCTGTTTCTCCATTAATGAGTTTATAGGGGAAAGAAATGACATTTTATAGCATTTTAAAAATCTGACTAGGCATCTAGAAGTAGTACAAAGTAGCATACTGTGGATTCTTTTCTTTTTGTGGGAATCAACTTTCGTGGATGGAGAAAGAATTGATTTTCCTGGATATACATTTTGTGGTTTTGCCAAAGTCTGTATACAAGGTCATACAAGCTTATATTGAATTTGTACTTTGTTAAATATTTGAATTCGTAGTGCATTGTTATAAACCACGAAATCTTCGAAAATTGGTATCCCACAAGTGATAACGAATCCACAGTATATTAATACATTTATGACTAACATATCTGCATATTATTTAGATATGCATTTAATATATTTGCTATTGGACATAAAACATCCACTAATCAATTAAACAGTTCTGAGGGAAAGAATTATTCATAGGTAAATAACTTCATCACATACAAGTGTATTGACATATAAACATGGATTATTAAAACAACATTTATTTTAATGTCTGAATTTGTGAACTTTTCTGTATGTATTTGATTTGATAGATGTATTGTCAATATATACACCACTTCCATGGCTCTGGGTACTTATTTGGTCATCAGACTGTTGTGTGTGGTTCCTATTGATACTAGTTGATGATTGGTCATTATCATGTTCATGACATTCTTGAATGAGGTTGCCATGGTTATGTGTTTGTGTATTACTTGAAAGCTGTTTTAATAGATTAAGTGTTGAATTTTCATGACCACTAGACTTGTTATGTCTACGAATATTTCCTATATTATCATATACTTCATCATCACTGTGGCGATAAGGGCTTATTTCAGAATGAGATTTTGTATCACCAATACTAGGAAGGTCAAGAGGTCTTGGAGGCAATGAAGGTCTCAAGCTTGAGGTTACAGATGACCAGCCACTCATCTCTATTCTGTGCACTTTATTATGATCCAGCTTGGCTTTAGATCTTGATAAATGAACCATAATTGTTGTTAGTTTCTGCACATCTTTTGTTTTTTTCACACAGCTGAAAGAAAGAAAAAAGGAACATATTTTTATCCATGATGACATTCACAGATAGACTAAAATATTAGAATTGAATATTTTTATAATGGATCAAATTCCCTAAAGCATGTTAAGTACAAGCATTTATATGAGTTTTAAAATTGTACAACATAACTTTTCCAAAAATAGAAGGGCTTAAACCATGTAGAAATGCATCACAGATATCCACAGCTTGTTTGGAAGATTCAAGATTTATTCAATAACAAGACAATTACAGCACCATTTTTAAAGAAATCAATTATCTAAGAATTTGAAAACAAAAGAATTCATTTTACATAGCCTTTTTTACTTGTAATGTTTGGAGCTTTATGATAAAAAATACAAAATATTTTTAATATCCTATTGACATGAAGTTGACAAAGGGGATATAGAAAAGACGTTACTACTTTGTATAACAAATTAACCCATTGTCAAAATGATATCAACTAAGGAACTTACCAAATTAACAAGATGATAACAGTAACAGTAAAAACTCCAGCTATAGTACTGGAAATGTATAGTCCTGTCTGTAAGTCTGTTAAAAAGGTAAGATATTATACAAAACACTGCACTATAAAGCAATATTGAAGTTATTATACAAAACACTCTGCACTATAAGGCAATATTGAAGTTATATCCTTTATTAATAAGTGATGAATTTCAGAGCCTGTCATAAAATATTAATGATACAAAATATGTTAATTGTAAATTCAAAATTGCATATCTGTATTTATTATAGAAAATCTTGGGCAGTGAACAATAATGCAATATTATGTTTTTTTTTACACCAGCAGTAATAAAATTTCACATTTATTTTCTCTTTTTCTGTAGATTAAAATGATAAACTTCCAGAGGTAATTTAAAGTACAAATATAATATTCCACTCCAAAAAAAAGGTTCTTAGTAACGTTTTTACTTATTTTCTGTAAAAAAAGTATGAAAAAACAATTTTGCCGGTTTTAAAAACACTAAAATTTCCAAATCCATGGTACGACATTGATGTATACAATAAGAAATCTTGCCTTTCCTTGTCATAGACGATGTATAGAGGTTTGTACATGAACGATTCTTTGATAAATCAGGAGGTAGAGATGGCATCATGCTACTGGTTCTTCCATCAGATACAATAATATTTGTATGAGTGGTTGACCCTATTGGTGCCCTAGATGACGACTGAACCTTGTTTCTGTAAGACGTCGTTAAGATAACATTAGTAGTATGTTTCTGTGAGAAGTTGTTTACATTGGTTGTCATTGGCTGTTGGGTCAATGTCTCTGTTGATTTGGTCATCTTTGTACTTGTTCTGGATGTAGTTGCAGGTCGATATGTTGAATTGAAATAGTACATCTTTCCCGTTTGTTGACGTTTCGTTGTTGTAGACAATTGATGTGTGTCTAAATTAAATTCATATGATTAACAATACAGTGTTGCTGACAACTTACTTACATTGTGTCACACCACTTTAATTTGTCATAAAATATTTTGGACAGAACTTGGTACTACAGTCAGTTTTTATTTCAGTACTCCAAACCATTGTAAAGGAGTTGGAAGTCTAACTGGATGAATAATTAATATTGCAAAAAGACTGTTTCTTTTTAAAGTACCTGCACTAAATCCTACATTTAGAAACCACAAAATCGATCTGCAAGCTCTTTTTAACATGCTAACCAAAGTTATATTTGAATTGTCATAAACAATATCTGCTCAAAATTACAATGGCCAATAACAGAAAACAAACATTAAATTGGTTTGCCCTTGTTGACATTTTAACGTGAACAGAAAATAATTGTCTTTTAACCCTTATAAGAAAAAACAAAACCATTCAAAATATCTGCTCCTTCATACATAACTGGTATTATAATTTATTTCATGTTTTTCATACACGCTTTATTGTAACATCCAAAACAGACGCTTGTTTGAATACACAGCCCTTTATTTATTGAAAATCCTGTCCCCTCTAATGACAAAAATTTAAAAACACAACAAATGACTTGATGGCCAGATGGTTTAGTAAAAAATAAAACTCTGTAGTTTCTCTAATGGTTGTCATACTTAAGCTCAATTAACGTATTTATACCACTAGTATCTTGAAAACGTCTGTCTTATTTAGTTCAAATTTCTTATGTTCGACTTCCTATGATATTAAGTTAAATAATAAATACTTACTGAAAGTTGTTGTGGGCATTTGGCAGTCCTCTCTTGTTCTATTATCAGGAAAACAAACTGTTCTACACCGCATGTTAGAGTTTACATGAAGTTGATCTTTCCTGCATTTCAGTTCCTTAACAGTGAGCCGAACACGGAATTGAAGCCTGTTGTCCGTATAACTATCACTTCCAGATTTATACTGGAAGCATATGGCACCAGAGTTTATTGATCTGGTTGTAGTTTGAACCGTTTCCGAAAAAGATATTGTAGCGTTCCCATGGTTACAATCCCCTTCTACTATTGTAAGCATATCATACTTAACCATATGTTTTTGGCCTTGAAAACCAACGTATTCAATGATATTACCAAAAGGCATTTGGTCAATTTTGACTTCCATTAGTAATTTTGTAGCATTTTCAAACTTGATTTGCCATTTACAGTCTGGATATCTAGTATTTGATGATTCTCTGATGGGTATATCTTCTTGTAATTTTAATGATCTCTTGGAATATTTTTCGCACCAACCTACGGAATACAAAAAAAATAATAAACAGGTAATTAAGTTTTATTCTGTACAATCGAACCCCAGTAAGATGTTTGGAGTTCACACGTCCGACAAAAAAAAACCTAAAGAGGCCGGTCGTCCAGTCAGAATGGGGACATTAAATCTGATGTCTTGTGTACCGAGAGTTCCACGCTCTCTACACGTAAAAAACCGTCTTGCAAGAACAATCTGAGGGTTCCGTGGATGCCTTATACTCAAAATACACTCATTTCTCAGTGGCTGTCCCAATTTCCTGCCAATTAGCCCGATCGACCCACCTTGTAAACCCTATATATGGTTTATTTACTTTTTGTCTTGAATACGCATTTAATATTTGCAACTGGACGTTAAACAAGCAACACTAGATATATCTGTACAATCGATTGTGTTTGTTTATAAAAATAAGATGTGGTATGATTGCCAATAAGACAACTCTCCACAAGAGACCAAATGACACAGAAATTAACAGCTATAGGTCAAGGTACGGCCTTCAACAATGAGTAAAACCCATACCGCATAGTCAGCTATAAAAGGCCCCGAAATGACAAATGTAAAACAATTCAAACGAGAAAACTAACGGCCTGATTTATGTACAATGTTTGTTTGTTTGTTGTATGTTAATGTTACTAGTATATGGTAATTTTTGATAAGCCAGGAAATTCAATTTGGGTCGATTTTGGCAAAGGAGGAGTTATTTGAAATCGCAAATGAAGTGAAATTCCACATTTTTTTCTCTCAAAATTATGTAAGTTCTGATAAAAAAATGTGAATTCAACACAAGGGGCCAAAAAGTGGCCAGCCAAAAATTGTAAGAAGGACGTTCTTTACCAAAACCAAACTCCTATCGGAAGTAAATCTATGTAATGCCTTTCAGGTACAAATTAATTCATTTTTGGTTAGACTATGTCATTCAATGAACATTTTTCGAGAATTGCGTGACATTGTCGAAATTGTCTTTCCCATCAATATGTTGCGTTGACTAGCATTTTGATTTAATATTTAAATGTTAAATTTGTGTTAAACGTGACTCTTTGATGCTCAAATTCCAGTAAATTTTAAAACCTTTCTGATTTTTATTCTGCAATTAAACACATACAGTGGAAACGAGTCCTGCCTCTTTAATTGAGACTATCAAAGTTATGCCATTAAGTACTTACCATCTTTCAGTGAAGCCTCGACAAACTGCAAAATAGTCGCAGATATAACAATGTCAACAAAGTTCATCTTTTGTCATTTTCTTCACAGTTGTATACTATTTGTTTGTTTGTATACTATCTTACACCTGTTAAATATCTTATCAAATGTGTTATTCCTTAAAGGTATTTTAGATATATGCAAAAGGAACATTATCAGCTAACGGATCGATACTTTGTTGTAGTGAAAATTATAAAATAATTGATAGTCACCCCTATTTTCCTAAATATTTGCATAATTTTCTCGCGGTTTGACAAATTCCAAATCTCTATACCATAAATACTTGATTTTGATCTATATACTGAATATAAAGAAACAGATTGAGTTTAAATATAAAATTTATAAGTTATTTTTGATATCTTTTATTGATTTGTAGTTTCGGTCCAGAAATAAGCAACTAAGGGAAAGCGGTCAGAATTGCATTACAAAAATTAATATCACAATCAACAAGTCTTATCCTACAAAATTATTAAGGCAAAATTATATCTTTTACAAATTTATGTTAATATATGTATTTTAGGCTGTCGATCTAATTTCTGTTTATAACATATACCATTCGTCTAAAATACAAATTGTGAAATCTTTATGACGCCGCTGTTGTATGTGTGGAGTACACGTCTCATACAATGAAACGATATTCCAGAGTTTACACGCGCGTTTCCTGTCACAATTTCCTTGATAGATGTCTGTTGCTTAAATGGAAGCTACTAAACTAGACGTCCCTTACACCGGCACTATAGCAGATATATAATAGGAACTATGTTCCCTATTGACATTCAAAACAATTGTTTTTGCTTTCATGTACACCAGATTTTTGTCTGTCGTTCCTATTGCCATGTAATACAATGGACTGTATAGATCTAATTTTATACACCAGATTTTTGTCTGTCGTTCCGATTGCCATGGTAATACAATGGACTGTATAGATCTAATTGTATACACCAGATTTTTGTCTGTCGTTCCGATTGCCATGGTAATACAATGAACTGTATAGATCTAATTGTATACACCAGATTTTTGTCTGTCGTTCCTATTGCCATGGTAATACAATGGACTGTATAGATCTAATTGTATACACCAGATTTTTGTCTGTCGTTCCGATTGCCATGGTAATACAATGGACTGTATAGATCTAATTGTATACACCAGATTTTGATCTGTGTTACCTATTACATATGTAGTTCAGAAATGTTGCAATAGGTTCTGTCCCTGTGTCATGACAAACTGTTTGAATATCATATTTTGGGGGGAGAAAATGCATGTATCGATGGTTTCTCTGTCGGGTAATGTCTTTGAAATAAGAAAGAGACATTTACTAACGTGCATTTGCATGTTGCCGATCAGAGTTGATGACTCATCAAATCATTGGAACCAGAGGCGGGTGTCATTAGTGGAGCAGGAACTACATACCTTACCCAAACACCTCAATTAAACCCCGGAACCAGAGGCGGTGTCATTAGTGGAGCAGGAACTACAGACCTTACCCAAACACCTGAATTAAAAACCGGAACCAGAGTCGGGTGTCTTTAGTTTAGCAGGAACTTCAGACCTTGCCCAAACACCTGAATTAAACCCCGGAACCAGAGTCGGGTGTTATTAGTTGAGCAGAAACTACAGACCTCACCCAAACACCTGAATTAAACCCCGGGTTAAGTTGGGCTCGTATTACTAAATCTTCTTTACTTTTCTGTGTGTGGAACCACAAGTGTTTGTATATTTGGTTTGAGGTCAATTACTCTGCAACGTCAAATGAGGGGGACCGGGCAACTGACCCAAACACTTTTCAGTCAAAACTTTGTAAAACAGAACTTTTATCTTTCGTTTATCATTCCAAAGAATTAAAAGTGGTACATTTTATCAATATTTTTCTATTAAGAGTTTGATAGATAAAGAAATAAATACAAAATTTTGTAGAGATAATGAAGATACGATCACGTTACACCTGTCTCTTTTGTTATGATAGTTAAAGATACTTGTTACATGGAACGGATATGGCGTCTAAATTGCTGATTCTTGTTTGCTGTTTGCAATTAGTGATATTAGGATTTAAAGGTATTTTTTAAAATTCATATCGTTCTTCAACTTCGTTTATTTCTTAGCTAATTTAATGAAAACGTTATAAGTGAACCATTATATAAATAACAAATATTTAAAAAAAATTTAAGTACCACAATTTATTAAAGAAGTCATTATTTTTTATTTGAAATATCACCATTTTGTGTATATTCATTGACGTGACTGTTTTTGGTTTTGAAGGCCTTCAACAATATTGTGGAGAACTATATTCTACCAGCGATGTTTAAAGGGTATTGTTGTTAAATTCGAGTATCTTAACAGAAATTACCACAGATACAGGGCCCATTTCGTCTACATAAGACTCATCAGTCGTGCTACAATCATCACAGTTACAAGGCCAAAATCGATAAAAAAAAATAAAATTGAAGAGCCGTTTAAACCAAAATCATTCTGAATTGCTTGCAACAGTGTATTTGTGTTCGACTTCTCAAAATTTTGTATCTGATTTGAATGAATGCCTGCAACTTGTCATTTTCTTTTACAAGAAATGTACACAGATTTTGATTTTTTGTTTTGAACAACACTGGTGCATATGAAAAATATATGTTCATTGTATCAGGAAGTATTGAGATGATTGATGTCACCTACAACAACTCATCGTTGATTTTGGTGGATTGTTTTTCAAAAGTCCGTATTCTTCATGATACAATCTGATTAACAGATACTAACAACTTCTTTTTTGCTCATTCAAAACAGAATTATACAAAGGTTATTGCAAGTCTAGAAGGAAAAAAACATAATTGCAAAATCTAATTTCACTTTCAGATACCGGTACATTGCTGATATAATAACAGTGAGCTGTTTTTGTCTCATGAAACTAAAATTAATGATACTACACAAAGACTAAAGGGATTACATCAAATGTGTATCGTTTTTGCCTACAAATTGACACACTCAGACTAAATTAAGGAATACATTATGGAAGTAACGGTTTCGGTTTTTATTATTGTTAGCTGGTAAAATACCTTCTTCCTCTCCTATGACGCTTACATATCCTATTTGTTACGATATGCTAATGTATGTTTCGTTATATTATGGTGATTTTAGAGATATAGACATACTGTTGACGAAGAGCTTTGAGAGAAGTCAGGTTTGATATTACGATGTCTTGCTAATTTAGGGACATACTGATTATGTGGAATCTCACCCATATGCACCCTAGAACATTTCGCGTTTTTTTTATGATCCTGGTCGTATTACTTGCCACTGAACATAAAGTTCTCAAGTTTCTCAAGATGAATGTTTCAAGTTTCATTCCAAATTAAGCGATAGCCATGTTTGTCTGTCTAAACCTCAACACATGATATTTTAGTGATTCTGGTATAACACCTTCAAATACAATATAAAATAAGGAGATGTGGTATGATTGCCAATAAGACAACTATCCACCAAAGTTCAAATGAAGTGTATGTAAGCAATCATAGGCAACCATATGGTCGTCTACAATGAGAAAAACCCATACCGTATAGTCGGCTATAAAATGCCCCGACATAAAAAATATTAAAAAAAATTCAATTGAGAAAACTAACGGCCTAATTTATAACAAAACAATTTGCGAAAAACAAATATGACAGACATTAACCAACGACAACCATTCGGAACTACAGGCTCCTGACTCGGGACAGGCACATACAGAATGTGGCACGGTTAAACAAGTTTTCTGTCGCCAAACCCTCCCCTTAACATGGGTGTAACGG